GGTGATGGAAAGATCTATCAGGTTCGTGGGCCCCTCGTTGCTGCTCCCTTCCGTTAACCCGAGGGCCATGTCGGTTACTGACAACAACACTTCCACAGGTCATTGGTGCCGTCGTCGATGGTTCGTAAACACCGAGAGAAAAACTTTCATGGGGCCTGCCTCCATCTCAACGACCTCGATACTGACATACAATGCAGTCAAGTTCGACACTGCCAAGCTCCCCGCCATTCTGAACGCCCTCGAGACGACGAACAACAACCAGAAGCTGGTTCTTGAGGTGTCGGTACGTACCTTGACGGACACCGAAAAAAATAACTGCCGCAAAGTTCCGCATCTAACACATTTCAACAGCAACACTTGGGTGAGAATGTCGTCCGTTGCATTGCCATGGACGGTTAGTACTATTGCCTGGAAAAAGTTTTCCGCACTCAAACTCACGCTCTTCCAGGTACTGAGGGTCTCGTCCGTGGCTCCAAGGCCACCGACACTGGTGCCCCCATCACCATTCCCGTCGGCCCCGCGACTCTGGGCCGTATCATCAACGTCACTGGTGACCCCATTGACGAGCGTGGCCCCATCAAGACCGACAAGAAGCTTCCCATTCACGCCGAGCCCCCCGAGTTCATCGACCAGTCCACCACCGCCGAGATTCTCGTCACTGGTATCAAGGTCGTCGACCTCCTCGCCCCCTACGCCCGTGGTGGAAAGATTGGTCTCTTCGGTGGTGCCGGTGTCGGCAAGACCGTCTTCATTCAGGAGCTGATCAACAACATCGCCAAGGCCCACGGTGGTTACTCCGTCTTCACTGGTGTCGGTGAGCGTACCCGTGAGGGTAACGATCTGTACCACGAGATGCAGGAGACTTCCGTCATTCAGCTTGACGGCGAGTCCAAGGTCGCCCTGGTGTTCGGTCAGATGAACGAGCCCCCCGGTGCCCGTGCCCGTGTCGCCCTTACTGGTCTTACCATTGCTGAGTACTTCCGTGACGAGGAGGGACAGGATGGTGAGTTTTTTCTCGCAGCAACATGCGCCACGATCGTCTCGCTAACCAGGTCACAGTGTTGCTCTTCATTGACAACATTTTCCGTTTCACCCAGGCCGGTTCTGAGGTGTCTGCCCTGCTGGGTCGTATCCCCTCTGCCGTCGGTTACCAGCCCACCCTCGCCATTGACATGGGTGGTATGCAGGAGCGTATTACCACCACCAAGAAGGGTTCCATTACTTCCGTCCAGGCCGTCTACGTCCCTGCTGACGATTTGACTGACCCTGCCCCTGCCACCACCTTCGCTCACTTGGACGCCACCACTGTCTTATCCCGTGGTATCTCCGAGTTGGGTATCTACCCCGCTGTCGACCCTCTTGATTCCAAGTCTCGTATGCTGGACCCCCGTATTGTCGGCCAGGACCACTACGACACCGCCACCCGCGTCCAGCAGATCCTCCAGGAGTACAAGTCCCTTCAGGATATCATTGCCATTCTGGGTATGGACGAACTTTCTGAGGCTGACAAGCTCACCGTCGAGCGTGCCCGTAAGATCCAGCGTTTCTTGTCCCAGCCCTTCACCGTCGCCCAGGTTTTCACTGGTATCGAGGGTAAGCTCGTTGACCTTAAGGACACCATTGCCTCTTTCAAGGCCATTCTGTCCGGTGAGGGTGATGCCCTTCCTGAGGGTGCCTTCTACATGGTCGGTGACTTCGCCTCTGCTAAGGCGAAGGGTGAGAAGATTCTGGCGGAGCTGGAGAACAACTAAACGACTCCTGACGAAAATACCAATGAGCGTCGAGAGGTGGGCATATAGCCTGTGTATAGAAGAGGAACGATGGAATGGGGAGGTTTCTTAGCTCAATTCAAGTCTCTTTTGTGAGCTGTGTACCAAGAAATCTACTTAATTCCTCTTGTAGTTGAGAGAATCTCCTTATTTCTTCAAACGCCGTCCCGTGCCGATTGTGAGATTACGCTCCCCCCGCCCCGGTGATAAAGCTGCCCCTGCAACGTTCTAGACTGTCACTTGCGTGAGCACCCCGCGCGAATCGGTTATGACGTTGGTTAGCCCCCTGCCTGATTGGTGTATCCCATGCAGATTCTCTTTCTGGGGTAGAAGTACCGAAGGCCGGTCTGGGCGGATACTTATCTCGGGTGTGTCGAACACGCCATTCATTCATTCACTGCCACGACCATTGAACATTGATCAATGATGAATCTCTAGACTTAAACCACTACTCTAAGTTCAAACAGCTATTGTTCTGTTATCCTTCGTCTTGTAAACCCTATCATCATCCGCCCATGCTGCACGCTCCACGCCATCCTCCCTCGAAAGTAGTCAAGAAGGATGGACAATCTAGGAATCGAACCTAGGACCTACCCCATGCGAAGGGGTCGTTATACCACTAAACCAATCGCCCGTTTACCTGCTTTAAAGGCATGATGCTGTGATGGGAAGCATGGTTGCAGATTGGAATATGAAGGGCGAGCTGATGGGCTCTGGGAGTCGATGGATGGGGTGTAGTTGTGTCTCGCGGGGATGAGTGGCTGAAGTTTAGGCGCGGGTGATTGGTGTTGAGGTCGGGGCTGGGAAGGCGGTGTCACGTTCGGAACGTGTTTTCGTGTGTTTGTGAGATGCTGCGTCGTCCTTGACGGATGTCTGAAATGTCGACGAGTCCTGAGTCTGAGCATTGAGCTGTATCTCGGGAGTATCAGGGCCAAGGATCAATGCTCAGGCGAGGATCGTTGGTGGCACTGGCGGCTCACGACTGCACATAGAAAAGCTAGACCCGTTGGGAATGAGCAGGTTTGTGGTTTTTAGAGAACCGTAAAGATGTCTATCGATGGATTTTTGTACACGTCCAAGTTTGCGAAGAGAGCCATGTGGCCTTCACCATTGTGAGAATTCGCTTCGTTATATTCGTATGTTCTATTCGACCAGGGAACAATGTCCGGAGAATTACCGGGTAGAAAAGCCACGAGAGGAATGTCATGTCGAAAACAAAGCAGACCAAGTGGGCTGTAACACGATGCCATGTAGCTGCCGTTTGCTCTGAAGGCTATCTGTTAGAGAAATTAACATCACTGCGGTGCTTGCATTTAGAGACTACACGCACATCATCAGCCGCCTATCTATCAGAAATAGCTGGTAGTGTCTATTGCGTCTCCTGGGTAAGGCAGGTCAAGGCCCCCCCGCCTGAGCTTATGGATAATTGCATCTCGGAAGGTAGTCGTGATATCCAATTCTTACATTGGAGGACTTGTGTACAATTGTCTGTAATTGGGGTCCATTCGTGAAACTGATGATTATCTTCATTTCCGTACAGTTATTATCCATAATACGTCTCGGAGTGCCCTTTCTTTATCGATGCCAGTGGCGCCAGTGCATAGGCATTTTCACATAAAGCTTTCCTGATAGGGACTGTTTCTTACGTGGGAAGAGCACCATCAGCGGGCGATTTTATCCCGGGAAGGAATCTCAGACGAGCTACGTTGGCCTGGGCTGTTATATGTAGATCTGAAGTGCAAAGCTGGGCGCAGCCCAGGGATGTGAATTATTTTGTCCCAGGGATTATCACAGAAAGGAACCAAATATACATAAGCACGTTCGGAAGATAGCTCCCACACTTCGACTCATATTCGGGATATATCTTCCTGCACGAATTGGATGAATGTGGTTGCGTCAGGTGAGGCGTTATCTGTCAACATCTCTAGGTCCGTATTCTCAACGACACAGGTACGTAGGCTCTGCTGCAACGAGGGCAACGTGTTGACCTTGCACAATTCTGTGTATAAAACTCCTACCAGCTACAGGTCATGAACTATGTGTCGTAGTTGGTTCCCTCGGTGGGTTATTGCTCTTATCTTCTACAATGGCGCTGAGATGTTATTTAGTCTCTTGCATTCCATGCGTGTTCTTCGAGGAAAGTTTACATTTGATTGACATCGCCACGCCCGAAGACTTACTTTCGGCAATAAAAGGATGTACTGGATCTCATCGAGAAATTAGAAATACAGACAATCTTCTGCTTCCTGCTCGCGAGGCAAACATGTTGAGGCTCATGATCTTGTCGTCAAGATACATATAATTCTATCTGAGTTTATCTCACGACTTATCGTCTTATTCCTTTCATTACAGAACTGAAAACCAGCTGCTTGGCAGTGCTGTGAGATTATTCCCAGTGAATAGGCACTTCAGAACATAATGGACGTCACTGCATCGGCGACTCTCGTAGCATGTCCCCTGGACAGCCATGGGAAAGATGACCAGTGGCACTGCACCCCTTTGGTATGACCAAGAAACTGAGACTATGTAGCATTTATGGGAGAAGTATGCGCAGGATCAGCGGGCTGTTTACAGCCTCATGATGGGGCTTCATGCTTGCCACGGTGTAGCATCATAGACCGAGGGAAGGCAGCCGGTGGCAAGAAAGCAGCAGTTGAGGCCAGAATAAACTTCACTCACATGGATGAGAAGACAAGTATTCTTTGAAGAAGTTGATGTACATTCAGGCAGAGTAGGCTTTTGTCCACCTAAACCGACATCGAGCAACCCCTATACATGACTTCACAAGTAATGGCTCATATGTTTGATCTCCAGACGAGTTTTTCATACAGACCAAATAAACCCCCAAACGGTTCACCCACACATGATGATGGCTGAGGATAGCCTTGGTATCGCAACGATCGTCAGAGGATATGGCATAGAAAGAACATAACATGGGTCTGTGTTGAATGGTTCATTTATACATTTTCAACTAAAGGGACGACCAACGCCCGTAGCAGTCGACCAACTGACAAACAAAACGATGCAGATGCTGGCATTGAAATCGATGTTTTAACACCATATGGGTATCAGAAGTCGCATGAACAACTTTCCCTTCTCGCGTAGCCTGCCCAAGACCTTTTTTCAAAGTCTCTTCGGTTCACCGGTGAACCTCTTCTCGCCACAAGGCCCCCGGTCAAACTCATTGTAACCAATTATTTCCATCATTATCATGTTTATCATGGACCTGACCTATGCAGCGGTCGCTTCTTTTCCGTTTGCCGCCCCGTTCCCATTACCCGCTCCTGTGGCGGGATGGTGCTGCCCCAGACCGAGGACCCGTTGCAGGCTTCTTCTAATGCCCTTGCCGGTTCCAGCCTCGTCATGGCCCTCTGTCTTTTCTGCCCTGCCCAGGAAGCCGAAGCTCATTCTACGAACGGCGTTCTGCCCTGCACCCTCTGTGGCGGACTTCTTCCTCCGCCGCACAGCGACGATGCCAACGTCGGCAGCCGGCTTCGGAGGCCACTCACCGTCTCGCTTCCACCCTACGACACAGGCTCTAATCATGTCTGACAAGTTGACAGGGCATGAGGGCGTCAGGGCGTGTACAATCACCTTCTCGTACAATGAGATGTACACCGAAGGAGTGATGGATGCACGCATTGGGTTTCCGGGAGGAAGCAGGGGCGCGGGTAGAGGAATCAGGGTCTCGACGGGGTACGTCACAGCCGCGGCCAATGCCGCTGACCGTGCGGACTCCTTAGACTTTGACGCAGTGAGCTCTTTGGTGAGCTCGGAGCCATCCGACACAACGGCCGAAGCATCGTTGCTCGGCCGCTGCTGCAGAGAATGAGGCGGCGACGATGGAGACGCACCGAAAGATGCTGGCGAAGGCTGGGACATTGAGGAGCGGAAGAAGAGGCGGCGGGGCGACAGCGGCGAGAATGTCTGCGTGGGAGAAACGGGTTTGGCGCGAACGCGCACCGTACGTGCGCCTGTCCAGGCATTGCGCCTCGCCTCGAAGCAGGCCAGCCCTTCATTCCACTGCATTTCTTCGCGCAGTGCCCGCCTCCGCGCCGCACGCTTCTCGGCGACGGAGGCTTTCACCGCGGCGCCGATCGCATCGGGGCTGTCGAAGCGGAACGGGGAGAGAGACAGTGGGACGGGTTCCTCGTCGGAGAGGTCAGACACCCATTCCAGGCGAGGCTTGAAGCGTGCCGGGTCTTCTGAGACTGTGCTGTAGACGGACTCTGCATCGCTGTCTGAGAAACCCCCTTCCTCGTCGTCGTCGTCACTGCTGTCCATGCTTTCGACTGCCACATCGTCGTCATTCGTCGCCGTCTGCGTCGCTTCGGGCTTGGGCTCGGCGGTGTCTTGAGTCTGTTCTACGGGTGCTTGTACGGGCGCATCAGCCTCGGTTGCTGGCGCTGGCGTCGGTTTTGGTGCAGCCTCACCATCGCCGTTCTGTTTTTGAGGTGGGATGACTGGTGGCCAGACAAACTCCCAGTCGTTGCGGATCTTGGAGGCAAGGTACTTCTTAACTGCCTCCTTCTGCTTGACCTTATCCTTGCTCAGGAGGTCTGGATCATAGTCAGGCAAGTCCAGCGTCAAGGGCTGCTGGGACATGGAGTGCCTGAACTTGGCGAGAGGCGAGCGTGGGGACTTGTAAATGTCTGAGAAGATCATCTTGGTGGTGGAAGATGAAGAGGCAGCGGTGGTGTGCTGTGGCTGGCTCTTTGGCTGGGTGTTGGCCTCAGGCGCAGCAAGAGAGGAGGATGGAGGAGGGGAGGAAGAAGTAGGCATGGAAGGCGACAGGTCTGGCTGGAAGCAGGGCGTCTGCTTTATTATATCGGGATGCGCAAGTGAAGCTCCCGGTCCAGCAGCCGTGACCGGGGATGTAGTAATAGTTACCGCAGCTGGAGTAGTGGCAGCTGGGTCTGGAGTAGCAGCGGTCTCCGTCGCAGTCGCGTGCGGGGTGGGCTGGTGGTGCGGGTGATGGAGCGCGCCGGTTTCTGGGGTGGTGGCCGCGGCCGCGAGTGGCCTGATGGTGGCTGCCAAGGGGGCTGGATTTGGTCAGTTTATAATTCCGTCATATGTAGAATAAATAGGCCTGGTCGATGTTTGTGCAGTGAAGTATGTGTTGTGCACCTAGGAATCATGCATTGAAAGTCTGGGGCATCGGATGAATAAGAAGAGAAAAGCAAGGCGAGGGGAAGAAACAGGAGCGGAAAGCGAGACAGTCAAGAGGGGGGATGCGAAGTGCGTGCCACTCTCAGGCATCGTGTAAGGCAAATGGCTGTTGGGGAAGCAAGGTAGTAGGTAGGTAAGGTAAGGTAGGTAAGGTAGGTAGTGTACGTTTTGTGTGCGTGTGTGTTGCGTGTGTTATGGCGGGCGTATGGCAAGGAAGCCAAGCCCGGTCCAGAACCTTGACTTCTGCGTCCCGTCGTCGTCGTCCACCTCCCGTCTGTTTCCCTGAAGGTAGGTTCTTCTTTGCGTCGGTGCCCGTATGTAGGTAGGTATGGGGAAGGAGAATGCGGGTGGATGCAGAACAAGAGAGAGAAAGGCCGCATACATGAGAACAAAAGGAAGCAGCCCGGGGGAGGGGAGGGAAGGCAAAAGCGACAAAGCGAGGCTAGCGGCCCTGTGCCCGGTGTGGTGTCTCTCACCTACCTACCTTGATCTGATGTACGAGAAGCGGTGTCGTTGGCGTTGGCCTTGTCGCCGCCGGGGGCAGACGCAGCATCTTGGCCGGACCTGGACATGGATGCAACAGCTGAAGGATCTGCCGTGGCTTCTGCTCTTGGTGCTGTTTTTGCTGTTACTGCTGCTTGAGCCATTGACGCTTCAACTGGCGATGTAGACGCCATGGTTTTGGCCGATATTTCTCGTGCTCACTTTTTTCCCCTCCTTCCTCTCACAAAACTAGGAGAAACTAAAAGGCTGCCCAATTGGCAAGCACAAACCGCCTGGCACCCCAGTTCGTGAGGACCATTTTTTCTTCGGGGCGGGCACAGGGTTCCATCACTAAAGCGTCGGATGCGCCTCTGTGGCGGCTGTCTGAGCCGGTGAGATGAGAAGCAGAGGTGTCCCCGCTGCTGAGCCCGCTCTGCCCTGCCATTGCGCACCTTCAAAGTATCAAGTATCAGAACATTCTGGAGGGGGGTCGGTTACCCTCTCGCGGTTTAAGGTTCGCCATAGAGGGAACCCGAGGCTTAGCAGGTTTAAAGTATTCGTAACCAGGAAGCAATCCGAAGTGTTGAATTGTCAGGCCAAGGAAGTGCGGCAGTCTGTGGCCCCTGGTGTCTCTGTCTTTCCGTGACTCTTCTTTTGAGCCCAGGCCCTCTCCGAGTTAAGGTAGGGTAGCGGACGGGGAACACTGGAGACAACTGGAGAGCGCACGAGGGCAAAGTGGGGAGAGATGGGCAACGCTCCCGTCCACGAGACATGCCATGTCTGCAAAATCTTTGCCCTTGCAAGTGACTAACTGCGCTCCTCTCTCGTGATCGGACTCCAGCCAAGACGTATCGAAGACTCCATGACCATGGCCACGACGGCTCAGCCTGCCGCGCTCGGAGTCTTGTTGGAAGTGCTTCAGATCCTTCGGTACCTGACGACGCCCAGGTGAAGGAATCTTGTCTGTCGTCGCCGTCGCCTGTCACTTGCTTAGTACAGACAATGGGCAAACCGCCCTAACGCAGTCCCAATCCGTCTAGACCACTTTTGGTTTTGTTACTTAGTTTTTTTAGTGTTCTAGAAAGAGAAAATTCTTATTAATAAACTTTCAGGTATTAATAGATATACTACCTATATTTAGCCTCATCTCTTAAGGTTATAGAGAACTTTAAAATTAAGGATTAGTATAGCTATAAAACTAGCTAAACTAGTAGAGATTATAATACTATATTAACCCCTCTATAATAATATCTTTATTAATCTCTTCTAAGATAGCTCAACTTAACTTTATTAACGTTTATAGTATAGAGATAACTATAATTAGCTATTTAAATAATCTTAATTTCTAATAAAACCCCAGCTTTTATAGGGATATTATTAAGTACTATATTAGCTTAAAAAGAATAGATATGTTAATCTTAATAAATAGTAAGTTAAGCTGTTACTAAAAAGTTTAGATTAAGCTAGTAAACTATATATAGCTTCTATAGAGATTGATACTATAGTAAATACTACTATATAAGCTACTTCTTATTTAAGTATAGTAAGCCTTTAAAGCTATATTAATAATAATTAATAATAGTACTTTATATTAAGCTTTAAATATTAATTAATAGAGATATTAGTGATATTAGTATAGTAGATAGCTCTATCAGCTAAGATATAGTAGTATTAGGTACAAGAGGATCTGTAGTAGTATAGCTATGAGTACCCTGTTAATTAGTCTTAAAAAGTCTCTTTTTTGAATCACGCAGCTTATATAACGCAGTTGCCTAGGGCTGAGGCCCGCAGATCCATCTAGACCACTGCCTGGCTTGCCAGTGACAGATCCAAACGAGGCAACAACATAGTCTCGCGAGCTAGACTCCAAGAAGAGTGTTGGCGCCTCCGGTGTCGATATTCCCGGCGAGCTGCAGCAAGGTCCCCTTCTCACCTGCTTTGCCAGCCAACCTCACATGCTGCCACGGCTGCCAACCATTAGGCTCCCCCCGCCCGGCTTCTTGCAGGGTGCAGATCCGGGGTTTTTGGTTGGACGGCTGGCCCTGGGGGTTTGAAGGATGCGTGGATGGAGCGTGTTTGGTCCAGTAGGCAGTAGGGACGAACTGTACTCAGCACAAAGTACCAATCTCACCAACACGATCACGAATTATACACCTGGATACCTGTCCTCGGAATCCATCCATGCTGACCACGAGAAGGGAAACATGACGCTCTCGACGGATTGATTACCAATCCGGAGTTGGGCTGAGTGGTTTCCCACAACCATGCGATAACGGCGTTGAGCGCCCGTCTCTTACCCCAGCTTGCGTGTCCGAGATCTTCTCGTCGCCTACTCAATCTATGCTCGACCGTGCCGGCATCGCACCACTCCCACATATCGGTGCTCAACACTCACGATCCCGCAGGCGAGATACAACCCACGACAAAACGATGACAAGCAGATCAACGAGGGACAGCCAATGGCATGGTCCTGCACAGCAACGCTCTCTGTGATTTGGGACCGGACTGTGATAATGATCGTCACCGTCATTGACAAAGGCATCTGTCGCGGGCTTGGCTGCCACCGGTAGGGTGCCCACCACCACTAATACAGCCAGCAGCAGCAGCAATAGCAGATGAAATGTTGTTTCCGATCGAAGGCCAGAGTAATTGCGGAGAACAGAAATAAACAAGCTCCTGCGAGTGACAGGCCCGCGTCCGGGCACCACATGACTTGTCCTCCAATTGGCAATGCAGGGTCCTTGGTGTGTTGCAATTTTGCTACAGTGCCTATGTGCCCCGATATGTTGATTACATAAGATATCTCAGCCGACACTGTCACGTCACCCTACAGCCATCATCAGTCGAAAGGGCATTGAATCCAAGAGCCGACGGCCATCTCCGAGGTTCTCAGGCACCGACCTGTGGATACTCGTTAGTGAAGCAACTGTCGCAATCAACCACGTGAGCGATTTAGTTTGCGACTTGCGCATGCCGGATGGACATGCGGGACGGATGATGGCCGACGCAGATTTATGCCAATTAACCAATTCTGTCTAGAGACCTAAGAACAATTACCAGCTTCTGCTGATCTACCTATATGCTGCGTACGATACCAGTCTTCGCCCAACGCCGTTGTTATCGGATACAAGTGCTCCGTGTTTCTATGATGAGTTTTCTCTGAGTCGTGAAGACTGGCGCGGGCCTTCGTCCTAGGCGACTTCCTCGACCATCTTTCCGGAGTTGAGTCCTCCGGGAACAAACACCTTGCCCGCCGGTCCGCCGATCATCTCCTCCGGCACGGCAACGATGCTGCCCTTCTTGGAGTTGACCCAGCGGACGAAAGCTACATCTGCCCTTGGGGGCTCGTTGCTGGGAGTATCGTTGCCAGCTGCCTGGCCCTTGCCCTTGGTCTTGGGTGCCTGCTTCTTTAGAAGCTTGTTGATGGTTTCCATCTATGCTTGCGTTAGCTCTCGCGCTCAAATACTGTTTCAATACCAGGGAAAATAAGCATGTTACCTTGACTTCTTCGTTGCGCTTCTCAGACAAGTTGCGTCGACGACGAGCCATTTCCGCTCTTCTCATGGAAAGCTCCTCCGCTGTGAAGACCTTCTTTGCTTGAACCTCTGTTACACAGTTAGCGCGTCTCCTCGATCTCGTCAGTAGGCATATTAATTACCATCCGAGAGCTTCATATACTGCTGAGGCTCTTCCTCAAAACGAGCACGTTGTCTCCTCGTCATCTTAGTCAAGTCCGGCGTTCCCTCTCGGCTGCCAAGTTCGCTGTCTCCCTCACCCTCGGCATCTGCGACCTGAGTTTCGTCGGCAACTTCAATCTCCTCCTCTTCACCTTCGGCATCTTCTTCCTCACCCTCGGCGTCCTCTTCTTCGCCCTCAGCGTCTTCCTCTTCGTCTTCTTCGTCCTCCTCCTCATCGTCATCGCCGGCGCCTCCAACATCGATGCTCATGTCCATCGTGTTCTCCGGGTCACTGACTTCAATCTCACTCAACTCCTCCTCATCGTCGTCGTCATCATCCTCGATGACTCTCGCCGCCGCCGGTCGCCGAGGCGTAACCTTACCAGCTTTCGGCAATGAGATTTTGATCGTGGAAGCCGCAGGGGTGTCCATGTCAGCGTCGCCATCGGCATCGTCTTCGCCCTCGGCGTCGACATCCATGTCGTCCTCATCGCCATCAGCGTCTTCATCGTTGGGGTCCTCCATCTCCTCGTCCTCATCCTCTTCCTCCTCACTGTCGGACTCAACTACGTAGCTCTTCTTGGGACCACGGTTACGTTTTCCAGCAATGATCTCGCTGCCTCCAAACGAGCCCCGGCTGTTTACAGAGATGCTGTTTCCGGTGGAATTCCTGCCTCTGCTGGTTGCCTCACGAAGCTTATTCGCGGGAACTTTGACGGTAAGGTTGAGGTGCTCACTGCCCGGCGACGAGGGCGGGCCGCGAGACACACCGGAGGTGCGACCCTCTGAGCGGCGAGCGCGGGTGGACATATTGCTGCTTCGTTCGCTGTCGGCCCAGTCAACGAGTGCTTCGGAAGCCTTCTTGGCCGCTGAGCGGCGCGGTCGAGAAGCCATTGTGTGTGATGGTCAAGGATATATGAAGCGCGTTTGCGGATTGCTTGGCACCGGGGGATGTGGCTCAATGTGAGTGTTGTTGCGCTTGCGGGCTGGGTGAAGTGTGTGAGGGAGAAAGGATTTTGGGGGTAGGCATGCAACGGTTGTGTTTTTGGGACGATCGGTGGGGGATTTTCCCAAGATTGCGAACGTGGGAGGTTGAAATAAGGTAAGCTCGGGGGGCGGAAGTCCAGACAAGGAAGGGTTAAGGTGAGGTGGCACTGCTGCTAGGAATCTGATCCCCTAGATACGGGAGATGAGGTAAGGCAACGTCCGTAGTAGCGGTAGCAGTGGCAGGCCGAGATGCATGGAAGTTATTAAAGCGTGCGACTTGCGGTAAGTTTACACCTTTTTTTAAACCGTCCACGTGCGGGCGCTTTTTGTTTTTTTTGCCTTGTTTTTTTTTTGCTTCTGCTGGCCGGCTACTTTCCCTCATCAAGTTGCATTCTTGGCGCGCAGAGTGCCGTGCGTGTACCTTGCTCTCCTTGAAGATGTTGGTTTTGGGCCTCGAGGTAATTTGCCGTTTGTTTGCCTCACTTGAGTTGGCAAACTCGCCTCAAGAACGATGTGATATGTGATGAAGAGATGGTGTTGACAGTAGATGCAGCGCAGAGAAAAGGCTCAAGTCGAAACAAATGTCGCAATTAGAGATGATGGCTTACCGATTGTTGAAACCCCTTCCCGGGATAGATGATAGACGACGGCTAGCCGCAGAATACGCGCAGCGGCAAGTGGGATAATTCGCCCTTCTTCCCCTTTGGTGGCCTATCGCCTCTCGGAGCAGGACCCCAAGCACGACAAGGCAAGGTACAGAGCAGTAAAGTAAGAAGCGGTGGCTGTGAACCAAGCCAAGATGGGCAGAAAACAGGACCCCCTGAACTGAGACTTTCTGGCTATTGGATCTCGTGTCGCCTCCCGCGTCGCTACTCTGCGTTTTTCTCTCCCTCTCAACGCCTCAATGTCTTGCGCGCTTCGAGAGTCTGTCCCCTTTAGCGAATCCACTCGCTGCAGGTCCTCTTTCGAAGGGTTGTAACGCAGCAGATGAGAGCTTACCTTGATTGACCGTGGCTGGAATTGGTTGCTGGGTCTGCCAATCGCTCGGTCGGTGAAGCAAAGCGTCGAGCGGAATGGTCAGAGATCGTCGGTGACAGGAGAGCGACCAAATCGGGTGATGTCCTGGGTTGCTGAAACAATAGATCCCTCGAACGATGAAAGGAGTACTCGTTGTATAGATGAGACGGATAAGAATGAGATGGCTTCGATATCCAACCCTCTGGCGTGGTATTGCGCTTTTCACCAGGCTCACCTTGAGTTCAGCGCGAGGCAAGCTTCACTCTGCAACAGGCGCTGAAGTCCGCTGGAGCACCGGAAGTTGAAAACGGAGACCCGTAATGTGTGGACACCATGGGCACCGTGCATTGCCCCACATCCCGCCACCCCAGACGCGCTGCAGCTTAACGGTGTCCCGCCGTAACAAGCCAGACGGGCTCCTGGGTCGCGTTTTGTTCGGCTACAGGTGCCCGTAATGAACGTTTCCTTGTACCAACCTCTCCGTTTTCGCGGTACTCCCAGCCGAGGCATGTGGTCATAGGTCCCGAACGCCGATGTTATTCACCACCTACCGAGAATTAGACCGGCTGTTTTCCGGTGATTGACCTCGCGCCGTCCTCAACGTTAGCAATTCCTTACTTCCGCCGAGCTTGTAGGATCATCGAACATGAGCGACTCTGATGACAGCGGCAGCTCGTCAGGCATTCCTGCCTGGCAGCGCGAACAACAACAGAGCGAGCCCCAGCTGGATGTTGAGTCTGAGCCTGCATCGCAACAATCCCAAGAGGATACCCCTACCGATGACAAGCTCGAGGTCGCGCGGCGCTTCCTTCAGGACGACGAAATAAAGGACGCACCAAGAGAAAAGAAGGAAGAGTTTCTCAGGGGCAAGGGGCTGGAGCCTGCAGAGATAGAGGAGCTACTGGGCAGCGGTTCAGCACCAGAACCAGCGCAACAGGTAAACCTCGCTTTTCACTCCTTGCCCGTCGCATCGCGACTAACATGCCCAGACTGCGCGAACAGAACCCGTTGAAGCCGAGCCAGCAACGATCCCAACACCCGAGCCGCACGCTCCTACTCCCGCTCCCGCTACCACACAAAACGAGATCTCTCTTCCAAGAACAAACGATAATCCCCCCGTTGTTACATACCCCGAATTCCTCACCAAACCAACCCGCCCACCACCCCTAGTCACAGCAAATGGCATCTTGAACACCCTTTACGCCTTTGCCGGCATTTCAACCCTTCTATACGGCACAAGCAAGTTCCTCGTCGCCCCTATGGTCGAGAACCTCAACGAAGCCCGCACAGAGCTCCACGACGCAACCAACAAGAAGCTGTCGGCCATTATCGAGAAACTCGAAAGCACCGTCTCCGAGATCCCCGCCCCCAAGAAGACCGGCGCCGAGGCACCAAAGGACGACGGCACAAGCAGCGACCCGGACGTCGAGGATCCTTCAGAAATGTTCCACCGCGACATCGGCACCCAGACGTCCAACCCCCCGACGCCACCACTAGGCTCCTACATGGACCAGAAGCATGGAAGATGGGGCACCAGTTTAGCTGGACAAGGGAACAATGCTACCGCCGACGCGCAGGTGAAGAGCCTTGCGCAACACGCGACAGAGATCAAAGATAAGTGCATCGCCGAAGCGGAGGATCTCGCGCACGTCAAGTCTGAGATGGACTTGCTCAAGGATGATCTTATGCAGCTGGCGTATCCAGCACCTAAGGAGTTCACGGGCGGTCTTTACGGCTTCCGCTCCAACGAGCCTGATGACGAGACCAAAAAGGCCAAGGACAACATCCGACGTATCAAGGGTGTGTTGCTCAGTACAAGGAACTTCCCCGCCTCCGTCAGGTAGGGAGTAATCCTACATTTTCAAAGATGGAGATAAAAGCGCGGTGTCTATCCGTATGTATGTGGAGTGGCGAGCAATATGATAGGGCTCGGCATGTGAATGAAGCGTCGTCACTCGTCAGCCACTAAGGGGGACCTCATACACTCGAACAAACGCTGGAAAGAGAGCCGCTGAGTGCCGTAGTATGATTAGTCGTGTTCTGCTGTAATATGTCATGGGTTGGCTCTGGCGCAACTTTCTAATTCTATGCCCATTTGTTATGCCAACTTTGTCTTGATTCAGGAGCCCTAATGCTCTGTGCAATGTAGCTATCTCAACTGTGTGGACAATGCCCATAGGTGTTCAGATACAATATTCGTACAAACCATGTTCCGTCTCCATGTGAGGCAAGAGTTACACGCCTCGTTGCGCGCGTCCCCAAACCCCCATGATCCCTTTCTGCCGGATCCATACTATCACCTCCTACCATCCTCTGATGTCTCCTTTCTGTCCTGGATGCGTTTGTACGTAGTTTCCTCGGGGATTCGCAACCAGTCAAAGATATTCTTCCATGAGCCAACGTAGATGTGCTCGAAGTTGCGATTCTCCGCTAGTTGCTGTCTCTCGTACCACTCCACGGTTGGCGTGAACGTGTACGAGAATACCGACCGTGATGAGTCTCGCCTTGCTACGTCCTTGACCCATTTGAACAGCAGGTTCTCGCAACGACTCGCTCGAATCGGCCTCGGGCTACGAGGCGGATGAAAGATGGTCTTGCTTTTGGGGTCATCTTCCTCGGCAAACAGATCTTCAGTCGGGTCTAGTTCCATGTCGCTGGGGGAACCGGTGTGGGCTTGTGCATCATTCTGAGCCCGCAACACAACCGGACGGAAACCATTCTCTATCAGGTCTTTCTCCTCGGGCATCGTGGCTTGGTCGGGATTCATGCACATGGTCTCCAAGGCATCCAGAGTCGCGTCGAGTGGGAGAATGTCTCCAGACGGTTGTTCTCCCCCAAGCCAGACTCTGGTAAGCGGGAGATCTGGATTGTTGAGTCTGCCATGCTCCTCCACAAATTCAATCAAGTGTCGCTGAGCGTGATTCAATCGAGAAATTGGTATTTGGCTTTCAGTCGGAAAATTGATCCTGGCCGAAACATCCCAAATGACAATTTCCGAACCTTCCCAAGGTCTGATGGTTGGGTGCTCTGGTCGATAAACTGCGATCCAGGGATGTCGACCCTCCCACTTATGTTCTGCCACCTGTCCTTGAGGAGTATAGAACAGTGAAATGTAGGTGTTGAACAGCTTTGGTACATTAAGCTCGGGTGTGTGTTTGGGCGCGTGGACTGGAACCATCTTGGAGTAGAACGGCCACGGAAACTCGAGCCACTGCTTGTATGTTTTCAACTCTCGGTAGAAGTCCCTGAAAGAGTCGGCCGTTACCTCGACATCTTGGTAATAGCCGACCGTGAAGCCGTAAGCTTTGGCGATGATCTTCGGGGGTTTGCCGGTCCTAATATTGCCCATGCGCTTCGAAAGATCCATTAGAAAGGGGGTTATCGAGCGAGGGTCCCAAGAGGCCAGTCTTGTAGTCCCCATGGGCAGTAAACGGTCCACGCTGCTAGGGTCAGCTCCAGGTTGTGCTGCTGGGTTCGGCTCACCCTCAGCAGCCAGATCGCGGTCCGTTCCGGGCGAGTAAAGAGGGAGATCTTCGTATTTGATGCTGTGTCGGGCTTCGAGGCAGCGGTCAGTCCCGAGCACGAAGAATTTCCGGAACTGGTCGTATTGAGTCTGTGACCAACAGCCGAACCAGTTCACCAAGCTTTGCTCGTCGTTGGCGTCGATACATTCTGGAGCAAAAATGATCGGCTCGAGCTGTTCGTCAGCCTCAATGCTTTCCATGAAAGATTGCCGGAAACTTTCGACCGCTGTCCAGGTCTCAAAGCGAGCCATACAATCATCATAGCCAAGTCCTGCTTTCTGTACGGCGTCTTGTGTACTGCCTCCGGCTAGCATGCTCCTCATCTGGTCCGCCCTGTCCAACGCAATACCTTGAAGAAACTTGGATAGACTTGCGGCTGCCACGATCTTCGTATTGGAACTAGGCTTTGCATGTGTCTTCTTGTACCAGTCAAAGAGTTGCAAGGCACGCTGCGGCTCAGCGACGAGGAAGCTCGGGGTGACGAGGATCGCGCTACCGTGCGGAAACAGTCTTGTCAGTTCAATCGCACCGACCTCAGTTATGTCGTGTGCAGAACGAATGGACGGATACGCTGGACGCAGTCGAAGAGACTCGCCGAGGCACCAGAACGTGTGAGCGGGCTTTTTGTTGACGAGAAGATTCAAAATGCTGGGATAACGATGGATCACGTCGACGGTTGTTTCGTGGAATATGACAACGCCATGGTTCGCAATCTTTGGATCTATGAAGGCTCTCCAGTCGCCTGGTGTCTTTGACGAAAAGACGCGGCAGTGCGGATTTTCCATATGAAGCCACTCGCTTACAGTATCGAGCATTGCTTCTCTGGACGGGGGAAATGCCAAATAGAAGTTATGGCGTACGTCCTTCAAGCCAGTCGGCATGAGCCGATGGTAGTCGAGGCCAAGCAGGGTTTGTAGAATTGACGCGCGCTTGTCTGTCAAGCTCGACGCAATGGGCCTCTGTCCCGGGATAGGTTTGTGATGTGGTTTGTATATGAGATACCTGAGGGCGACGTCAGACGGGCTTGATTCGTAGTTCAGGTCATCGACCTCTTTCATAGCAGACTTCCATTCGTCACAGCTCGCAGGATAAACAATGATGGAAAAATCCTCATGTAGGCATGCGGCCCCGAAAGATCCCACTTTAAGTTTTTCAGCAGCGCTTTTGATCGCGCCTTCCCCTTGGGACGATATTGCCTTCACAGCTCCCTGAGATAAAACTCGCTCAAAGAGAACTGGGCGTTGTGCAACAAACATGCGAACGTGGAAGGTGGTGGAGAATTGCAGGATGTCTTGTGCCTCCACTTCAGAGTACCATTTCTCAGGGTCGATGCGGAGATTATCGAAGGTCACCTGAATTTGTTTGCTTCCTCTTGGTCCCATCTCAATGTTCTTGTCCAAGCTGTGCATAAACGTTTTCCCTCTGTTTTGATAGTCCGCGATAGACAGCTTCTTTATGGTAGGCTGCACTTGTTGAGGCTCGAGAGGCTGGGGTTGATGAGATGTGGTTGGTTGAGGGGGAGACTTGAGCCGCTTTGGTCGGCTAGTTGAAGAACTATTAACGTCCATGTCCTCAGGCTCATCAGTAAAAGGGATTTGAGGGTCCCACTGAACAGATTTCCTCTTCTTCGCTGGCGGACGCGATGGCTGCGACTGCTCTGAAGTTGAGGGAACCGCTTCCGACGCCGTGATGCTCGACTCACTAGCAGACCTGGGGGCAAGGTCATCAGCTGGGCGCTTCAACACTGATCTAGGCTTGGCGATTGCGTTGCTGGTGTTGGACTGAGGTGGAGGACCGCCGCTGATGCTGAATAGCGTAGACGGAATAATAGGCGGCGCTTGATCAGCCTTGTCCCGTCCTTGCAATTCAGCTTTCCTTCTAATACGGTGGTTGGTGAAGGCGCGCGGGGATTGATTCGTGTCGGCCGCATTGTCACTCAATCGGGATCGCACGCGAATGGGCTTCCCGCTTGTGAATATGTTGCCTGCGGCCTTCACCATCGTTCTCGCGCCCGGTTGAGTCTTTTTGGCCGTCTTGGCAGGCTTCGAGAATTTTGAAGCGAGGGTTGTGAGGCTTCCGGCTGTCTTGGTACTGTATCCTCTTGTTACTGTGGGTTTCCTTGCAGTGCCTTGATACCCAGTCGGTTTTGATACAGCGGATACTGTCGGCGGACGTTGCGACGCCAATGCGGGCGACTTCTGTTTGGTCGGTGACTTTGACTTTTCTCCTGATGAGGCCCGTTTGCGAGGAAGGGATGCATTTCTCTCGGCTGCTTGCTTTAGTGACTGTTTGGGCCGGTCCTCGACCGAAGGGAGAGCTTGATCGATCTGCCGTTTTGATGTTTTCGGAGGAGGGAGAATGTCGTTGAAATCGTCTTGACTGACATCGTCGTCGCTGGAGTAGTAGTCCTCTTTGGATTCCCCTTCCCATAGAGTAGGCCGTAGGCCGCGCCGAATGCGTAGGCGATTGCGTTCTTGATGCCGGTCGAAACGATTCCTCTGGAAGTCCTCACAAAGCTCGTACCAGCCCTTGATGTCGAACTCTGGCTCGTCGCCACGTCTTTGTTTTTCTTGCGTCGCTTTCCACTCGTCCAGCAAAATGCTTGACGCGTTTTCAGGCGGCTCCCACGTAGCTCTCTCAAGAGGATATCCTGTCCATTCTACCAAATAATATTCTTTACCATCCTCAGTCGTTTGGTAGAGAATCTGTTCCACCGACCATTCCTCGTCCGAATCATGTTGTGATTCTAATGAGGACGTGATGGAGATGTCGTCGTCGTCTTCGTCGTCTTGCTTGATGGGGCTGCTCTGCGGTCGAGGGGAGGCCGCGTTCACAAACAAGCCCGGAGTACCCATTGCGAATTCAGGGCACGGAATTCATCGCATCTTCGGAAGATAAAAAGCGCTTTGGTCGGGTGGATGGTTGCGTTGGCACACGTGCGTAATGCAAGCTGAGTTGACAGACTTGCAGGACCTCGTTTGTTGAGAGTAGCGCAATGAGTGTGATGGAAAGGCCTGAAAATCGAAGATCCCAATGAGAAAAGACGGTTAACCAGACGCAGTGTGGCGAAGAGATGGAAAAGTTGACAGCAGGAGTCCTGGGGGTGTGTTAGACTTTGTGATTTCTCTTCATCGCGTAGGAAAAAGGAAACGTCGATGAGACTGCCCCGGAAATGTCACCGGATGAGCCGTCACAAATCGTTCACTTACCGGCGGGTATCGTTCGTCGTGGGGTTGATTGTTTGAGTGAGGTTGGATATGTGTGCGAGTCTGGAGAAATAACAAACGGGTGCTGATGAGAGCAGCCCTTAAAGTCCAAGGTATCCCGCGTTGAGCCGTATTTATCTGAGTGAGGATGTCGGTTATTGAGATGAGGCAGGGACGATAGGCACAGAGGCTTTTGGCCCGTGCTTTCTGTCGCCGGGTCTGATGGGGCCCAAGGAAGAAGGAGGGGTCTGACAAGTGCCATCTTAACGGGAAAGCGCAATCTTCCCCATGCTACTCGGTAGCTAGTTACTTATACGAACAAGAGCTCGACGGATCGTGCTACCTCATGACGTAGAGAGCTTTAAAGTTGTTTAACCCCGAGTTCCTGGTCTGACCGACATGTTCTTTTCAACGCCGGCGGTTTTTTTTTTTTTGTGTCTAAGTGGCAAGTACTTACCAAGGACAGATAGGCAGGCAGTGGCATGCAAGCATCATGGCATGTTTTGGAGCATGAGAAAGCAGTCAAAACAGGGGACCTTACCCATATTATTTGTGTAATCCGAGTCTCCCGGCTCTTTTGATGATCACCTGCGGGCATATCGACGGAAACAAGTCCGTTACTATCCCAGCTCGCGAACATGCGGGGAAGCAAGCTTATAGGTAGAGACGACCTATTTGCGAGACAGTTCGGCATCCGAATAGAAGAGCATCACCTCAGTCGCCCAACCAGGTTTGTGGCTCTACGAAGGTCATCCGGCGCTGTCAGAGCACTGCCGCCTTGCCTACGTTTCTCGTCTTACCTCATAGAAGACGTCAGAGTGTGAGATGTGATGCGAAGCATTGAAGTAAGTACACCAAGCTCCGGTGCGGGCAAGGAAGACGTTTCTCAGATCGGGCCACGGGTTCGGCACACGTGATCCTGGATATGAAACGCGACACTTCCGGATACCGACGGCGGAATCCCATCATGGACACTGCAGTTGACCATATCTCATATACCTTACGCAAGTTCTTAGGCAGTCAGACGGGACGGAGAGGGAGAAACAGACAGATGACGGCTGGTGGTTGGTGCATGTTCTGCGGTGGTGTGGCTCAGCGGGTTGTTGTCTTTCCGGAACGTGGAGGATCCCCCTTCGACGCTGATGAAGGCAGGCAAAGAACCAGGGAATCTGAATAGGCACCTACGTGCGGATGGAAGGCATTGTAGCTAAGAAGGTCGTCGTCGTGCAAAGAGATGGAGCGACCTTTCTTCCTGGCCAAATCCCCCTCTCCACAGCCCGGGCATGATTCTACATAGGTAGGTAGGTACGCAGGGAGCTCCTCATTGATGATGTTGACAACGTCACCTGCAATGCCTTGTTCTCTTTGAAATACCTGGGTAAACATCGCCGCTGTTCGTCTTCCTTCTCCCCCGGTCAGTCTATTTGAGGGACTTGTAAGCCTGAAGATACATTATATCCCATTGCTTCGCTTAGACACCTTCTTCCGTCTCACAAAGGTGCTTTTGTGCTACAGCAGCCTCCCTGATCCCTCGAGCGCCCCGGTGTTCCATCTGCTCCATGCCTTGGTGGACACCGCAGCCCTTTTCAGCGCAGCCCCGTCCCTTTCCCCCTTTGCCCAACTTTCCCTTTAGTGGCTGACCACCTCCAGTACCCAGCCCCAGCCAATCCCAGTGACCCAAAGCTGCTGCGCCGACACCATCATCCAGCAACCTTTGCTGCCTCACCTCCACGCTCCTACCTACACCTGCACCTGCACCTGCACCTAGACCAACCTGCACAGTCCACCTTTTCTAGGTACTTACTCTCCAGTGTTCTGTTCTGGTTCAGTTCTAGGCCCGTACACCTTGCCTTCGCCTCAACTCAACTGCTTTATCTCTGGAGGCCGCGCACACCTCCATCGAGCCGCAGAGTCCTGGTTTCGCATTACCAACTATTCTACATCTCCAGCACTCGTCCACCGCATCGCATCCAAACCGTCAACATGGCCAACGACGAATATGACGTGAGTTCTGCCATCCGTAATCGCCCATTGTCCCCTTGGACCCCTTGGACTGCCACTCACCCCTCTCTCCCTCTAACTCTCTTCCCCCCCCTTGCGCTAACCTGTCGCCTTCGCAGTTCCTCTTCAAAGGTGCGCCGACGACCACACGACCTCCCGATCCCATCGCGAAATGGCCACGACGCCTCCGAGTAGCAAGCTGACATTTCACTCCTTCTAGTGGTCTTGATTGGAGACTCCGGCGTCGGAAAGTCCAATCTTCTCAGTCGATTCACCCGCAATGAGTTCAACCTGGACTCCAAGTCGACAATCGGCGTCGAGTTCGCTACCAGATCCATTCAAGTCGACTCCAAGACGATCAAGGCTCAGATTTGGGATACCGCCGGCCAGGAGCGATACCGCGCCATTACCTCCGCCTACTACAGAGGAGCTGTCGGCGCCCTCCTTGTCTACGACATCAGCAAGCACCAGACATACGAGAACGTCACGCGATGGCTGAAGGAGCTGCGGGATCACGCCGACGCAAACATCGTCATTATGCTTGTCGGAAACAAGAGCGATTTGCGACACCTGCGAGCCGTGCCCACAGAGGAGGCTAAGTCCTTTGCCAGTACGTTGCGGTGAACGACCAAGAAACGCATCGTGAACCCCTAGTTGGCTGACATGAGTCTTAGGCGAGAACCACCTCTCCTTCATTGAGACGTCTGCCCTCGATGCCAGCAACGTCGAGCTCGCATTCCAGAACATCTTGACCGGTGCGTTGCTTTGCCCCCACCCATGCAAATGAACTACAAAACACCCACCCCCTGAATTGACCCGCGTTCTGACATGGCTCCTTTCTTCCTACAGAAATTTACCGAATCGTTTCGAGCAAAGCCCTCGACTCGGGCGACGGCGCCCAGGCCTCGATCGGAACCGGTCCCAGCATCGCACTCAGCAAGCCCGCGGATGACAGCGCAGAGAAGAGCGGCAAGTGCTGTTAGGCACCTTGCCCCCCACCCCTGGAAACTTCCTTCTTCACGGCCTTTCGGAGGGCTGCTACGGTCGATATCATGGCGTCTCTCATATGCCCCGGAATCTGTATGTCACTTGGTCAAGGAGGGGTTGTTGCATCGAGGAATGACTAGGAATCCAACGAGTCTTTTTATGATTTCCGAGGGGACGGAGTACAGTCTCGGCCTTTCCTTTTTTGTCCGTTATACGGCTCAGTGCGGCCTGTCTGGGATTTGACGTTTCTGACGATCGCTCTGCCATGCTTACGTAGTTGAATGAATCCATCTTAATGCCTTGGGGTTGCTCTCCGTATGCTTCCTGATGTGAGATGGGGGGTCGAAGACATCAATCGTTGCACGGCGCTACCGCTTGCTCATACGCCTCCTTATAACGGAACGCACACAGAACAGCAGAGCCTGGGACAGCAGAGCCTGGGTTCACGATATTGCAAGGGACGCATGGGTCGCGTCTTTGGCCGCGTGAGCTTGAAGGGGGATGGATACTCATTTTGTACACTACAGCCTGTTCTGACGTACCCTGCCCACACCCACAGTACTGACTGGCATGTGCCATGACTTGACATTGCGATCCTCACAGCTCCTAAATGCTTCCCCTGAGCCGCCATAGGTCTGTAAAGAACCAGTTACTGGAGCACTCACAATGCGAAGGAACACCAAGGGTTCCGTACAGTCGAATAGAATCTTGCCATTGCATCTTGTACGTAGGTAGGTAGCAATGACAGCACGCACAATGAACGGAAGTGGGCTGCAAGCTGCTGCGATCCACAAACTTTCTTTCCCCCCCAGGTGCAGCCCGCTCGGTCTCCTGGCGCGAAGCGCACCCTTTCCCACAGGTAGTCTAGCGCTCCTCGCATTTGCTGAGGTGAGGTGAAGCAGGGGGGTACACCCCCGCCCCGCTCGGCCACCAGCGATAAGCCTTATCTGTCGGAGAAAAGTAGCCTCCGGCAAAAAAAAAAAAAAGTCTGGGTCGCAAAGATCGAAGAACGAGTTGGATACAGCTTTCTGCTACCCTACCTGCTAACTCTCAGAAGGCTTTGCGACCGCGCTTTGTCTCTCACGCCGCCAGAACTTTACGGGGAGCTTTGGAAGGACTTTGCGACTAACGAGCTGAATTTTTCTGAGCCGGAATTCCTTTTCATCGTCCGATTGCCCCTCCCTCGCAGCGCCGCGGTTGATCTTCCTCGAATCTGCGATCGCGATCGTCTCGACGGTTTTGCACCAACAAGCTCCTCGAACCGAACTCAACCCCTTGGATATAAATCATTCGACACAACGACAGTCAAAATGGCGGCCGTCTACAAGAGCTTGTCGAAGAGAACCGACCAGAAGGAGGCAGCGCCGGTAGATGGAGCTGTGAAGAGCGTCAACAAGCAGCGTGTCCTGCTGCTTTCAAGCAGAGGCGTGACGTACAGGCAAGTTCAAAGATACATTACACCCTCTGGATGTCATCTGAGCACTTGCTGATCCATGACTGTCTAGACACCGACACCTGCTCAACGACTTGGCGACGCTGATGCCCCACGGAAAGAGGTAAATTCGGCACGGATCATCTATGCAACTGGAATTTTGGGCTAAGCTTGGGCTAGAGATGTGAAATATGACAAGAAGGGAAACCTCAACGGACTCAATGAGCTGGCTGAGTTGTATGCGACCTGCTTTCCGAACGTGCGCCGGGGCAACGAACGCTGACAGTACCTCTCTAGGTACAACTGCAACAACATCGTCTTCTTCGAAGCAAGAAAGCACAAGGATCTTTACCTCTGGATGGCAAGAAGCGGCAACGGATGCAGTATCAAGTTCCATGTTCAGAACAGTATGCTTGCTGTCTAAATCAGGTCCGAGGCGGCAACTGACATGCTTCTAGTCCACACGATGGAAGAACTCAACTTCCCAGGTATGAACTCATGCTATTGAATATTTTCCTACGCCCCTCTGTTCTCTTGCCATTCTGCCCACATTTGAGGCGCATGGAAGATCACTACATAGCATATTAAGGTGGGAATCATGCTAATATCGTCGAAAGGAAACTGCCTCCGTGGTTCAAGACCGATTTTGTCGTACGTTCTCCCCCCCTCTCCCCTCGGCAACTATCTCCTCGTCCCACAACGACTGACTGAGTACTTAGCTTTGACCAGGCGTTTGAGAATGATGCTCATTTGCAGTGTATGTTTAGCTCCTTACTTTCGGGTGCTCCGGACTGACAACATGGCAAAAGTGATGAAGAAAATGTTCATTGCTGCTTTCGGAGTGCCTCCCGGGGCGAGAAAGGCCAAGCCGTTCATTGATCACGTGATGAGCTTCTCGGTGCTGGATGGCAAGGTGAGATCTGCCCGCCGAGAACTTGCGTTATAGTGACTAACGTACTTGCAGATCTGGGTCCGGAACTACGAGATCCAGGAGAAGGAGGGCCAGGAAGACGATGGAGAAAAGACTGTGACCAAGGGTGGGAAGACGATTTCCACCTCTCTGCAAGAAATCGGCCCCCGCTTCACCCTCACGCCTGTCGTCATTGTAAGTTGACAACGTCCCGATATCCAGTTAGAGAAGTGCAAAGCTGATATCGTTTGCGCGCACGCAGTTGGAGGGGGCTTTTGGAGGGCCAAAAATCTTCGAAAACAAGGAGTATGTCAGCCCCAACCTGGTCAGGTCTGATATGAGAAGGAAGAAGGCGGTCCGTCACACGGCGAGGGCTGAGAAGGTTGTCGAGCGGATGTCCAAGAAGGGTGACCTTGGTCTTCGATCTACAGGAGGCAAGCCGGCGGCCAAGGATGAGCTGGACACCAAGACTTTGTTCGCTTAATAATGAGATATCCACCTTCTTCTTGGGAATGATTGCGTAATGGGAAAAAGTTGTTTGTTTTGTAAGCTAATTGTCACAACGACTGGAAGTCTTGATGATTTCAAGACTGTGTTAGTCCAAAGTTTGCAGTGATTGGCCGGTGAGTCTCATAATAAGGTGCCCAAGCTACAAGCACTGATAGCGATAAAACACCCCCGTCAATTGGCGCTGACGCCAGCCAGGGGCGGGAACCCACTGTGAACCGTACCTGCCTCCCAGAGTCAGTCCGGGCCGACGTTTAGGTCAGCAGGCAGGAGCGACCTGCATGTCCTCTGCGTCACCGTCGCGTCCAACCTCCGTCCGTTGCCTTTAACTCCTTTGCTCTCGCATCTTCGAGTCGCACTTGATCTTCCCACACCGCGGCCCTTAACTACCTAGGCAAGGCTTATCGGGAATCACATTGGCCTACATCGATGACAGCCTCTCCATCGAGGTAAACAATGCCAGTCCGCGTCCTCGCCGTCCTTGATAGCCCCAACGCCGGGGTGGTTAGAAAATAGGCCATTCGGTCTTAGGCCTCGCCGGTGAATTGATTCGTCCGCGAGGTTCGACGGAGGTTTCGTCGCCTCTATTCTATTAATCTCATTTCCTTGGCTAGACTTTACTCGAGTCTACCGGTAGAAGGTTCTTTCACGACGGCCAACGAGACGATAAGCTCTCGTCTGCCCTTCTGGTTGTGGCATCCGTCTGCAATCATTGCGATCCAGGATACTGGTCACCAAGATCCAACGAAAGGGTCACACACAAAGCATAATGCTGCAAATCACCGGTGAACTCTACCACATCTAAACGATGTAGTCTTGTTCTAATGTCCCAGCAGAATCCAACCGTCTCATTGCCGCCAACGGCGTCTGTTTGTGCCTCTGACACATCGAGTTCACTTTTGAGAAACAACTCCATTCGATTAGCAGTTCACAGCAATTTGTTACCTCAATTCATCCGATTGCTTTCTTTGTCAACCGGTGTATCTTTGTGGTGTTATCCGCCTTATCACCACTTACTTCAACCACACCCCAGACACCAAGGCGAAACCCCGTTCACCAACGTCTTCGTTTCAGCAGTCTAGTCGTATCTGCTTCGCTGCTGCCACTGAATTCTGAACGACTTGTGCGATTTGTTGAGCCCCCGAACAAGTCAGTCGTCTCGTCGCCATCTATCAGACAGCATCGTCATCATCATAATCCACGAATCACCTCCACTCCGCGCTGCGGTACGTATTCGAGATGGCATCCAAGTTCTCATCCCTGTTTATTGCATCCCAGCTGCAGTTGGATGCTGAGCGCAAGGTTTCCGATGATGGCGGCAAACTCGAGGGTCTGGAGGGCCTCCCACTTGAGATTATCTTCGACATTTACCAGCAACTTGACGTTCGCAGCATTTTTTCTTTGGCAAAAGTCAACACACTGTTCCATGGACTGCTAAAGAAGAACAGGGCAGTCATTCTGCTACCAGTTTTACAGCGGGAGTTTAATCCATTTGACGAGCTTCTCCAGGTCTACACGGCATCGGATCAGGATTTAGGCCAGTACGGTGACACTTTCCAGCCCCGACGAGTAGTTTTCAGGCGCTTTCCAGGCGACGTGTCAGGAGTTACTCTGTCACAGGGTGGCATCCGTTCAGATTCTGCGCCATCTCCCGAGCAGGTTCTGTTTACCAGAATTCTCACCAACGGCAAGTCGCTGTCTGCGACTACACTACCGGCGCCACGATCAGTCGCCGTCAATGACCGTGATTTTGACTCCTTGCTCAAGTATTGCCTAGTAGTCAGACGGTGGGAAGAGCTCTTTCCTCAACTTCACTGGTTTTCAAACCCAGAAGACTGTCGTCAACTCAAGGATACAGAAAAGTTCAGATTCCGCAGGGCTCTCTACCGCTGGTGGCTGTACGCCTTTTACTTTCACGGCGAGCTTCCTCGACCTAGAGGTGGCCATCCTGAGGCATTTGTCAACGACGTACGAATCAGCCAAATGAGACTCTACCCTTCGACGGAGCTGATGGAGCTGAAAGACCTTTTCACCTCTGTGAAGCAGCTTGTGCGACATTATGTTTATCCAAACCTAGAGCAAAACCTGGAGCCTGTATGCGACTCCTTGAATGATATTCTGTGCCTATTGCTGACACCGTAGCTGCAGATCCAAGACATGAGCTCCTTAGATCGAATGATTGAGAACACCATTCGCGAGCGAATCGTAGATACCTACGCAAAGCTCGACCCGCGAGATCTCATGTTTTATTTTGAAAATCTGTTCAACTATCCTAGGAAGCGTCTTGTAACGGATGTGAACCTTAGGCACCCCAACTTCTCTCGAGATCAAGAATCACTCGAGGCAGCCGTGCAGGCCGTAGTGGATGAGCGCCCGTGGCTCTACGAGGTCGATGACTTGAGTACTGTGGGAGGTATCGTTGATGTCAACAAAGAATGTGAGGATCGCCTCAACAATGACGGTAGTCATGACGGTACGATCCCGGCACCCGGAGCTTTTCAGCGGCCACTCAGCGATTGGGCGCCTCCTGGAGATGATGGCCGAACTCTTGCTGAGCGAGATCATTTCCATCGGTACGCGCGGCGCGTGTTAGGCAATAACTTAGACTAGATTCAGCAGAGATAGACTCTGGCAGTATACATGTGTTTCTCTGCTACACTCATGCGCGCTGCGATGACTTGAATATCGTGTCATTTTGAAAGTGTCTGATGAAATGAGTAACGATGGGGCCTGGGGAGTGCACTGATCCAACTTGCCTGAAATGGGTGCTCCATACCTTAGTGTACGGTGTGTCTTAGTACGAGGCTGCGGTTACAGGGGTGCTGCTGTGCTGTGGCGGGTGCACCCTGCAAGGCGGCAGGCTTGTGGCCAGCTCCCGCCTTGTCAGTGGCCCAAGCCTCCCATCTTGCTCTCACTCACACCCGGCCATCCATCTATTAATCCTCCTATACAACGGTCTTTGCGCAACAACACAGCGTCTCTCTGTTGCGCATATTCTGCCGCTGGATTTATGATTATCCTTCCAGACTTCTTCGATTCGTCTAAGTCGGCAATCTTGACAGAACGGGGCCGCGCCGGTGTAGGTCATCTTGCGCTTGCTGGCAGTTCTCAAGCAAACAAGCCCCTCGACCTCTCTGTCGCATCCTCGACATCAGCCATTGTTCACCCAAGATTGGTAAGTGATGTTATCTCGCATGTTACCCATCAATAGAAGGAAGGAACAAAGGGCCAGCCACGGCGCGGCGTTTCGTGACTGAGTGAACAGCGGAGACCGTACGTCTCTTACGGCACCTTCCTGGTCAGCATCTTTCATCCAAGTTGCGAAAGAAGAGCCGCAATGCGGCACTCAGAGGTCCCAGTGCTCTCATATATGTCTATCCAGAGTTACTGAACCGCCAATCTGGATGATGCTTCATATTCTGCTTTATCGAGACGTCTCCTGCCTCTCACGCACTCACACATGTTCCTGAAGTACATCATTGTATACTGACTTGCATTAGATATTCGGTCTCTCTGTTGGGAATCGCAATAAACAGGCTTTCTCAATTTAGTTTGAGAGACTGCGCCTGCCTGATTCATACTTCAAGCGTATCGCCTCAGATAGAGCCCGGCTGCTTTTCTCTATCGATCGTGTCACGTCTACTCCAGCGCCCAAGACCGTCAACGCAGTCAACGAGACAAAAAGTTAATTTGCATTTCTCACCGCACGCCATATTGCTTGCGCCTCTTATTCCCCCCAAGATTGGTTCTAGATCAGGTTGACCAAAGTCCTAGGGGCTAGTCAACCCAGCCCATCTTCGCACCATGGACGGTGCCGACCCAGACGTCGTCATGGGCGGTGACGACGGGCCATCAAATCACACGTCAACCCCCAACGGTGTCGCCTCGGCTGCGGCTGGTGATCCGAAGAGTGGAAACCCGACGCCATCTGACGAGGAAGAAGAAGAGGATTACGAAGAGTACGATGAGGAGGTAGACGTCGTCGACCAGACCCGCAGACGCGGTCTCCTACCCACGGCGTGTTGCTACGACGACCGAATGAAATTGCATGTTAATGCTGACTTCGGCGCCACTCCTCATCACCCTGAAGACCCTCGTCGCATAGAGGAGATCTTCAAAGCGTTCAAGAGAGCCGGCCTGGTCTACACAGGCCCCGAGGCGAATGTCGCTCAGGTGTTGAGAGACACCCCTACCAAGTACATGTGGAGGATTGGCGCGCGCGAAGCCACCAAGGCAGAAATCCTAACCACCCACACACCCGATCACTACCGCTGGGTCGAAGACCTGTCCCGAATGGACTACGCAACACTGCGAGAAACCAGCAAGCAGTACGACCAAGGCCGAGCCTCTCTCTACGTCGGCAGCTTGACTTTCACAGCGTCGCTTTTGTCTTGCGGCGGTGCCATTGACACTTGCAAACATGTGGTCGAGGGAAACGTCAAGAATGCGTTCGCCGTCATCAGACCGCCTGGTCACCACGCAGAGTACGATCAACCACTGGGGTTCTGCTTTTTCAACAACGTACCTGTTGCTGTCAAGATCTGCCAGCAGGAGTACCCCGCAGATTGCCGAAAAGTCCTTATCCTAGACTGGGATGTCCACCATGGCAACGGAATTCAGAACATCTTCTATGATGATCCCAACGTGCTGTATATTTCTCTTCACGTGTATCAAAATGGAATCTTCTATCCTGGCAAGCCTGACAACCAAGATATCCCAGACGGAGGCTTAGAGCACTGTGGCACGGGGCCTGGCCTGGGCAAGAACATCAACATCGGATGGCATGACCAGGGAATGGGCGACGGCGAATACATGGCCGCATTCCAGAAGATCATCATGCCCATCGCCAAGGAATTCAACCCGGATCTGGTCGTCATATCGGCAGGTTTCGATGCTGCCGCTGGGGACGAACTGGGTGGTTGCTTTGTGACACCTACCTGCTACGCCCACATGACGCACATGCTGATGTCTTTGGCGGACGGTAAAGTTGCTGTGTGCTTGGAAGGAGGTTACAACCTTCAAGCAATCTCTACATCAGCCGTCGCCGTTGCTCGCACCTTGATGGGAGAGCCCCCGCCAAAAATGGACATACCCATGCTTAACAAGGATGCGGCAAGAGTGCTGGCAAAGGTACAGAGCTACCAGGCGCCGTACTGGGAGTGCATGAGACCTGGCATCATACCCGTTCCTGAAATTCAGGATCTCAATGCCACCAGATTGCATGACCACGTCAGACTCGGTCAACGACAGGACCTCTCGCAAAGACATCAGATGATTCCTCTATTCATCCAAAGGGACCATCTCTTCAAATCGTACGAAAACCAGGTCTTGGTGACACCCGACATTCAATCTGCGCGCCAACTGCTCGTCATCATCCACGATCCGCCAGAGTTCCTCGCCCAGCCTGACGTCATCGACCGTCACATCGAGCTTCATAACGCATGGATTGTCGACAGTGTATCCCAATACATTGATTGGGCTGTCAATGAAGATATTGCGGTGATGGACGTCAACATCCCTAGCAAGGTTGTGCGGGACGAGGATATGGATCCATACAACCCCAAGATAGCGGACAAGGAGCTCCTTGCTGAACTCCAGGAGCTCTTGAACTATCTCTGGGACAACTACATTCAGCTTTACGAAGACGCAAACGACATCATTCTCATGGGCGTTGGCCGTTCTTACAATGGGGTCAAACAACTCCTCACGAGCCGAGGTATGCACCCTCAATAAGAGGTTTCCCGGTAATCATTGCTAACTATCCTTCACAGACTGCAAGTCACGCATAGCTGGAGTCGCAAGCTTTGTGGAAGGTATGCTGCGCCCAGTGAAGTCTGACGTGGACAACGAGCTTTCGACGTGGTATAAGGACCATTCGCAAATTTACGTGTCTCACGACCACCCCTGTTGGGACAGCGAGGACACAGTTCGCCGAGTTTCTAAGAGGCGCTTTGGTACTGTTATCCGCAGCGAGACGAGTGGCGTCAATAAGATGATGCAGACGCATGCAGCTGAAGTTCAGAGGTGGATGTTAGACAAGCTAGCGGCTCGTCAAGGTGGCGATACAACTGACGACGAGAAGATGACATGACAGGTTTCAGGGTTGCGCGACTAGGTTGGGTGGAATATCTTTGTGGTGTGAATGGACAAGAGATGAGGCAGATGGCACAGTCACAGCTTCTGTCAATTGTCACGGCTGGCGGCAGAGCATCATTTGGCGGGTAGGATACCAGGAGCTTCCAGGTTAGGAGGGCACACGATGAGTGAGCATGGAAGTTATTTGTCTGGAGTTTTGTGAGCGCAGGACAGCAGTCGACGACGTAGATTTCTGGTTGTCCATAAATCCTGACATGTAACACTGTGCTGCCTTCTACATGCTTCTGTGTGAGAATGAAATCTTTCACATCGCATTCTTGGTGTATCATCTTGTAAGTCGTTGATTGGCTGATCGTCCGGCGACGCTCTTGACATCCTTGACTGTCAGTTGAATTCTGCAGCTGTGATTGGCTTACGCCTGGGACAACTATGTGGGTTAAGTGCATGCAGCGCTCGGACTTTCATTGGCCAAACATTGTCTTATCCGGACTAGGAAGATGGATAACGCCGTTCTCAGCGTCCGAAGTGGGTACCCTTTCAATTTTCAGGGGCCGATCCAATGTGCCTGCCAGCAACCCTGCTCCATCAGACGTCGGCGCTGGCGCATGTAAAGGTAGCTGACCCTCTCAACACCACGACCGCGCGCATCACGGCTATCACGAGCTGTTGCGAGCGCGTCTTTACTCAAACTACAACACCTTCGCGTCAATCAGGCATCATTGACCATGGATCGCGATCGGCGAAGCAGGTAAGTCCCTTGTTGTTTGTTGTTCACAACTTTGCGGGCTGTCGACCCCAGCGACTGGTCAACGACATCCCCAGGTCTCGCAGACTTGTGTTTTCTGCCTTCTGGGCGAACCGGTCTACTGGCCTGGATTTTTGCCATAGGCTGCCTGCTCATGAAGTCATCAAAGCTGCCTTATTGTTTCCTCCTGTATCGCGCTCGACGCTGGTTACGTTGGGCGCAGATGCTCAGAGAGCGAATGGATTCCGCAGCCTTACCCATTGACTTCTATCGCCAAGGCATCCCGCCAAGACGTCATTGCAGCTTCAACTACAGAGTCTTGCTAACGTATAAAATCACAGGTACGAGGACGGCGAGGTCACTAGGTATGGCGCCGGCGAGTCCTGGAGACCCTTCCCTAGAGGGGAGAGGGGCGGAGGAGGAGATCGCTCTCCTCGACGAGCTCGAAGCCCCCTCCGTGACCGTGACAGAGATCGCGATCGTGACCGCGACAACCGCGACCGAGACCGAGACCGAGACCGTGATCGGGACCGCGACAATCGCGACAACCGCGACAGAGACAGAGATCGAGACAGAGACAGGGAGAGAGACCGCGACAGAGACCGCGCTCGCACTCCCCCCTTGACCTCCGACAGCTACGTCCCTGGCAGATCTCCTCGCCGCAGGTCTCGAAGCGGTGACCGCTACCGACGCGACAGGTCTAGAGACAGAGATCCGCGCCCGCAGAGCGACACATGGCGGAGGCGGGACAGAACCCGAAGCCCTGTGAGGCGGCCATCGCCGAGACGTAGTCCGTCAAGGCGTCGCAGTCCCATCGGCAGGTCTCCCGCCATCCGAGACGAGCGCAGTGACCGCGCCAGATCCCCGCGCCGCGATAATAGGGACAGAGACAGAGATCGCGACCGCGATCGAGAGAGGGAGAGGGAGAGGGATAGGGACCTTGATCGACGGGACGACAGGTACCGCTCGTTGCCCCCCTTTGCGCAGAGCCCAGTCTCATCCGCTCCCTTTAGAAGACGGTCGCGCTCGCCGTTTGGTGGACGTGACAGGCCCCCGCGTGACAGAACTCCTCCGAGGAGATCACCGCCTCCTCCGGCGGCTAGAGGCAGCTATCGACCCCGATCTCGTAGCACGAGCCGTCGCGGCGGCGAGAGATACCTCGGATCCTCCTACAGACGAGCGTCACCGCCTCGAGATTCCGGCATCTCGTCGGCCATCACGTCTCGATCAGCTTCAGGCAAGTCGTCACCGCATCCTCCTTCCTCCATACGAGCACGTTCGCGGCCGCAATCGAGGGAGCGGGAGCAGCGGGAGCAGCGGGAACGGGAGCGAGAGCGCGAGCGGGACCCCACACCACCCCTCCAGACCGGCGGCGCTTCTGCCATACCGTCGTCGTCATCGTCCGCGACGGCGCGGGAAGCACCGCCGCCGCCCTCGAACTCGAAGCCTGCCGCCGTCCCCTCTACCGCCGCCGCCGTTGTTGCCCCCCAAGAGCCGGCCCCTTCGCCGGTTGCAAAGACGCCTCCCCGAGGCCCCGCGGCCCTGCGTGCTCCTCCAACCGGCCCTGCCGCGACCCGAAACTTCTCTGCGCCCGCCGGCTCACCCGTTGTCCAGCCACCTAGACACCCGCAGACCCCGAGCGTGCCGCCCCCTCCCTCCCGATCGGACGCTACGAGTCCCACGATCCCACCCGCTGGCCCTCGAGGTTATGTAGCTCCTGCGCGCGGTGGCGGATACAATGGCCGTGGTGGACGAGGCTCTTGGTCTGCCGCGCCTCCTCCTCGTCAAACCCCCGTGCCCACGACATCCCCTTCTGCAACCGGCAACGGACCATCGACCATACCAACCGGTCCGCGCGCCAACCCCTCCAATGCCACCCCAACAACCTCATCAGCACCCAAGGCGTTCAACCCGCCCACAGGGCCTTCGTCCCAACACGGAGGCCAGGGCCAGCGTCTCACACTGGCGCAGAGTATGCTCTCTACCCTCCCTCCTCTCATCCCGGGAGGCAAGATCGACCCGTCTTTACTGCCGACAACTACGGGTATCACCAGAGAGATCGAGCCGCACTACAAGAAGCTCAAGGGCGAAGAGGAGAAGGCACGAGCGGAGCTTGACGCTAAGCAGGACAAGCTGCGCCAGAGCCTGCAGGTATGGGATAAGCTTGAGATGGAGTCCAAGGCATGGAGGACGAGGGTCGATCTTAGTGAGCAGAGCCTCAAGAGTTTGGCCGGAGAGGGCTTGGGAGGTGCCGCGTTCTGATGGGGTCGCCAGCAACTGTTGAACAGGTCATGGAGAGGAGAGTTTCTGCCACTATGTGTTTTGCTTTCATTTTCCCATTCTCAAACGGAGGAATACGGTTTTGGTGGATGAAAGGGATTGACGATGATCATGTACTATTATTAGCGGCGGGAACCATCAGTTCACCCGCGCATGTACGAATTGAGAGGGTACTGCGATAGTCATAGCATTAAAGTCACTTGATACCCTTTTCATGATCGTAGCGACACGTTGTCTTGACAGGGCCCGGGTTGGCTACGCAGTTGCGCGGGGGATATTCTATCTGACTGACGTCTGGTAAAATGGAAACGTTTATGACCCCTTCTTTTGACTTAACACACAAACACACACGAGATCAGATGGTCACTTGAATGGCAAAATGAGCGCTCATATGGTGAGATCCTGGTTGGACATCGCAGCATCTTGGAGCAGTGAGTGGGTAGGATTCAGCAAACACAATTTTATTCCCTGCTTTAGCAAATATTTTTGTATCTGACCTATCCGAGCACGCAAGGTAGGGTAATAATTGATGCCATGGAAAGCACATCCTTGCTAGCTTCCCATATGATCATGTCGTGACGCGTTATCTTGCCCACGTATAATCCGTATAGCCTTCCAGGCGAGTCCCTCTCAGCCTAAGATTCCCATAAACGCCCCAAGAGCCAATCGAGCCTTATAAACAAAGTAAGTAGTCATCCTCACAACCATCCTCCACAGAGTATACGCTCAGGGTCGCATTGACACACTGCTGAGACTATACAATGCATATAAAACTACTCTGCCTTCGGAATTGACGATGATCGGGCAGGGAGCTAGTAGTCCTACTCAAAGTCCATGTCACCATTCCACTCATCGTCGGTCTCGAAGTCACGCTCGTCGTTAAGAAAGTCCTCCATGCCGTACTGATGCTCTCTTGGTTTCTGGTTGTCGATATTGATGTCGACGAAAGTACAGAGGCCTTGTACGAATGTGCCGTCTGAGATAGCAGCATCTCCTGTTTCTTTTGTGTCCTGCTCGGAATCGTCCTCGGATTCCTCCACGGTCTCATCGGCATCATCTCCGTCCTCGGAATCGAATTCGTCGCTGTCCGGCTCGCGATAGGATTTTGGCTTCTGCTTGTTGGTACGGAGCCCTCTCGACGAGCTGCTTCCGCGTGAAGATCGCCCGGGTGCATCTGGAACGACACGGTTGCTGCGACGAGTCGGTTCTCCAGGAGCCTTCCTGGGTCTGCGCTTTGCGGGCGCCGCCTCATCATCCGCCGGCATGCGCAGCGAAAAGTTCGGCTCCGGATCCGTGATTGGCCGCAGGAAGACCTTTTCGAACTTCTCCTGCCATGATTTGCGGAAGTCACTGCGTTCCCGCCAAGGGATATCGAGCATGGCTTTGATAGACAAATATCTGAGCATTGGCAGTACGGAGGCATTGTCTATCAAAGAATGGAGGAACATTTTGGCGGTGTTCATGTCCCAGTTCCGAAGGTTTTCCAAGTGAAGTGTTTCGAGAGCCGATGGCCAGCTAGGTACTTGATCAGAGAGCAGTAAATGATCGTAAAAGGGTTCGTTGTCATCGACAGTCTCCAACAGACTGAAGTATTTGAAGTTGGCCCGTAGCTCCTGAAGGTGTGGGCAGGCAGTCCCCAGCACCGTGAGAAAGGCTAGACTCAAAGAACGATTGTGGTTGAGTACCAGCGCTTCCAATTGATGGCCGTTCGAGATCAGGAACTCCCCGAGGTTATCGGCCGTTACCTCCGCACAATTTACCAGCTCGAGTCGCTTCAACTTGATAGGAAGAAGGGGCAGAAATGCCGTGCAGACAATGGTTGAAGATTCGAAGACCAGATGCTCGAGATGATCCAATACCGTAAGAGACTCGGCTAGGAGCTTCATAGATCTTTCATCTTCAGCAACCAGCTCGGGGTCATCATCCGGATCTTTGTCGAGTCTGACTGACGGTAGTTGGTAGTTGACAAGTTTGATCTTTCGCAGGGAGGTAAAGCTTGGTGTTTGGTGCACTTCCTTCATTCTGACAAGGCTTCCCTCCCAATCCTTGTCCATGAGTCTCGAGCTCCACTGCCAGCTCTGGAGCCGCGTGATGCTCGTTTTGGCACCAGCTTCATCCTCTGCGGTGGGCGATGGCTCGAAGGCTTTCCATAAGTCAGCAGGGTAAGTCCACTTGATTTGCTCTTTCAGCTTGCGGTAAGGCGCTTGGTCATAACCATGTGACAGCAGCACTTCAGACAGACGAGGCAGACTTTGCATTAGGCTGGTAGCAGGCGTGTGATTTTGCAAAGACACTAGCCGGACATCGATGTGGAGTGCCTCAATTTTCGCTCGATAGTTGATGGCCGTCATGGAAGGCGGTTTCTCGAGGAGCTCCGCAAGCCTTTGAGCCTTGACCTCATCCTTGACGGGCGGACGTCGGTAAAGAACTGTCAGAGCAGGTTCCACAAAATCTCGACATACCCGAGCTGTTGCGAGTAGCCAGTTGATATCTTGAACATCCTCTTCTTCGCCAGATATAGCGGCATATCGAAAGACCTGAACCCAGATTGCGTGTTCCATGCGAGGGTCTAACCAGTTCGGTATGATGGAATTATCTATCTCCGATGCACTGGGCGGTGTTTTCCCAGCAAGCGTGGCGTTGATCTTGGGAGGCCGTCCGACCTTCTTCTTAGAAGGCCTGCCACGGCGTCTTTTTGCTGGGGAAGAAGTGGGTGGAGACTTCATCGCATCATCCCCATCGGGCTCATCGTCGGATCCATCTTCGCTAGTCTCGTCGGGGGATGATTCGTCCTCAGGAGTTGATCTTCTCGGCTTCGGCGGGCGGCCTCGCTTCCTGGCTGTCTTTCCATCAATACGTCCAGTGGCGACTTTCTTTAGCCCAGCACCCTCGGCTCTGTTTTCCCTAGCAGTCGCGCGATTTGCTCTCGCCTTTGATGCAGCAGTGGCGCCGGTGGAAGCAGCCGCACGCGCGCTCCGGCGCCTGACTGCGGGCGACGTCTGGGTAGACTCCTCGAAATCGTCCTCTTCCTCCTCCATTGGTTCATCGTCCTCGGAGCTTTCACGGTATTGCGGTCGTGACTGGGTACGTGTGCTCGATCGGAGGGATTGTACTTCTTTCGCGGAATCAGATCGACCACGAGGTTTTGTGACCCGCATCTGAGAGGAAATGGAGGTTGAACGGTTGGAGGTTCGTGACGAATTGCGGCGGGAGCTCGATGCCCGCTGGGAAGCCATGGCGCAAGGATGCGTATGCCTGTGTCGCAAGGATGCACATGTTAGTGGGCGTTGAGGATGATGCTGGGTACCAAGGATCAAGGGCAAGACCAAATACCTGAGGCGATCTTTGCGTGAGAGCTATTGCTATGTCGAGCAAGGTGGCCTAACAATAGGCAAAGAACAAGATTCAGAGTCGGCGCATCGCCTTAAGCCGTCTGGCTATGACGTTTGCGACAGTGCGAATGCGCCAGTGGATCGGAGTGCCGAAAAGTGGTAATTGATTGCAACGCAATTACGAAGGTGCGAAGAATGCGTGTATGCCAACGATGGGAGATGGGACTGGTGGAGCGAGATCGGGGTGGGAAGAAAAGAAAGAGTTTTGGCTTTGAAGAACGGTCTTGAGATGGTGCGGTACATTCACCTTTGCCGGCGACTGGAGTTGGAGTCGGATGTGGTGGGGCAGGAGCGCGCGACACTCGAGTTGAACCAACACAACAGAGTATGAGAGCTTGTAGCCTTGCACTAGCGCGCAGCATTCTCAAGGCTGCCACGCTTGCCCAGGCGCTTGCCGAAAAGATGCCTGGCTCCACACAAACATCTGGCCCGTGCGCATGTCGCCAAAACCTCAGTGTGAAGGTGGCTGCAGAAGCTTTCTGTCGTCAGTCGTGGCTCCCATTCCCATTGTGCCTTGCACTGAGTATTCCGACCAGGTGAGAATAAGTAAGGTAGGCCATAGGATGTTTCGCGGCCCTACACCTTTCTTAGGGCCTGGAAGGTCAAAGTATCAAGGAATGCGAGTTCCTAGTCATGGACGATCGTTAGGGGCTCCGTTCAAAGTCGGCATATCGATTTGACATACTCATGTCTGTTCGTTCTTTTGGAGCAAATCGAGGGGAAAGTTGGCCGTTGAAAGCTCCCGCCTCAGACAAAATTTCAAGACGGAGACCCTCTCCCAATGGGAACACCAAACCAGGCCCAATTCGACCTGGCTGTAGCACCGTCGGGATGCCTGCCGCGTTCGCCTGAGAGAGTCCCGCCCCATTTTAAACTCATTCAACAGCCAATCCTGTGCCGTGGCTGCCTTTGAATGTTCAGCAAGCTGCGGGTTGCCATCAGTCCCCTGTTACCTTAGGTAGGTAGCGTAGCGGGAAGGCGCCAGTGGCATTTGCCGATTGCTGTTCCCTGTTCCTGGGTGGAAACAGCCTACTGGCCCCTGGGCGACAACAATGCGAGCGAGTCCCACCCCCAAATTCACTGTTCCTGGCCCCGGGGTGTTTGGTCCACGTCCACTCCCCTTGGGCCAGGGCATCCATCAACGACGCGCTTCAGCTCACACGTCGCTCTCTCCCAGCTTGACTTGACCAGAACCTGTGCCGGCTTCTCTCCCAAAGCGCCACTATTCCCACCTTCTTGACGCGCGACATTCATTTCGCGCCGGACTCGAACTCACTTTTTCTAGCTTCGAGCCCGCTTCTCTCTGACACTCTTCTTTCTCGTCAAAGCGGCTACGTAAGGTACTTCGGTCTTGTTTCCCCTGTCTCAGCCAAAAATCGCGAGTCGCGTTCTACCGGGTTCCACCCCGTATCTTGGCCATCCGCCATCGCATTGCTTTCACAACGCCTCTCTCACGCACCTCACAAACGCCTGCTTTTGCGCGCCGCCAAAATTTTTCTCCCGTCACAAAGCCCAAAAGGTCGCCATCCATCGACCGAACGGATATTCTGACGGGTGCGCCTCACTTCGCATTGCCATGGGAAGTCACCTGCAGACCACTCGCATTCAATGAGCCTTGGAACAAGCCAACGAGACCTCTTCTCCGGCTCACCCCGTCAAAGTGGGCTTGACGAAGTAAGGGGCGACCGCGCCTGCCTCCGGGTGGACTGAAGCCGTTCAAAACTTAGACTTTCCGGCGCACCAAGCGGCATTCAACCTCTATAAACCTCATATGGTCCCCCTCTTCCAGCTATGACGGCTCACTCGCGGCGTCAGCGCAGCACCCCTTTTCTCCAGAGGAACATCTTGCAAGGCATGGGAAACTCTCAGTCGTCGGCTCAGAAGGCCGCTGCTGCTAGAGAACCCCCCATCGACAATGATGACAACCGCGCCACCAAGCGTCGACGGACCGAGGCCAAGATCCAACCTCACACCCTGCAAGACCAGCTTTTTCATGCCCGCGAGGTTGGCGATGTTCAACGCAACCTATGCGTCCGCATAGGCAAGATCAGCCACAAGGAATCAAAGCGCGTCAGCCTACCTCCGGACGCGTACGAAGATGTCATTAAGCTGCGATCCAGGTGTAAAGTCAGCCTGTGGCACTATGAGACGATCCTCTACTGCAACAGCCAAGTCTGCGACATCACGTCCTTCAAGGACCCTGGCGGACCCTTGCGCATGGCCCGCGTGAGCCTGCCGCGCCCTTTTTACATTCCCAAAGATACCATGCGCGTCAACAATGAGAGGAATAACTCGTTCGACCTGGCCGATGAATATCGCCTCTGCATCGAGTTGGAAGCCGCTGCTCCAACTGTGTGGCCTCCTATCATCTTGAACGGCGAGGAACCGGGCCGCTCGCACAAGTCTGAGGCACATCGCTGGGTTTTCGTCGCCGCTATGTCCAACCTGTTCTCAAGCAAGCCGGCATCGCTGATTCTTAAAGTGAGGACGGGAGACTCAGAGCTTGTTGCGACAGATTATGTGATCGAGGTGGATACCCTGTGGACGTCAGCGTTCGAGGCATCCGCTATCCGTCCTCTGGAAGACGGAGTCAAGCCGTCTATTACCGTCCACCCGGAGCTTACTGGCGATGCCTTCCCCGCGGATTTCCAGCAATTTGAGAGTCCGCCTGTGAGTCCTGTCAAGGAAGTGAGGAATGGCCTTACAACACCTGTGAAGGGTCTCAGGAACGGCGTGGTCAATGGGGACGCTCATGATGATGACGAGGCAGAAGAGGAGCTCACTCCCAATCGGTCTCTCCGGGTTCGTGGCGCCACTAAGAACTACAACCTCAAGGTTTTGAGCGACAAGGCTCAGGGCAGAGAGAAGAAGCAGAGGAGACGCCGGAACACAAACGCCGTTGAAGACGGAACTGTCCTCTACAAGATGCCTAGTGAGCAGGTGCAATTGGACAGCTTCCGCTGCGTTACCTGCGGTGCGGCCCATGATCAACTGCAGCAGCTGCAGGCCCATCTTGTCAACCAGCACGCGGAATACGACTTCAAACCAAAACGTTCCGCTCGGGGCTTGGAATGGTTTGAAGTCGAACATCGTTACAGGTCGTACATGTTTGGTGCGGAGCCCTTCACACTGCGCCGTCCGACGAAGGTCTTTTCTTTGGATCAGTTCGCCGATGGAAATATTTCACAGGTGACCTCACGATTGGATGCTGATGACGAGACTGCCTCATCTGCCCAGCCCCGAGGCCGGAGTCGAGGTCGAAGCAGGCACTCGGCGACTAGGGCCCCGCCTCCAGAGGTTTGTGCTCTGTTGTTTCAACCGACATCGTTTGACTAACTAGGCATAGGCACGTTCGAAGCTAATCATTCCGGATATCAAGCAAACACTGTACGACCCGGTCACAAGAGCCACGTTAGACCCGGGCTCGGAGTACAGGAAACCGGAACCCAGTGACCAATGGCTGATCCAATGGCACCGGGACGCGTTAGCGGACTTCTCAGATGTCCCGCCAGATGAGAGAGAGTACATGCAGGAGTGGGATAAATTCATGCTCACGAAGCGTATCTCATCAAATATTTACTTCCCACGGGCATGGCTGAGCTTTGTGAAGCTCAAGGCGGACTGGCTTCTCTCGTCTCAAAATCGCATGGTCGAGTTTGGAAAACACTTTACCTACCTCTTAGCCAGGAGCAGTCTGGACCATGCTACCGTCGAAGAAGCTCTGGAGCACATTTCAGTCTGCAGAGACAAGCTCGGTGTGCAGAATGGTAATAGCACAACCCCCAAGCCAAAAGAGTCACCCAAGGGGCCTCACATCCGCAAGAGTGCCGCTGGCTGCCAGGTGTGTGGGCTCGCCGTCTTGGGTCCCAGACTGCTGTTGTGTTCCAATGAGGTAAGCCCCCTGCGAAGAACCCCGTCTCTTTCCGTTGCTGATTTGAGAAACAGGAATGTGGGAAGCGTTTGTATCACTCGGACTGCATCAGCGAAAACGCCAAAAAGGACGTTGAAGCCCCCGACTGGCTCTGCAACGAATGCGTCGGCAAGCAGGAACAGCAGTCTAGGTAGACTTGTACAAAAGGAGACAGGGCTCGAACGTGAGGTCGAGCACAAAAGGCGGGCGGGTACATACTTGTTTCTTTGCGAAGCGGACGCGTTTGCATGGGCATGGGCATGGCGTCATCTCATGGGAGGCGTCGATAGAACTGGATAAGCTTAGACAAATCAGGCATATGACCCTTAATATGAACACCACACGATAGCATACATTTTGAAAGAAAGACATGGAAATCATATTGGTAACTTGTCCCATTGAACAAGATCGCGGGTTTGGAAGGGAATAGCAAAAATGTATCGAATTCTGTGTGCCAGCCCCGGCGCCGTTCCTATTGCACATGAAATACAACACCCAGGCTGGGAGCCACTGCCCATTTTCCAGCTAACATTACACATGGGTTCAGTTTACCCGGTTCTCTAAAACCTGTACTTGCTCTCCTTCTTCTCCTTGTTTCGCTTCTCGTCGACCTTTTGCCTCTTCCTCGACTCCTGAGCAATCATTTCCGACAAGTCGTCCTCGTATGCCCACTTGGCACCGATGCCGTCCTCGCGCTTGCCCTCCTCGAACCGCCGGCGCACTTCGTCCTTGCTGAGCCCGTCGTTCTGCTGCAGCGAGTCGACGTCGATGGCAACGTCGACGTCGCCGGGCTTCTTGCGCTTGCGGGTATCGTCCTCCTGACCCAGGACCGGCACGCCGTTGTTGCCCTTGAGATCGTAGACGCGGTCGCTGCCGAAGAAGCCCTCGGCGCGCTGCTGGCGCTCGGGGATGACCTGGTACGCGGACCGAGGGTGTGAGCTCTCTTCGGTGTCGAAGCCACGGCGCTGTTTCCGCAGGTCCATCTCGCCGGCCACAGACGTCTCGACGCCGTGGCCTGGGTAGTCTGTCGGTACGGAGGAGACCATGCCGCCCGATGTCTGGATGCCGCTGGGCGTCTCCAGGCCGCCGGGGACATCGTCGTCTTCCTCCTCCTCTTCCTCGGACTCCTCTTCTGAGTCTTCTTCCTCGGACTCTTCCTCGCGGGGTTGAAGCTCACCCCACAGCGTCTTTTCAACGGGCTCGCCCCCGGCAAGCGGCGCCGCGACCTGCTGTTGTGCGGGGGCACCGGGCTGGTTTGTAAGTCCGAAGACATCACCGCCGAACAACGGGCGGTTGAACTCGTCGACTGGAGGCTTGCCCCAGCCACCGGGGTGGAAGCCCCAGGAGCCGCCTGGTGGGGGCGGCGCGTTGAGGCCGGGGATCTTAAGGGTGGGATATGACGGGGGAGGACCAAAGCGCTGCTGGTTGATGAGCCATGGTGGAGGAGCACCTGGGGGCATGCCTAGAGCTTCCTTTGTGGCCTCGCTGAGCTCACCTGGTCTAAAGTGTTGGAAATCAACCTCGCTCTCCTTGCCCTCGTAGTACACCTCGCCGAAGCGAGTGAGTTCCGGCTTAGTCTGGAAGCGGAAGAACGCGTCGTAGAGCTTCTGGTAATCGATGTCAAGCTTGCCCATCTTGGGAGCGACGCGCTCGCGTTGCTTCTGCTTCAGAGATTGTTGCTCCTGCTTTTCGAGAACCGCGTCACGCATCTCTGTAATGCCTGTCTCGGCAATAAACTTGGGTAGCCTGAAAGGCGGCTTCTCGATACCTCTCTTGGAAGAAAGGTACTCCCTCTTGAGCTGCCAATGGCCGGGCACGGGTACGACGTTTCTTTGCGCCTTGATCTGCACCAGCAGACGTGGGTCTGTTGATGAGACGTCTTGCCATTCGACGACGTCGGGGATCTTGACCAGAGCCTTGAGCTCGGCAATGGACAATTTGTTCATTTGCTTCCTCTTCTTCTTGGATAGTTTGGTCTGCCCTGAGGCCTCCTCATCCTCACTGGGAATGTCGTCCTGGTCCCAGATGACCTCACCAGTGTTTCCGGCGTTGGCTTCCTTGGCGACTTCGTCCTCTTCTAACGACGCGCCGAACTTTAGGAAAATGTCCTTGAACATGGCAAACGCCTCATCGTCGGGGTTGATATCGTCGACCGGTCCGTCAGCCTCGGTCTTTGAGCTGGTATCGGCATCCTTCTTGACCTCGAGGTCCTCGGCGGGCTTCTCCTGGTTCTCGGGCTCTTCAGAATTCTGCTCGTCGGGCTTCGCGGCAGCCTGCTTCATGTCAGCGTCGCGAACACGTGCGTCCGAAGCAAGAGCGCGTACCTCTGTCTGCGCCTTCTTCTGCTCCTTCTTCTTCGCCCGGCGCATCTGGTTCTTCGTCATCTTTGGGGCCGCCATTTTGAATCGAGTTGCGCTGCTGAGCGGAACGACTTGGGTAGTGCTTGAGCAATGAAGTAGGTAAAGACCACAAGACCAATGAATCGTACAGGGTCTGGGCGAGGTCCCATGCTTTGGCGGCGCAAAACAATAAAAAGCACACAGTCGCCGACGGCGGAAGCGCAGTCGGTTGGAAAAACCTGATCACGAAGCGATGGCGATGGGTTGGTTCGTTTGTCGCCCGATGGAGAACAGATCCATTGGTGACGGCAACTTGCGATGCGTGACAGCCGCGCCAAACTTTTGGAGGCTGAACGGACAATTAAGTGGGTCTACGACTCTGCAAGCCCGTCGAGGTCTAGACGGTACGTACCGTTGGGATTGTCCTCTCAGCATGGAAATGGAGCTTTGACTCGCCGGCTCCATCGGACCAGGGTGCTGCACATCCAATTCTATCGCGGTCCAGCAGTGCTTTTAGGTCCAGTGTCCTCGGAAGCACGGCATAACTCTTAATCCAGCTGCAGCATCGCCATCGCGCAGCTGCCAATCCGTAAAGCTGGTTTGCTGCAGTGGATTTCCTCTAGTGGACGCAGTGGGCTTCCCGTGGGGGCGTATCTCCCCTGGCTACCTATGCAGGGATGACAGCCACCGAAAACCAGCCATTCCCAGCTGCTGACGCTGCACCGTGGTGATTCCGATTGATTGAGATGAGGACAGCTTCCCCCAAGCACAGATACGGCCTCGACATTCGTAATCCTCGCCCTTGATCTCGAGACCTCTTGGTTTTTTGTTTTTCTTTTCTTTCCTTTCCTCATCTCCTCGCAGGAGCCCACAGACGACCGGACCTACCTTCAACATCAGAGCGTCCCGTCCATCTGATTTTCTCTCTATGCGAACCTACCTCACTCTAGAGACAATGCTTGAATTCCTTCAGCTCTAAACTTTTGTCGCGCATTATTGCCGCTTCTGTCGCTCGTTTATTCAACAACTTCAAGCACAAGTAAAGGTAAGGCGGACGAGTAATCAATTAAAAGCGTTGTGATTCGCATTACCAGCGAAGCCTGGGAAGCTGGGTTCCATTTGATACCAGTCCTTGACATTGTCCCCGCCAAATTTCCACCCCCAGTATTCGCGTCATGCCTCGCTCCACAGCGTCCAGCTCTTCCATTGAAACCTCCTCAGCATCTGCTGACCATCGATCCTCACAGCACTCGCCCAGACGATCAAGTACCGGCGACGAAAGTGATAGCGACAGCGACAGCAGCGCTTCTTCTGCCACCGGCGGCATGGAGAAGTTTCCCGACCACATCGACTCGCACCTCACCAACGGCTCGAGGGGGACAAGCCCCGCGAGATCCAACGGCTACGCGCTCCCAGGAGCACCCAACGGTGGCGACCGCTGGCAGCCCAGAAAGGAGAGCATCCAAGGTCGCGCCTCACGGTGGACGGCGCCAGGACAACCGGCGACCCGTTATGGCCACGGTAGGCAGAAGAGCCTCGGCGACGCCATCCACAACATTAGGACTAGGGGTGGAAGTGTCAGTCAGAATGCTCATGAGATCGCCGATGCGCTGCGGGCCCCCGTCTCTCCCAAGCTGATTGTGAGTGCTGCTGTAAGATCAAATAGTCTATGCTGGCGCTGACCCTCGCATCGCAGGGGCTCTGCGTGCTGTGGTACACCTCGTCCGCCCTCACGAATACGTCCTCAAAATCCATCCTCACTGCGTTCGACAAGCCTGCGACACTCACGCTGATCCAGTTCGCATTCGTGGCGACCTACTGTATCTTGTTCGCATGGCTGTCCAACGTCTTTCCGAACCTCAAGACGGCGATACCGGCGCTCAAGCACGGGATTCGCTACCCTTCGCGCGATGTCATTAAGACGACCATGCCCCTCGCAGCGTTCCAAATCTTTGGTCACTTGCTGAGCTCGACCGCGACATCGAAGATTCCCGTATCGCTTGTCCACACCATCAAGGGCCTTTCTCCCTTATTCACGGTTCTCGCCTACCGATTGATCTTCAACATTCGATACTCTGTAAACACCTATTTGTCGCTGGTGCCCCTGACAGCAGGCGTCATGCTAGCATGCTCAGGCAAGCACAACCAGTACAGTGGCGAAATGCTCGGCATCTTCTACGCCCTGCTCGCCACCATCATTTTTGTGACGCAAAACATCTTCTCGAAGCGCCTATTCAATGAGGCTGCCAAGGCAGAGGCCGAGGGCATGTCAGCCAGGTCTCAAAAGCTCGACAAGCTGAACCTGCTTTGCTACTCTTCCGGCATGGCGTTCATTTTGACAGTTCCAATTTGGTTCTGGAGTGAGGGAACCGGCATCATCCGAGACGTCCTTCACGACGGCGCCGTCGATCTGAACAAGAAGGTCGGCTCTTTCGACCACGGCCGCCTGACCGTTGAGTTCATCTTTAACGGAACCTTCCACTTCGGACAGAACATCTTGGCATTCGTCTTGTTGTCGCTGGTCTCCCCGGTGACTTACTCCGTCGCAAGTCTGATCAAGCGCGTCTTCGTCATTGTCATTGCGATCATCTGGTTCCGAAATCAGACGACTTTCCTCCAGGGCGTTGGTATCGCCTTGACCTTCGTCGGTCTCTACCTCTACGATCGCACGCACGACCGTGACAAGGCAGACCGCAAGGCTAAGATGATGGAAGTCAAACCAGAGCCCCTGCTGCCCCTGAACACCAAGGATGCGCTGAGTAAGAGCCAGAACGCGCCCGTGTTCGAGAGCCCCATGGTCTCCGCTGGAGCCTTCCAGTCCCTTGCCAACGGGCACGGCGACGATGCGAAGAAGTCTGACGGGCCGAGTAACGGCCGTTCCCGCGGCGCAAGCAACGCCGCCTGGCTGGCACCGGGTACGAAGCAGGAGGACACCTGGCGGCTGGGAGACCGCCAGGCCGGCATGTAAAACTCCATGTATCATTGTTTTGTTTTGTTTTTATGCGACAACTGTTCAATGTACTATCACGACAAGCGCCAAGTATGGGATGGATGAAACAACGCACAAAACTGATGCTCTCTCATGCGTCTCGATGTAACAGAAGCTCGTCTGCGTGGGGTATAGATCACGCCCGCGGTTGCACAAGTGAGGTCACCCTCTAGGGCCAGTCTGATAGACGAAGGACACAAAGGATGCACGCACAGGGAGCGAGGACAAGGGGCGAGGGTGGGGGATTAAGGTATATAGACAGGGCTCTGGCGTTTGGCTAAGAAGATTCATGGCGCTCGTGCTTGAGGACTCTGAGGATCCCGTGGGTCACGCGTCCGCGCTACATCGTCTGTGGATGCGCTGGATCATCGCAGCTAGACGCGAGGTGTTGGCGATATGATGTTGGGCAGATACCCCGGAAAACCGAAATGAGCGCAAAGTTTGGTCTGGCACTACAATCTATAATGTATCGTGATGAAACTGGGGACGAATGATCGTATCATATATCATGTTAATGTGTCTATGGTGAATGTCCAACAGCTCAGTCGATGAGCCACTCTTCGACTTCGATACCGAGACTTCTCCCTACGCCTCTAATAATATCCCACCCTACGTTGATCCTCCACTTGCCGCCCCTGTCCATAGGATCGCCAGCCGTGCCGACCTTCATCAGCAACCTCAAGCTAGCGAGGGTAGAGAGTGCCATGCCGACATCGCCGTCTACGACGCTCGCGGAACCACTGCCAAATATGCTATCAGCAGCCCATTCAGCTCGCAACGCCGCAAAGATGGCCAGCATGCGCTCTAGTACGAAAGCATGCGCACCAAGCAATTTCCGCGAGATCTTGCGGTGTTTGCTGGGGCGTCCACGCTTCGGAGCTACGAAACCGCCTCCGCGACGCTTCTTGCGGCCGTGGTGGAAGGTCGAGAAGAGGACTAGATCGTGCTTCGCGGCGTTGTGGGAGGCTAGGTATGCCGCAAGAAGCAGCAGACGGGCCGTGGTGGGCAGCAGCGTCGTCAGGTCCGTCGTCGGGGGGTTCGGCACCTGCTGAGCGGCATGTTTTGAGGGAGTGCCCGGGGGCACGCCGTTGCCATTCACCGCTGGTCCTGATGTCGTGGCTCCGGGTCCGATAGAAACGATGCCCGGGTTCAGGAGAGATTCATCCTGGAAGTGCACGCGGGAGGCGATGAGGAGCTTGGAGAACTCGCGGGGGCCGTGAGTCCTTGCCAGGATAGGGGCTACGAATCGTGGCCAGAGGGCCTCGCAGCTGTGTCTACACGAGGGTAGTGTTCGGGCCGCGGAGGTTGTGAGAGCATCGCAGACGGCGCCGCAGAAGCGCGTCCAGAGGAAATTTGTGTCGTCTTGCGTTGTGGTCGGGGTCGGTGGCGGCGGGGTTATGGAAAGAATCTTCACGAATTCTTGTTTGGTGTAGTTCGGGAACTGGATATGTGGTGTGAAGGAGGAGCGCAGAAAGAAGGGCGTTGGTGCGGTGACGATGAAGACACAGGTCAGGCATGGTATCTGGGCAGGATGTTAGCTTGCGCGTAGTAGATAGTGAGAGGCTCTTAGAGACTGACTACTTCAGATAATCTTGCCAGTGCGGGAAGAAGGGTGCCCGGGGCATCTCTTTGGCGGTCAATTGAGTCGAAGACAAGTACGAGTCTCCAACCTTCAGGCCTCTCGGTGTATTTGAGCATCTTGCAGAGCTCGACGGTCAGTTGAGCCAGCGACTCGCACTTCTTCGGGGGCGATTCCCATTTTATCGCGTCCACGACCGCGCCTACAGTCCTTTCGAATAGATGTCGTCCAGTGATACATTGTATGGAGTTGACGATAGCATATTTGAGAGAGGATTCCTCTTGCGAATCGTCGTTCGGAGGTTCGGACAGACTCTGGAGAAGTGACTCTACGACGGCCGATTTGCCAGTAGCTTCGGTGCCGTATACCACCAGGTTCTGGCAAGGCGCTGCTGTAGGCTAGGTGCATCCATGAGCTTGAGATCTCGTGGACAGTAGGGAGGCGCATTGAGGACTTACATGGAGGAGAGTGGCCAGAGACTGAATCTGCTGTTCGCGACAGGGGTAGCGCTCGAACAGAGGCGATAGCAAGAGCTCCTCTGGAAGCTGAAAGAGTGAGCCCATGTCTGCATGAAGCACCAGCACCGACACCGCCTCCTGCTTCTCGAACTCTACGCGTGCTGCGGCTGTCACAAGCTATGATCCGAAGGGAAACAATCGGAGTGTCGGCCGAGAATACGGGGTGTCGCGTACCTTTCAGACGGAAGAACCAATCTGAGACGCGCAGTCACATGATGCGCACACTATGGCGGCTCCACTTCCTAAGCTGGAAGCAGTGTGGAGCTTTGCCTCAGAGCCAGTGGAGGAGAGCCGGAGCAGCGGCGCATCTCTCTAACCGCCTTCGGGCGAAGCTCTGGCCAAGCCCGTGATACGGCCCAAGCGTCCCCTCAAAAGCTGTGCCGGGGCTCCCCACCAGCTCCAGGTGTCCCAGCCCGCCTGCCTGGCCACCCGCCCCTCACAAGCGTCCCAAAGTTCAAACGTGCTCTCGCCGAATTCAAACCATGCTGCCAAAATCCCCGATATGGAACAACGTGCAAGGAAGGGGGGGGCATGAGGGAGGGAGGGGCGCAGATGGTTGGTGTCATTGCTTGATCTCGAGGGAGACGGATGGATGGATGAAGGATGGATTGCTCGAATCAGGCTGCCAGACGCCAGCTGCGTCAGCCCTCTTATATCGCTGCTGTCGTTCCTGTCGTTCTGCCTGGCGTGTCCACGCACCCGCCGTACGTGTGATGCGATAGAGAGTGAGCTGCTTGTCTTTGCTTGGCTCATGTCGGTTTCCCTTGGCACTTGTAACGCCGTACTTCTACGAAGGATTTCCCCAACCCGGCCCTAGAACCATGCAACTGTCAATTCTACCGGCGAGTCATACCTATCCTGCGGTCACGGTTGAGCTCAGCTCCAAGTGGGGTCACGGCGGTTGATTCACACGCTGCGCATCCATGATTGTGGCAGTGAACTCAGCCAACATCGGGTTCCGGCCGCTGCTCTCAAACCACAACAACACAGCACCTACTTATTTGAATTGTTCGTGAGGCCTCACAACCACTCACATACTTGAAGATCCTCCTCTCTGGTACTCGGCAGTTCTACCGTTGCAACTCTCCTGGATCAAAAAGGCCCTTAGTCGCGGACTAGCGGGCGACTAATCAACGCAAAGGAGGACGTGTTTTATGGCCCTTCATCCGATCGCTGGGCGTCTCATTCCGTCAGCAACGCAACGTCACCCACTCACTGAACTTTGTTTCAACTCCGACGACGCTCTTCTGCCGTCCGGCCGTTGACAGCGTCCCTGTAAAAGAAGGCCCGAGCATTTCTCCTGCACCTCCGACTTCACATTATCCTCATTACCAAAACATTCATCGCCACTGCCGAGCTCCTTCTTCCTTCATCCTCCCTCTCACCCGTCCGTCAGCAGCCCACCTCCCTTCACTCAAACAAGCTTATCTCCTTCTCCCTGGGGTAACGTAGTCAGCCGGTCATTAGAGCCACCAAAGGACACTCAATGACACGATGACTGTCCTCTCAAACCCAGAACAAGCGAACAACACCTCATCCTCTGGGGGCTCCCCACCGGAGGACAAGCCGTACCACTCAAAACGGCCTCACAAGAAGTCGAGAACAGGCTGTCGGAATTGCAAGACCCGCAAGGTCAAGTGCGATGAGGCTCGCCCGACGTGTCGCAACTGCGTGCTCCGCAAAGCCGAATGCGTCTACCCCGGACCGGCCCACTCCCACGGCGACCACGCTCCGGGGTCTCCCTCATCCAGCTCCGGCTCAAGCTCATCGCGTGCCCATACGCCGGGCCAGAGCGGCGATGAGGACTTTAACGCGATGGTCGTCAAGGAGCCAATGTACATCGCCTCGAATCAGCATGACGCCATCGATATGAAGCTGCTTTGGTTCTATACCACGAATACCTTCAGCTCCTTCGCCACGCAGGCCGGACGAGTGAAGCGGATCGACGACATCCTCAAGATCAAAATCCCCGCACACGCTTTTGAGAGCCCATTCCTCATGGATTGTCTTCTGGGCACGTCGGCACTCCAGCTCCAGCATCTCGGACAAGACATCGCTCCCTCACGAGCATTGCGTTATCGGGCCCGCGCATTCGAGGGGTACCGCAAAGCCGTCGAAGAATTCAAGCCGGAAACATTCCCCGCTCTCATCGCCACTTCACTTCTTCTTACCGCCCTATCATCGCAAATGTTCCGCGAAGAAGGCACCAAGGATTTATACATCATCGACTGGATGATAGTCTGGCGCGGCATCGGTCTCATGATCGATATGGCCACTCCGCAGACGGTCTGGGAATCGGGCATGGCTGAGCTCTTCTTCCGGCCGCCAATCGACCTCGACAAGGCCGCGTTGCACATTCCAAACAGTCTACTTTTCATGATCTCATCGATCAAGCCCGGCGATCCGGACTACGAAGATGTGCCAGTTTACTACGACACGCTCAAGTACCTGGGCTCACTCTACTCCGAGCTCGTACACGGCTTCGGGCCAATTATGACCCTTCGTGTTGTGACATGGTTCACATTTATACCGAAAGGTTTTGTCGAACTGGGTCGGCAAAAACGGCCTCGGGCTTTGGTTATCTTGGCACACTACCTCATGTTTATGAAGTCGGTACAAAATTTATGGTGGATCGATGGTATCGCGGACCGAGAAATTGCAGGAATTGCAAAGTACTTGGGCGAGAATTGGGCAAACGAACTCGCGGCACCACGCCTGGCATTACTCCTGAACGACCGCACCGACGTTGCGCGCCTTTTACTCAACGACCCCGAGTGGGAATCGCCCGGCGACTTTTACAGCGAACCCACAAGAGACCCCCGTGCAGAGGCTCTCACATGGGTTGACGACACCGGTAAGCGGTATAAATCTATGCCCAAGACCGTGGGTGCCTTGTACCCGTCGGATCCAGCACCGAGAACGAAGGCGTGGGAAGGGGAGAACTACTATCAAGATAAGTTGCTACTTTCAGCGCCAAATAGAGATTACGCGGAGTCTGTTTTGCAGGCCATGGACATGGGGGTTCAGGATATGGATATGTCCAGGTGACATTGGATGGGACTGGACTCTACTGGGGCCGGTTGGGTTGGCGGCGTTTGGCTACAATACCCAGTTGAATACTTGACATGCCTACAAAGATACTGAGACGTCGATTAGACAGCGAATTTAAGTGTTGAATACAATCAGGCAGTTCCAGTAGCATCGCCACTATGTGCAGGCAAGGTACATATTTCTTGGGGTTCTACTCAAGTTGGATAAGAGGCAATTGCCTTTTTATAATCAACCAAAAACTTCGACATAGTACATGGATCTTTCCTAAGACGTTGTGCGAGTGAAGATACAAAGGCGACCAGGAAAAGCTCAAAGAAAGACATTGTGAAAATGTTACGGCTTCATGAGAAGAAACGGAGGAAGAGATGAGGGTAGAAAAGGAAACTCTGTAGTTTTATCAGAAAGACTAGGGCTTATATTGCTTCTCCGGCCGCACCCTCAATTCTGTCTCGTTCTTCCCACACTTCCAGCCCGAACTCTCTTCAGAACCAGCTCTTTCCATCGTGCCAGTGATACGAAACGCTGTTGGGCGCCATGAGAGCACCGCATTCCGGGAAGCGGCAGCTAATGCGAAGGTCTCTGGGCTCTGGCACATAAGGGCTTGCGTCGGGGTGCTCCTTCTTCCGGTGATTGATAAGATCCTTCTCCCGACTGTAGCCCTTCTTACCAGTCTTGATGCACCCAGCAACGTTGCAGGGAAATGGAGTAAAGTCGTGGGCTTCCTTCATGTGCTTGGTGTACTCCGCCTGCGTGCTGAAGGGCTTGGTAGAACGCTGCTCTTCTGCGCTGAGATATTTGAAGAAATCTCCCCGATGGAACTCACATCCTGGGTAAGGACACACTGGAGGAATTCCATGCTTGCCACGACGGGAAGGAAGGATATCACCAAGCTTTTCGTCGGCTTCGAACTTGTGATACCCTCTGATATGCTGAACTAGGTGATCCCTTCTCTTGAATCCGTTCTTCCGGCGGTGTTTCTTGCAGAATGAACACGGGTACTTCGGCATTTGGTTTCCAAGAGAGTCAAGGTGTCGATTGAGAACATCCAGTCGAGCAAATTTTCGGCCACATACACAGGCAAATGGACTATGCTGCGCTTCAATTGCGTGTTGCTGTAGCTTTGCCTTGCTCTTAGACACTTCCTTGCACTCTGCGCAAGAGAATGGATGGCTTGTCTCTAAGCGCCGATGACCCTCGAGGTGAGGCCTGCGCTGGTGGGCGTCTCGTTCGGCCTCAGCAACGAATCGCTCTTTACATCCAGCGGCGTTGCATCGGTATGTCTTGTGCCCTTTATTTCTTGCATGGTGGCTCAGGTCCCAATGATATACGGCGCTGTAGCCGCACTCTACGCATGAGTACTTCAATGAAGACGTCGCGTTCACAGATGCACTACTCTCGTGTGAGGTTGGATCTTCAGGCCCAATAGGGGCATCGTGAGTCTCCTCTTCGATGTGCATCGACAGGGCGACATGATCCATACCAGAACTTCTTAATTTCATAAGATAAGTGACTGGACAACATTGGAAGAATATATTTGACTTACAGCCAGTCTCCACCATCGAAAGGGGGGAACAGTCGGTTCTCTTGAATTTTAAAATTCGAGGCAACCATCGCTGGTCGATGGGTCGCGTTTGATTGGGTCCTGTTACTGACACCCTTTTTGTTAGCAAGTGGTAAAAAAAAAAAAATCTCACGGATCCAGGGGTGCTGCAGGGCCAAGACCGCTGTCATCAACGAGGCCACCCTCGTAGCCAATGGGGTCGACAAGATCCATGAAGCCGATGTCAGTGGCGTGAAAGTCGCTCTCCCATTCGACGAGGTACTTGTCGAGGTCGGTGGAGTTGAAGAAGTCAGACATTGCGACGAAGGTGTTTGGTGCGGTGTTGCGTTCAAGCGGCGGGGGAAAATCTAGCTGTGAAGAGCTGTGTGCAAGAGACGAAGGTGTTGCTGGTGCTGCTTTTGGTGAAGAGGCGAGTAGGGGGGAACACCATGCTTATCTCTTTTTGGGAGGAAGCCCTTCGCTGCTTTAACACAGTATCGGCGTAACACAGTATCGGCGAGGTGCAGGACCTTAGCAGGGCAGTAATGTTGGTGCTGCAAGTCGGTGAGTGTCGACGTACGTGATAGGTTGAGAGGCCAAGCCGGCTTCCGCCCTATTTGTGTAGACGAAGAAAACTGACACCCTTTTTGTATGTTGGGAAGTGAGGCTGTACAAACAGAATTGAGAGCTATGATTGGTAAACTCGTAAGCAGCTGCAAGGGTTCAGGAGATGGGCAGGCAGCAATCGACCGTGGGGGTTTGTATTCTGTGCCTGGTTTGGCTACTGAATGTAGAGAGTAGGATATGGGATGTTCTCGCAGATGCTAGCCCGTGGTGGCAGATGTTTCATTGACACAAAAAAGAAAAAGAAACGTGACGGCGGCAGGAGCAAGATGATTTACCTCTTTTGAAAGCTGTTGGTTGTGAAATGGTATTGCCTATTGACATACTAGGCCTCAGAGCTCCTTGCATGCATGACAAGGAAGCAAGAGTGCAAATACAGAACAAGGCAAAGAAGACAGAGACTGGATAGAAATGCCGGCAAACAAGACAGCGGACAACGACATCGTGATTTCTGCAGACAATCAGACGTAAGATATAATGCATTCAAATACAAAAACTCCAATTCGAGACATGCAAAAACATTATACCTTTTCCAAGCCAATTTATCATCCACCTATGGTATTTTCAACAAACTTCAACACAATTCTCCATGCAGTGTTAGCATAAGAAAAGACATGTACAATATCCACCAATTTCTACTGCTCAAACAACGGCGCCGCGGGGTTACCCATGAGCACCTTGAACGTCTCCTCGATCTTGTCCAACAGATCCTTGGCATGTCCCTTCCACGACTCGAACGTCACAATCTCGATGGTCAGCTTGTCGCCCTGGGGGAAGGCCTGGATCTTCCACTCGCGCAGCGGCTCCTGGTGCGGGTAGATGGTCTCCATCCTGCTGCTGGCCGACGAGAAGCCGAGCGTCTCGACGTGCTCGACGTCCTGGTGCACCACGGTGTCGAACCAGTCCACGGACTCGGGCCAGTCGGTGCACAGCTTCGCAATCTCCTTGAGGCCGATGCCCTCGTGCGCCGAGCTGGAGATGTGCTGCTCCTGCACGAGGTTGAGCAGGTCGAGGACGGTCCAGTCGTCCTCGAACTTGACGCGCACGGGGACGTACTGCCAGCAAGGGCCGACGACCATGTCCGCGTTGGGAAAGTCGATGTTGCGGCCGCTGACGACCTCGCCAAAGGTGACGTCGCGGGTGTCCTGGAGGCGGGCAAGGGTGAGGGCCCAGGCGGCGGTGGGAAGGGTGGCGATGGTGACGTCCTTGGAGCGGGAGGAGATGTCGAAGGTGCGGTCGATGGCGTAGTGCTGTCTCTCCGTGACGGGGGTATCGGGCTTGAGGACGTTGACGGAGGAGCCCTGCAGAAGGTCCTTCCAGTAGTCGATGCTCTGGGGGATGTTGGACTTCACGACGTGGCTGACAAAGGAAGAGAAGGGGAGGGCTTTGGGGACGGGCTTGCCCTCGTGCAGCGCGGAGAGCTGGTGGAGCATCAAAGGCAAGCAGATCTCGTCGTACTGGGCGTGGGAGACGCGGAAGATTAAGGCTGATTGTCCGTTGACGCTGTGGACGAAGAACCACTTGACGAAGATGGAGCCGAGGGGCATGCGAGTCTGGACATCGAGATTGCAGAGTTGGTGGGTGAAGGCCTCGACGTCTCCGTCGATCTCGTAAACCTCGACAGGAGTCTTGACGTCCTCGAGGACGACGCTCACGCAGGTACCGTCGTGCTGGACAAAGACCGAGCGAAGGACCTCGTTGCGGGAGACCAGCTGTTGGCAGCTCTGGAAAAGACGCGGGCGGTCAACATCGCTCTCGAAGTACATGGCCTCGTATCGTGCGGAAAATCTGGGGATCTCAATAGTTCCCTTGACGGCGACCTCCTGGAGTGGTCTAGCAGGGAAGGCATCGACAATCTTCCATGACTGGTCAGCCAGCAGGGGGCGCAGGCTCTCAGTCACAACGGCACCAGGATTCTCCAGCAACTCGAAAGGCACGACAGCCTTCGTCTCCTCCGAACTCTGTGTAGGCTCCGAGTCTTGAAGAACGGAGGCCATGTCGTAAAGTGTCCTCTTGGAGAAGACCTGGTTGACAGTCAGGGTAAGGCCGGCCAGGCGGGCCTCGGAGACGAGCTTCATGGCACCGATGGAATCACCACCAAGTCTGAAGAAGCTGTCGTTGAGACCGATATCATTCTCTGGGAGCTTGAGGACACGGCTCCAGAGAGATCTCAGGCGTCTCTGCTTGGAAGACGTAGCAGAGATGCGCTTCGTAGGAGCCTTGGGTGCGACCACAGTCTTCTTGAGGTCGCTCTTCTTTCCGGCATACTCGATGGTTCCATCAGGGTTGAACTTGGCAAGACGATCGGTCTTGTAGAATTTGGCACCATCTGTCTTCTCGGCCCACGAGGCTTGGTCGAGCGTGGGAAGTGTCAGCTCGGTCTTGCTGACAACAACGAGCTCACCAACGACTCCGGGAGGCGTAAGAAGAGTAGAGTCGCTGGGGTTGACAATCCATGCGGCCTCAGCCTCAGGGTACTCCGCCTTGACGGCAGAAAGGCTCTCGGTACTCAAGCGTGACACTTCAGTCTGGTCCTCTTGTGTAAGGTACTTAACATCAGCGAGGGGGGTGTCAGTAAGCTGGCACATTTGCTGGGCCACCTGGGAGAACTGAGCCAGGGCCTTCTCCATCAAGGGCTTGCCAACAGTCTTGGAATCGAAACTGGCCATCACCAAAAAGCCCTTAGGATCGGTAGAGCAGACCAACATGAGTGCGTAGGTGTTGAACTTGAGGGCCTCCTGAGCGGCCTCAGTGTCACCGGCAGGGACCAGGCGGTTGGCAGGGTACTTGTTGAACTCCTCCTGGTCGAGGTCATCGGCGCTGGGGTGGAGTACGATACCAGTGCGGAGCTCACAAGCCTCGAGGGCATCAGGGCTGAGACGGCGAATGTGCTGCAAACCAGTGTGCTCGTAAGGAATTTGCTGAACGGTCTGATCCTGAATATCGTGGAGGAAGTCGTTGACGGAAGTCTCACCGTTGACCTGGACGCGGAAGGGAACGGTGGTAATCATGGGACCCTCAATTTCCTCAGCACCCCTAATAGGAGCGTTACGTCCAGTGAGCGTCTCACCAAAGACGACATCTGAAGATCCAGTGTAGTGGGAGGCAACGTACGCCCACGCACTGCGGATGACAGTTGCAACGGTAACGTTAGAAGCCGGGCGGCCAGTCAGGGGAACGTAGACCTCAAGCAGAGAGTCAGCCTGGGTCTGGTAGCCCTCGTAAGGCAGAGCAGGGAATTGAGTGCCCGTGGCTCCTTGAAGTTGTTCGCGCCAGTAAGTCTCACCAGCGGCGCGGTCCATGCCGTTGAGGTACTTGATGAAGTCCTTGAACTCCGAAGGACGCTTGATCTCCTCGCCGTCAAAAGCCTTGTTGACCTTCTCGACGACCAAAGGCATAGACCAGCCGTCGTACAGAGCGTGGTGCATGGTCAAGACGAAGTGAACCTTTCCAGTCTCCTTGTCGGTGATCATGGCGTATCTGACGAGAGGCTTGCCCAGATCTGTGGACTCATCGCGATCCTTGACAAGATAGCCCTGGAGGTCGTCACCGACAAACCAGGATATTTCCTCCTTGACAACGACCTGAGCAAGGCCGCGACCAGGAACCTGGACGATTCTGGTGCGGAGGATAGGGCAGTCTGCAGAAGCGACGTCAAAGGCCTTGCGAAGTCTGTCTGCAGTCTCGGCGTCAGGAAGATCGACGACTCTCTGGGCAGTGTATGCCGCCTTGACCTTGGCAGAGAGAGCCATCAGACCCTCCTGAAGGGGCGTGCAGGGATAGATGTCCTCGATGGCAGACTCTTCGATACCGCAAAGCTTGGCAGAGTCAGCGCGGGCATCCTCAGGGGTCCATCCCTCCTCAAGGAGAGAGAAAGGAGCGATGGCGACATCGTCATCCTTGGAGACCTTCGTCGCGTTTTGGGCCATCTCCTTAAGCGTAGGGAAGTTGAAGATGGTCGCAACAGTGAGAGCGATTCCCTCTTCTCTGGCAGCAGCGACAAGCTTCATCGCTCTCAGGGAGTCACCTCCAAGCGCAAAGAAGCTGTCGTGCAGGCCGATGGTGGCGTCGCCACCGAGAATCTTTGTCCAGACTTGCTGCAGCGCCTTCTCCATCTCAGTCTCGGGTTCGCTCTTCTCGGTAGGAGCGACACGGAGGCGGGCGACTTGCTCACGGGTCATAGAAGCACCGAGTTCACGAAGCTTCTTGCGGTCAATCTTGCCAGAGACGAGAGACGGCATCTTGCGAAGAGGAATGTAGGCTGAGGGAACCATGTAGCGAGGGATCTCAGCGCCGAGGGCGATATCGATCTCGGCGATGGCTTGGCTGAACTCAGGTGAGAAAGTGGTCACATCGCCCTCGGCATCGGCAGATTCCACAGGGTTCTGCTCGACAACAAAGGCGACGAGAGTGGGCTCGCTGCCACCAGGCTTGATAACCTCAGCAACGATCTTGACGCCAGAGGGCATCTTACCCCTGAGGTGATGCTCGACTTCAGCCAGCTCGATTCTCTGACCACGGAGCTTGACCTGCTGGTCCTTGCGACCGACGAAAGCGATGGCACCAGTACCGTCAGGGTCGTAGCGAACCAGGTCACCAGTCTTGTAGAGACGACCTTGTCTGCTACGGGCAGGTCCTCCACCTGCAAGAAGCCAGGTAGGATCCTCGATGAAAACCTCATCGGTCTTGGCTTTGTCACCGAGATACCCAGGACCGACAACGGGGCCTTCGACAAGAAGCTCACCAACGGCGCCGACGGGCATCAGGCGGTTGTGGTCATCGGGGTCGGTAATCCAGGTGAGGCCACCAACACCCTTTCCAATGTTGGTGGACAACTTGACGTTGTTGTTGATGGTGCAACCGACGGTGCACTCTGAAGGACCGTAGGCAATTACGACACTAGTGGTCTTGCTCCATGTTGAAGCGTCGCCTGCTGAGACGGCCTCACCTCCAAGACCAAGGACCTCGAGAGAGGGGATGACGTCCGCGTCCAGAACACGAGCGACTGAAGGTGTCATGTGAGCCATGTTACACTTGCTGTTGCGGATGGCACCGCTAAGGTCGTTCATGCGCTCCTCGTCAGAGGGAATGCAGAGGCAGCCGCCCGCGGCGTACGTGCAAAGCATGCAGTCAATGCTGACATCGAAGGCGTAGGAAGCGAAATCGAAGCAACGAGTGTGGGCGCGGTAGCCGACAGCGTCGCCACGGGGAATAGCACCGCTGGTGAAGTTCTCGTGAGAAATCACAACACCCTTGGGCTTACCCGTGCTACCGGAAGTGAACTGGATATAAAGAGGGGAGGTAGTTGGCACAACGGGCAGCTCAGGGGCAAGCTCCAGAGAGTCAGACTTGATGACCTCCTCGGAGGCAATGATGACGATTCCATCTCCCGCAATACGACGGCCGAGCTCGCTTTGAAGCTGGGAAGTAACGATGATCGTCGCTCCAGTTTGTTCCACGATGGTGCGCAGACGGGCCTCAGGCTGACTAGGGTCGGTGAGGGCAAAGGCAGCACCGGCCTTCATGACGGCGAGGAGAGCAACCGTCGTCCATCTTGACTTCTCGAAGCACATGGGCACCGTCGAGCCGACGGTGACGCCGCGATGCACCAGATGGCGCGCCAGGCGGGTAGAAAGCTCTTCTACCTCACCGTAGGTGAAGTTTCCGTCCCATGACTCGATCGCTGGCCTGTCCGGACCGTTCGCGGCCACTTCTGAGATGATATCCTGCATGCACCGTTGAATGTTTGGTGGCAGCTCGGCGTTCCAGGTCCAAATCTGCTCGAGGTCCTTCGCGGTAGGGCCGACGGTGTCTCCAACGAGGCGATCGGGGTTTTCGAGGATTGTAGTGAGGATCTCGATGAAGGCGTCAAGCTGGGAAATGGCAGTGCGGTACGTCAGGGCGGCGCGGTCCCATTGAGCCTTGATCACCATCTGCTTCTCAAGGACTGTCGCTTCGATCTGGTATGTCCACTGAAACGACAGATCAGCATACGTGAATTCAGGAAGTTGGTGAAATTAGGACTATGAACGGGTCTACGTACGTCATGAGATCTCTTGGAGGGCGTCTTCTCTGCGCCATTTTGCGCGGGCGTTCCATTATTGAAGTATATCACCGGGACAGTTTGCGCTTCACCGTCCGACTCGTTCGCGTCGAGATCTTTGATGACCTGAAGGGCTTCGGCTATCGAGTTTTCCTTGCTGAACGGTACTTCACTCAGGTTTAAGCTGTTGTGGGTGGCAGAAGACGGTTGTTGGCCTTCGCGGGTTCTGAAGCCCCAGTTTGCACGGCTAAGGCCGTCATCGTTGTTGCGGTAGAGCACAAGGAGCCAAGCAAGGAGCAGCTCAAGCTTGTAGGCGGCGACATCGGTCTCGGCGCCATCACGGGGCGCAACAGCAATGGTTCTCGTCGAGGACGGGTCAACGGTGCCGTTGGTGAGGCCGTTGGTACCATTGGCGTGGTCAGCCTCTTGGTAGGCGGTTCCGCCACCTTCGCCGTCCCGCAAATGCATGGTTCGTGTCTGGTTGTCTTTGATCGAAGGCGGGGGAGGGGTAACGAGCGTTATGAGGTAAGGTGAGGACCGGCTTGCAGCATTTCACAAGCTGACAAGACGAGAACTTCCTCTGGAACGGTTTGGAGTTGAGGTTCCTGAAATTTTTGTGACGAGATCAACCAGCAGGGTGGAGAGCTACCCTATTCCGCGCGCGAAGTTCAGTTGGATGAACCACAAGAGGCTCTTATGTGCAACACTGCAGGTCTTTGGGCGGCATCCTTGCATGGCGCCCTGGAGAGCTTCCCGACTCGTTCTGGATCGACGAACCCCATGGCCGGTACCGCGGCCGAAGCGACGTTCCCTCGCAAACCCGAGCTGCGGCGGGGAGGGTCAGCGGAGAGCTTGTGAAAGGCGCGGGACACACACAGGCCATTCATTTCGCGATGAAGCGCAGATGCGAGCCACAACGGCGCAACGTGCCTAATCCATGAAGCAGTCCGGGTGGGTAGGGTAATGTACCGAGTTGTAGATACTATGTAGGTACCGAGCAAGAATGGACGCGAACGAAAGGGCCGTACTATGCAGCATTATGCCATCGTGCTAGACGATGCCACATTAGCGGAAGAACGTCAGATGCGAATGAATAGAGCAAACCCTCGCGTTACCAATAGGGCAGGAGTTTCATGACGGACCTTTTGCACTAGGACGCCATCTCATCATACGTTGGAGGAAAGGGGGGCGTGTGGTGATGATGTCGTGGGTCAGAATGCTACCCTGCAAACGAGGAAGGAGGGGCTACAAGTACAGGACGGTACCTGACAAGCGGGACCGGGGGGTGTGGTGTGTGGATGTTAAAGAACGGATCTGATTAGCAGCGCCAAGCAGCGTGTCCGCTTGTGGGCCGGAGGCGAGGGCCGGGGACAGCGCCGTCATGGAACCGTCCACGGCATCTATGATCCATCCGTCCAGCGTCTGTGTTCACTGTCTGTGAGAAAATTTCTCGCCGTCGACGGCTCCCTGTAATTGCGCACAAACAAAAAGCCTCTCGCTCTTCTTTCCATCGCGGATCTGATAACTTTAACGGATCACGGCGGCGCTTGGCTAGGGTGTGCGACCACACTGCCACACACTTTGGTCATCACATCATTGATTCCCACGCCGTTGTGGAGTGGAAGGAGTTGGTGATTGTGACCCTACCATAGGACAGCTTCCGAGTCCGGCCAAAACCTGTCCAGCGCGGGCACACGCAACGGCTGAAAGTGCTGCTCCGGCCAGGACCAGATTCCTAAGCAGGTCATGACGCCGTGGGGGAGAAGCGAGTCGTGATTGCGGCATTTCCTTAGCCCCCGTTGCGTAGTAGCAACTGGTGCGAAGTGCCGCGTCAACCCTGAAAGAATTGTGTGAAAACCAGGGCTCGGCACTCGAGTCCACTTCTTGTCGAGCACTGCGGGACGTCCTGCTCCAGTTTGTAAGGAAAAGTCTTCAAGCGCGGCGCCAGCCTAAATATCCAGAAACCGCTGTATGGTCGACGGAAAACAGAAAGTGGGATGCCGCTTCGTCTTGCCTTGCTGCTGGTTCCGAAAATACCGCCTCTGCCCTTTTACGCTATCAACTGGCTATCAGACGCACAACACGAGCTGTTCTCGTCGGATCGAAGCGACCCTCCACTCCAGTTCATCGGATCTCAGCTCACATTCTGAGTTTACCTTGCCTCACTTGCGCCTTGCCCTGCCCTGCCCTGCTCCCGTCTCTGCCTGCTGCGGAAAAACAGACCGACGCAAGACACACGCACAAGTTACAACGCCACAGCCAGTGATCACGCCCTACCGCAGTACATCTCGGCTCATTCCTACAGACGCAATGGGTCTTACCGTCCTACCCGCTTTAATCCCCGACCTCCCCAAGGTATACGATGCATACTTTGCAGCGTTCAAGGGGGACGCCATCCTCAGTCTCCTGTTCCCGGGGGGCACGGAGGGCGAGGACTTCCGCGCAGAGCACACCAAGAACACGGTCGATTATTGGCACAAGAGCCCTACTCAGTACACGCTCAAGTGCGTCGACTCGGAGACCGGCGAGATCGTCGGTATGGCCCTGTGGGATGTATTCCTCAAGGAGCGTACCTACGATGAATACAAGTTCCCTGGCATTACTTGGCTCAAGGGCGAGGAGAGAGCGAGAGCTGAAGAGTTGATCACCCCCATCTGTGATGTGAAGGCGAAGCTCTGGGGTGGCCGGCCGCACGTTTGTGAGTGGAACCCGTGACTGTTGTTTTCATCCTTCCCCTGCCCTCGCTAGTCCGTTCAGCTGCTTTCACCGAGAAAGAACCTTTGCGCCCCCATGCTGTCAGTTTGCTGATGCCGTACGTTTTTCACTCGCGATGCAGACTGCCATGTTATTGCTGTTAGGCCAGAGCACCAGAGAAGAGGTGTTGGCGCGCTCCTGACAAAATGGGGCCTCGATATGGCCGAGCTGGCGGGGCTTCCCGTTTACCTTGAATCGTCACCGCTCGGTTACCCGCTTTATCAGCGATTAGGTTTTGAGACGCTGGACGATAAGGTCGTCCACCGAGCGGCGTTGGTGGGCAAGGAGAAGGACGTCGAGATTCCTTTGATGGTCAAGATGCCATCAAACGCCAAGGGAATGTCATTCAAGGAGTGGCGATCTCAAGGATACCCGCCCTTGAAGTGAGTGGCTGGACTTGGGCTTGGCGACGGTTTGGGGGTGGCTGCTGATGGCAGGGCGATCTCTGTCTGCGTACTGTATCCGTACCGGTATCGTACTTCGTAGTTTGTAGGGCAATACCAAGACTCCTGTGTCACGTACTCCCCGTCCAGATTGTTTGAACTTTGGTGTGTTGCCGGGTGTGGTGCGAATCTGCGAGCCAGGCTGAGAAGAGAAAAGGTTCTGTGCCTAGATTCTTCTGAGGACCTGCATGTCTTGGCTTTGTATATTAAATGGCAGCCAAGCCAAACCCTTGTTCGCATGAAGATCAGGGTGCCCCGCCGACTGAAACGACGTGTCGCGGTGACGAGTCTAACAGCGCACTAAAACCGGAGTGTGGGAGGGAGTGTGGACTTTTATGGCGTGTTGAGGAGGAAGAAGCCACTTGAGCCACCATTGTGGCAGCAGCCTTAGGGAACAGTCCGTCTTCCAGAGTGGGCGACGAAGTGGGCAGATGGTAGACAATGCAACCTGGCGCCTTGGGAAGCGGCAGAATCGACGACGATCCGTGGGCTGGCTTGGGGTTTTAGGAAGGTCTATAGGTTGAGAGGTGAGCAAGCGACTTCGGAGGGTGGGAGCGGAGGCATGTCGGAGGGAGTTGAGGTTACGTTGAAGAAATAAAGCGGAAGGAGGGATGAAGAGGGGCGTGAGAAGGGATGCGATGCGATGCCTCGGGTGAAGAAAAAATTTTGCACAGGGAAAAGCGAAATGTTCCTTCCGTAATCTTATCTGATCCAAGATTTGATTGATTAGATCAAGTCCCGAACCTATCCGAGGAGCCACACAGTCATGGTAGGGTCCATGCGCTAGCATGTGGGAAGAGACCGTGTCTCATTGGCTGGTCGTCATCAGGTAGCTGCAAGTCTCTCCAAAACAGGGGACGGCGGCAGGGGGCGGAAAAAGAACTGCAAACGCCATTCACCAATTCCCGCGTCGCACATGTCATGGACCATGGACGACCAGTTCTTACACACCACACCCTCGCCCGATCCATCGCATCCCACTCTGACACTTCAGCATCATGGGTGAAGGTGTGGGTATTGGCGCTGCTGCAGACTGCCATTGGCATCAACTGACACGATGCCCTGGAAGGCTCGTGGCCCATCTGCTCGACGCGACCTCCCTTAGCCGAAGTATGTGACTGAATTTGAGTGCAAGTCGCCAGTTCAAGGCCTGCTTGGATGACGCGAGTGGCTCTGAATCGGTCGCAAAAGCCCCTCATCCACACCTTCAACAATGGAATCGAGGCCTCCCTGAAGCGAAGCAGTTGCCAGTTCGGTATAGGCCGGGCTGACTGCATGCATTGGCCAAAGGGAGGGTACCCTAGAAGCCAGAGGCGCGCGACTTCGCAACGTCCCGCGGCGTGGCGCTTGTCTTTGGAAGCTCGGAGTCGGAGACCGCAGGGCCAGCAGAGCGAAAGCTTGGCCGGTCCAATTCGGTGGAGTGGAGGCGACCTTGCTCGCTTCTGGCTGGACCCAGACGATCCCCGAAAGCCGTTCTCCGGTGCGGTGACGCAGATGCAGGGCCCAGTACATGGGTTCTCGCTCCAGGCCAGTTATTTCTGCCACGCGAACCCGACAAGGCGGCAGCGTTGTAGGAAGATCGCGGAGTTTCTCCCACTTGCCATTGACAATCTTGACGGCGACGACGACCAACGACGCATCTCGCTCCAGTAGAATATTCAAGCAAGTCTCCATCGCTCGCCCGTCAACACAATGGCCACTGAACCATCAACCACGCCCGTCTCGGAGCCCTTTGCGCCCACGCAGAGGCTGTCCATCCTTCACGGCCCTCGCGATCCACCTCTGGTCGACCTCAGTCTCGGTGAACTCTTGGAGCTTCAGACCTATCAACACGGCACCAAGGAGTGCTTGGTGATTCCCTGGACCGGCGCACGATGGACCTACAATGAACTCAACCAGCAGAGCTTACTGCTTGCGCAGGCTCTGCTGAAGATGGGCATCAAGGCCGGAGACAGAGTTGGTGTTATGGCTGGCAACTGCGAGCAGTACGCCGCCATCTTCTTTGCCGTCGCAAGAGTCGGCGCTATTCTTGTCATTCTGAACAACACATACACGCCCAGCGAGGCCATGTACGCTGTCCAGTTCTCAGGTAGGACCGACTGGCGCAGTAGGAGTTCCAAGCTCACAGTTTCCTAGAATGTAAGATCCTGTTCACCACCAAGCAGATCGGCAGACTCGACAACCGGAGGTTCTTGGAGCAATTGGCGAACGAGGTCAACGGCCCAAAGGTCATCATGATCCGAGGTGATACCAGCGGTTACGAGACATACGACGAGCTCATCAAGTCAAGCTCGCGCCAGAGCCCGAGAGAACTGCACTTGGCCATGAGCAAGGTTGTTCCTCACCAAGTTTGCAACCTTCAATTCACCAGCGGAACCACCGGTCGTCCTAAGGCTGCTATGCTCACCCACCAGTAAGTCTTCTGGTGTAAACAAGGTCAACAGTGCTGACGTTGAAATTAGCAATGTCGTCAACAATGCCCGATTCATCGGTGACCGCATGAGGCTTACCCCCGACGACTGCCTCTGCTGCCCTCCTCCTCTCTTCCACTGCTTCGGTCTCGTCCTCGGTCTCCTGTCCGTCATCACCCACGGTGCCAAGATCGTGTACCCGGCCGAGGTCTTTGACACCAAGGCGACGCTCAAGGCCATTCTCGAGGAGGACTGTACGGCACTTCACGGCGTGCCTGCCATGTTCGATTCCCTGTTCCAGGCTGCCCCTGACGACTTCAAGTCCTCCAAGATTCGCACGGGTATTGTGGCCGGCGCCCCCGTGCCCCGTTACCTGATGGAGTTGATGGTCAACCGTCTTGGTATGAAGGAGTTCACCAGTAGTTACGGTTTGACCGAGGCATCCCCTACTTGCTTTAACGCCTTCACCGACGATGCGCTTGGCAAGAGACTTACGACTGTCGGTACGCTGATGCCCCACGCTTCGGCCAAGATCATTGACAGAGATGGCAACATTGTGCCCATGGGTGAGCGTGGTGAGTTGTGCATGGCTGGTTACCAGCTTCAGGCTGGATATTGGAACAACTCGGAGAAGACCAATGAGGTTATGGTCCGAGACTCCGCCGGTGTTCTGTGGCTGCACACTGGTGACGAGGCTGTCTTCGACGACGCCGGATACTGCTCCATCACTGGCCGTTTCAAGGATATTATCATCCGAGGTAAGTAGAACATTCGTCACTCGGGCCGATTGCGCTGTTCCTTTTTGCTAACAGAAGTTAGGTGGTGAGAACATCTACCCTCTCGAGATCGAGGAGCGTCTCATGGCCCACCCCTCGATCTCCCAAGCCATTGTCGTCGGCCTCAAGGATGAGCACTACGGCGAGGTTGTCGGCGCGTTCGTCCAGCGCGCCGAGAACAGCGAGAAGCCGACGTTCCAGGAACTCAAGGACTGGGTTCGCCAGCGCCTTGGTGGCCACAAGAGCCCCGCGCACATTTTCTGGCTCGGCGAGGATGGCGTCCCTTCCAACGTGCCTCTGACGGGCAGTGGCAAGGTCCGCAAGTTCGAGATGGCTAAGGTCGGCGACGAGCTTCTCAAGAAGAACAAGGTCTCCGCCAAGTTGTAATTTGTAATACTGCCTAGAGATGGGATAAAGATTGTGTATAGAGCGATACCATACAAAAGTGCTTTTTTTTGTTCGTGTTTAGGGCCAAAGAGATGGATAGAATGCCCGTAGCCAGATTTTTACAATTATTTTATATGACGTTGAACAGAGTTTTCATATAAGTGGAACTGAAGCTTACATAGCATTTACTGCACGGAAGTTTGGTGTTTGTGTCTTTCGAAACTCTATCGTGCGTGTCGCAATCGGGTCAATCCGTGTTATTTACTAAAACTTATTCTTACACTTACTTTGGCTTGTTTCCTTATCTTCCCCAAGTCTTGGCAGTGGAATTGCGGAAGAACAGCGGGAGAAGAGCGGCTGACGGGGATGCGCCCGCCATGAGGGCCCCAGTGAGGCCAAATCTGCAGTGAGGCCAAAATCGCCATGACTCTTTGGTTCCAACACGGCAGCTCAATGTGTTTTTCGCGCGCAAGTGCGACAAAGTGTCAGCACTGGTGCAATGCACGAACTATCATAATTGGTTCGTTTTGTAACATCCTGTCTTTTTGGAGAGGAAATCATTTCCTGTTGATTTGAGACTCGGGTTGAAACTGTGTAAGCGGGTGACTCATGAGACGGCCTTACGGCAAGTAAGCTTTCAACGAGGCCTTCTTGTTTGACGATCCAGTGAGAGAATTTGCTTGATGACATTTCCAACATGTGTATAAAATCACCATACATTCAGCCTCAAAATTCAATTTAAGTCCCGTCTCAACCACATCGCAATTGAATCAATAAATCTCCAAAGGCCACCGCAGAGGTTTCAAAGATGTCTCAACCAACAATTGCCGCTCTCGCGAAAGCGTATCCCCACGACCCAAAACACCTCCACTCGGTCATCGTCCCCCAACTAACCCACCGGCTCCGCCTGGCATCTGTCTGGTCCATCGCCCCGTCCTCCCGCGTCCTTGACATCGGGTGCGGCCAGGGCGACTCCGCCCTCGTCCTGGCGCATACGGTGTCCGGGTCCGACGGAGAAGCGGGGTCTGCGGCGGCCGGCCATGTGACGGCGCTCGACCCTGCCCCGGGCGACTACGGAAGCCCGTACACGCTCGCGCAGGCACAAGCGTACATCTCCTCGTCAGAGTATGGCTCGAGAATCACATTTCACCAAGCGGACGCTCCGTCGTATCTGTCTTCCCACTCAGAAGACCGATTCGACGTGGCGACGCTGTGCCATTCCTTATGGTACTTTCCCTCCCAGGACGCAGTCTCGTCACTCTTCACGGCGCTTCACTCGTCTGGCCAGGTGCAGAAGCTGTGTTTCGCAGAATACTCCCTGAAGGCGTCCAAACCATCCCAAATTCCCCATGAGCTGGCGGTCGAAGCCCAGCGCAGATTCCACATGCTGCGAGCCGATCGCGGGTTTACCGTCGACCAATCCAACGTCCGCGGCGCGCTCGCACCGGAGGAACTCATCCGACTGGCCGAGCAGTCCGGCTGGAAGCTGCAGGAGAAGGGCTCGGTTGATACGCCGGGACTGTTGGATGGGCGGTGGGAAGTCGGGGCTGTGGTGGATCCCAGCTGGACCGAGGAGGTTTTGGGGGAGAAGTTGGGGCAGGAAGCGGAAGAGGAGTTGCTTGGTTACGTGGGTAGGATTAAGGAGGCGGCGGATGGATTGAAGCAGAAGGGCGAGGGGACCGAGACGCTGGATGCTGTTTGGGTGGTCATGCAGCGCTGATGAGCAGGGCCTTTTCATGCCATGTCTTCCAAAGAGCCGATTAAGATATTCAAGTCCGATGTACAATCTAAGTGTTGAAAGAATTCAACTCTGACGGCTTCTCATAGTCTTCACTGGGTTCCGAAATTACCTTTTTGAGGTGCATGATTTTTACATTGTTTGAGACCATTCACCACAAACCTTTCGCGATGATCCTCCAGATCGCGAGACCTGTATGCAATCCGACATCACAGAAAGCCATGCTGGTTCTCTTCTAGTCGAGGAATCTAGAAGGAGGCACTAAGACCGATCCAACCACTTTGTTGGTACGGCATCCACTGGGGCAAGACCGATACCGAGCTGAGAGCCGTCTTAGAAATCAATGTCCGGTCCGCAGTCTCCTTGCCGAGAACGCCGTCCGAGAAGGCATCATCGATCTGCAGGCATCCAGGCTCACTTTCAGCAGCCCCATCGCCCTGACCGAGAGACAGAAATATGCACTCAATGGCAGGCACGGCAGATCCTGAGTCACGGTTTCCAAGTTTATCAATCTCGGCGGGGCCCAGATCTTGTACCTGTCCAAAGTGGATGACAACCGTGGAGCTTGAGTCAACATTGGAAAGCATTGCGCTGGGGGTGAGAAAGGGCAGGTTGATGATTCTACCGGTGCCGTACCGGCATCTCCAAAGGCGCCTCCGCGTCCCGAGTACGGGAGTCTCCGAGTTTAAGGTTGATTCCAGAGGCACAGCAGATAGCGAATGCCGGACGCCCGTTGAGCACAGCGGGCGGCAGATGAGACTTGGCAGGCGGGGAGAGAGCCGATCGAGGAGACACTGAGATCGTCTCAAGAGACACGGCGTCTTCTCCTCAGAAGGTGACGGACTAATCCTGAAAGCTTGTCGCTTCGGCAACAGAGACACACAGGAAGCCACATGTCTGAGGAGCAGCACCTGCTGCGCCGCTGTGCCAGACAAAAGGGCCCCCGTTCGTCCCACCTGCGATGGGCGACACTGGAGTGGTGTGGTGGAGATGATGTGAAGGGGAGGGACGAACAAGAGTCGCGCACACCCTGTGATCTGCGATGCTCTGAAGATGTTCCTCTGCGTACCGCCAAAACAGGCCACTTCGTCCGAATCTGACCCCACAAACCCACAAATGCACACGCCCCCCCTCTCCTTCGTTGAAAAAGAAGTGCAGGGACCGCGGGCAGGTTCGGGTTGCGGTACGTACCGGAACATCGGAGCTTAGTGGAGTTTGTCTTCCCGCTGTCCCACCTTTGAGAAAAAATTTGACCTTATCTGATCCGGCTGGTGGCCGTTTCTGTGTGGATCGAAAGGCGCCTCCGACGCCGGAGCCATCGCTGGACCGGGTTCTAATAAAGTTATCAGATCCGCTAAGGGTCAGCCAGTGCAGCCACCTTCCCTGGAACAAGAACCGCCTCGCACGCAACTGGCGGCATCGACATTGGATCGAAATGTCGACGAGGGATGAACATGAGCCACACACCCACACCCTGTCCTGTCCCTCTCTTAACGCCGAACACTGCTCAACCTTTTCTCCACCTTGCTCCGAAGCTGGGCTGGGAACAGGGTGGAAGAAAGTTCGTTCATTCGGAGCATTTTCGTTGCGCCCCGTTTCCCATCGTCCTCGACCCGAGGTCTTGGCCGCTGCGAGTGCACGCCATGGAGCCGTCAAATTCACACGAGGGATCCCTCCCATGTCCACATGTCCCATCAGCGACTCGTTCCCCTAACTCGCCTCCTCCGGTACTCACTTGTATCCATCTAGATGTACCCCCTGGGAGCTTCCAATGGAGCCAAGGCCAAGCGTACCCCGCCGTCAACCTCTCTCCCAGTCTGTCTCTGACCACCACCCCCGGACTGGACCAAGCTGATTGAACGGTGTGCTGGAACGATGTCATGGGCCGGCCCTGGAAGCTGCAAGGCGGCCCGGTTGCTTGCTCGAATGCTGTGTCGCCTGCGGCCTGCAGCCTATTGAAGAAGAAAAAAAATCTGAGCCATGGCATGGCACGCCATACAGCCACCCACGAGCGGCGGGATTCCGACGAGACAGAGAGGGTGACCAGGGTTATCTGCGTTGTCAGGGTGTTCAATGGCTGTAACTCGGCATCTTTTTTACCCTTACTGATTCCAAAAGAGTAGGCGGTGGTGACATAGCCTACGCGTGAAGCTCCGAAGCTCCAAGCTCACATTCTCTTCCAATCTTCCGTCGTCTCCCATATTCCCAAGAAGAGCTTCAAGCTGTGATACCAATTGCGTCAAACTCGAGGACATCTCATACCCCCAGTTCCTCCCGTCGCATACATTCTACTTAATTGGACTTTTCGAGAGACACACTTAGAGCTTCGTCACAAGCAACACCGCAGCCATGTCGGCACCCGTCTCCCTCTCCGCCCTCGCCTCCTCCAACGAGAGCATCGTCAAGCTGCCTCACCCGTACCACGCCGAGTACGCCGTTCAGCGCGCCTTCAACCACGATACCTTCGCCGGCAAGACCGCCGAGGGCGGCCTTCACTTCTACCGCCTGGCACCCCACGCCTCCAACGCCGGAACCTCCAAGCAGGTCCCCGTCCCCGAGCGCCTGCACAGCGAGAACCTCTACTTCACCGAGCCCGCGGACCTCAAGTCCAGCGAGCTCCCCGCCGACTCAAACAACAGCGCCTGGGCTCGTTCCCGCCGCTCCCCGAGCACCGTCTTCTCCTGGGACGGCAAGACCGCGCCCACCCTCGCCCAGGCATGGCTCCTCGTCTACGTCCTCTGGGTCCTGCGCCCGGCCGACGAGCTCCAGCGTCTTGAGCTCCGTGGTGCCGGTGCGGCCGTCCTCGGCCAGCAGCTCCGCGATGTCCTCCTGGCCATCGAGCACCCCGTCCAGAACGACTCCCAGAAGCCCGCCGCCACGGAAGAGCAGGCCACCGTCGTCCTCCTCCGCAGCGCCTTCTGGCAGGGCGCCGGCTCCCCCTTCGGCCCCCGTCCCGTCTGGCTGCCCGCCGAGTCTCCCGCCAGCCTCGAGCGCCCTCTGTCCTCCTACCCTCTTACTCCCCTCCAGCACACCATGACCGCCGTCCCGGCCTCGGACCCGGCCAACCCCAACCTCTACCAGCAGGCCTGGCACCCCATCCGCCCGGCTAAGCCGGCGCCGGGCTCGACCGTGTACAGCCGCTGGATCCCGCACTTGCGCGAGACCTTCTCCATGGTCGCGCTGGACTACCACAACGAGGAGCACCTGCGCCTCTTCCACGAGTGGCAGAACGACCCTCGCGTCTCCCAGGGCTGGAACGAGACCGGCACGCTCGACCAGCACCGCGAGTACCTGCGCAAGATCGACGAGGACCCTCACCAGTTCGCCATCCTCGCGGCGTGGGAGGACACCTTCTTCGCCTACTTTGAGGTCTACTGGGCCAAGGAGGACAAGCTGGGCGGTTACTACGACGCGCAGGACTGGGACCGCGGGCGCCACTCGCTCGTCGGCGACGTGCGCTTCCGCGGCCCCCACCGCGTGAGCGCGTGGTGGTCCTCCCTCATGCACTTCCTCTACCTCGACGACCCGCGCACCACCTGGGTCGTCGGCGAGCCCAAGAAGACCAACGACACCGTCCTCATGTACGACTTCATGCACGGCTTCGGCCTCGACAAGTTCGTCGACCTCCCCCACAAGCGCAGCGCCTTCGTCCGCTGCTCGCGCGAGCGCTTCTTCCAGCTGTGCCCGCTCGGCGAGAACGAAAAGGTCGTCGGCGGCATGCGCCTGGGTCTCGTTCCCAAGTTGTAAATTTGTCCCGTCCACCAGCGTCCCTCCCGAGTGGAGAGTGAGCAGTGAGCAGTGTGTGTGGATCTAGGTACGCGCGACGTAGAGTGGGGTGTTTGTACGTAAAAAAGGTGCCAGCAGCTTTCAGGAATACCTCTGCTGTAGAATTTATTTCCATAATTTGAGTAAAGATCTGATAAGCACAATGTCTTTTTTTCTTGATATGCAGGAACATGATTCATAGCCTAGTCTAATTCGGATCACACACCCCACACATGGGAGAAAATTGGTTGAAGTTCATAAAAGATCATTGCATTTATGTCTAGCGGTAGGCAATTTATTCTAAACTACCGGATGGACGTTGCGTCATCATCATTGCGCCCATGAACACCGTTGTAGCCCCAAAAAAAAAGCAACAAATAAATACCCAGAGAATTTTTCAAAGCAAAGAGCAGATTCAGTTGTCGGCCTTGCCAAGCTTCATGTGGTTCCAGCAGACTAAAAGAACCAGGGTTAGTACCGTTGCGATCAAGTAGACAGGGGTGTCCAGGAGAACTTACTGGTGAAGCCGAGGTCGTCACGGAAGTAGGAGTGCATGACGTCCTCGCCCCACGTGGTGCCCTCAGAGCTGCTGGCAACAGCCTTCTTGCCGACAGCGAGACCGATCATGGGCTCGACGAAGCCGAGCTCGTAGAACTTGGGCTTGTGCTCCTTGTTCGTGAGCTTGACCAGCATCAGCTGGTGGATGTTGATGGCGGCGACGTGGCCGTGGTGCATGGCGGTACCGCAACGCTTGATTCCGGGCCACTTGGCAATGTCGCCGACGGCGATGTGGTCCTCGGCGTTGGGGATGTCGGAGGAGAAGACCAGGTTGGGGTGGATGGGGACGTAGCCCTCCTCGTCCTTGGCGGCGGCGGGAACGAAGTCCGTGGAGGGGGTCTGGCGGGAGATGGCCATGACGACCTCGCTGGCGATGAGCTTGTCGCCGTTGGTGAACTCAACCTCGTAGCGCGCGCGGCCGTTGGCGGTGGGCTCGATCTTGCGCGTCTCCTTGACGCGGGTGTTGAGGAGGACCTCGACGCCGGCCTCCTTGGTCAGCTCAAGAGCCTTGTCCTTGCACAGGTCGGACAGTCCCTCGGAGGAAAGAAGCTGGTTGCGGGAGTGCACCAGGGTCACCTTGGTGCTGGGCTCAACGAGCTTCAACTCGGCGGCCATCTCGATACCGACGGCACCGCCGCCGACGACGATGACGCCATCGGGAGCGTTGCGGACGGCGTGGATCTGCTCCTCAGCCTCGAGCAGGAACTGCTTGCGGGTGAGGGACTGGGGGACCACGGGGAAGGCGCGGCGCAGGCCAGTGGCGCCGATGAAGAAGTCGTAGGAGAAGTCCTGGGGCTGCTTCGTCTCGTGGTCGAGGACGGTGGCGGTCTTGGTGGCCGGGTCGACCTTGCTGACGCTGCCCTGGACGAAGCGCACGTTGGGGCGCTGCAGAGAGGGGATATCTTGGAACTTGACCCAGGACTTGGCGGCGTAGGCAGAGTCGGCGAAGGCAAGCGGCGAGCCGATCAAGTGGACTAAGAAAATAGGTCACGGGTGAGTTGGTGGTCAGACAAGAGGGGCCGCGCCGGGGATTTTGTTCTTACAGAAACCATCACGCTCATCGGCAATGGTGATGTCGAGCGGGATGTTCTTGAAGTCGGCGTGGTGCTCGTACGGGGAGTGAGCGAGGCGGGGGGACTCGCCCTTGCTGAGGTCGAGCAGGTTGAGGGCCGTGGACATGCCAGCATACGAAGTGCCGGCGATGAAGACCTTGAAGGGAGGGACAGTAGGAAGGGAACCCATCTTGTCTTTTGCTGCGGGGTCTGACTGGGAGGAAGATTCTACGTCGAGCGGAGGAGAGGACAGCGAAGAGAAGGAGCGGCGAGAGCAAGTATTGAACGACTCAAAGGAAAAGCCGCGATGGGGGAGACAGGTTGAGGCAAGTGAAGAGAGCGAAGATGCAGTTGTAGACGGGAACATGTGCATACTAGAAAGCAGCAAACATAAAGATAGCGTCCGCCGGAAGCCGAGCGGGCCTGGATCGGAACGGAGTCCTGGTCGGTTTGCGCGAGGGGCACGACGACTGAGACTGGTTAAAGTTGCCCAGAAAATCCCACCAAATCCTCCCAACGAGGACCCAGAATCACCCCTCCATGGAGAAGGTGACGGGCTGGAGGGCAGGTTCAGCCGAGGACGAGCTCCTCGGAGGAAGCACGCTGCAGCCGAGACGGCAGGGCGAAGGGCAATCTGGATCCGCTGGGCCATGGCGATCGAGGGGGCGTCCGACGGGCAGGACAGCGAAGAAGGAGGGGGAGCGCCAGCGGAGATGACGGCATGATTGGGTGGGTTTGGACAGTCACTTTGGGCTTTGGGAGCGGGATCCTAAGTATCTATTAGTGCAACACTGGCGATGTACCGAAGAATCATTAATATCGGTAGCAATGGTGCCGAGAGGGGTGATGGACCGAATAGTTTCTGAAATACGTAGACAGGAGACAGGAGACGTGGTGGCCATCCCGCCGGAGGGGTTTTGGTTTGGTTTAGTCTGGTTTGGCGTGCTGGAGCATGGAGGGGCGATGTGTGTGTGGTTGTGGTTTGCCCTGCCTTGAGATTATCAGATGGTGGAGGAGTTAAAGTTATCAGATCCGTTCAGAGACATGCAAGCCACTCCCAGCGCCGGGACAGACCGGTTTTACTCGGTGACTCCAGGGCTCGAGGCTCAACGCGTACTGGCTGGAAAGATCAACCCGTTACCTAATGAGGACAAGTCAAAGGTACGCGTTCCAGGGCTGCGCCTCGTTTTCAGTGGGCGCCCGGCGTTCGTTCGTTGAATGCTAAGTAAGGTGAGGTGGGCGTGAGGAACAAAAGGTCGGAATTCGAGTTTGGTTTCTCATTGCATGTCGGGTTCCTTGGGTGCCGTCTGACCTGACCGGCCGTTGGGACTAGTGCGTCAGGAGGAGTCCTGGGGCGCGCGGGACTACTCCGTATTGCGACACGTACGCCCAATGGTCTCCCTCTGCGAATTCGAGATGGATCAGACTGGAGTGGGTGTGTGAAATGTGTGTGGGTGGGAGTGACGGTGGGTGGGCGGGCAGCGGCAGCAGCAAGCAAGTCGAAATGCGCTATTTTCCCTACCGGTGAAAATTTTTGGGAAGGCAGAGGGAAATGTCACAGTGAGAGAGAAATGAAGGCTGAACAGGGCAGGTTCGTAGCAAGATCCGCAGAGGAGCCAGGGCCTCCGTACTCGTACCGGCGAACGCCTTACCTCATCCGGAAGGGATTCACCGGGCTTTGCCAAGACAAATTATCAGATCCGCACCCACACTCCGGCATCGGCCCCACTCTGGTCGCCTGCTCCACGTCCCTCGCTCCACATCCTCCGGCCTTCCAACTCCCCAACTCTCCAACACTACAGGGCACTGTATCCGTAGTGTAGCCACCTACCTGCCGCATGTCTCGCCCACAAGCAGTGCACCCTCGCTGGGATCCCACAGGTACTTTTCACGTGCTGCACTTGTAACGAATGTCACTGCACTCACGGCGCTGGAGACACGCTAAACGAGCAAGAAGAGAGACGGCCACTGTCACACACCATGCCTCTTACGCAGTACTCCATCGAATACGCGCCACGATGGTCGATACTTCAGCTCTACCGCGACGACGGGTTTCTTAACTCCCCGTGGCGGGGTCTCGGCGAGCAAGTTACGCTGTCGCGACCCTAAACCACCTGAAAGACCACTCTAAAGCGGATGTTGATGACAAAAGAACGCCTCTATGATGCAAATGTTGAGCCGGTTCGCCGAGACGGTGGCTGTAACGGCCGCGCGCCGATGCTTTGGTGAAGCTACTTCATGTCTGTCCCAGCCAAATGAAGACGCTTGCTCGATGGACCTGGTCGTCAAGTGGGATGCCGCACTACCATTACCATGGTTGTTGAGCGAAATTCGACTTCGGCACCAGCCGAACAGCCAGTCAACCACGCACCCAATGTGACTGAGGAGCAACAACTGCAACTGCATGAGCAGGCCCCAGAGAAGGCGGGGTCAAGCGTAAGTCAACTTCACGTGTGATCGTCGTCCACCGATAAGCTTACATTCGATTAGCGTTTCGAGACCTTCTTCAGCTTCTTCAACCTCTTATTCTATGCCGAACCAACATGGATCGACATTACGCTATTCGTCGTGGGCGGCATCACGGCCGCTGCTGCCGGCGTGCCTTTCCCCTTGATGGGAATCCTATTCGGCCAACTGATCGACGACATGAACGGTGCGACGTGTACCAGTGGAATAGGAGATGCCGACGTGTACATGGACGCTGTCGACGACAAGGTCTTGCAGCTCGTGTACATCAGCATCGGTGCCTTTGTCTTGATATACAGCTATACCACGGCTTGGAGCATGCTAAGCCAGAGACTGGCACAGCGCTTGCGGGAGAAATACTTCCAGAGCTTGCTCAGGCAGGAGGCCGGTTTCTTTGAGAATCGACAAGCAGGCGAGGTTTCATCGCGTTTGAACTCGGATATCCAAACCATTCAGACTGGAACGTCTGAGAAGGTCGGAATCTTCATTGCCACCATTTCGTTCTTCATCACCGCCTATGTCATTGGCTTCATCAAATATGCGAAGCTCGCAGGAGTGCTGGTTTCCCTTATACCGGCGTTCCTGCTCATGTCCATCATCTGCGGAGGGCTCGTCCAGAAATGGACAGGAACTATGTCGGATGGTATTGCGAAGGCCTCGTCAATTGCATCTGAGGCCCTGTCCCATGTTGCCGTCGTTCAGGCTTTCGGAGCTGGACCCCGCCTGGAGGCCAAGTTCTCTTCGCATATGCTTGTTGCCCAGAAGGAGGGCATCAAGAAGGCTGTTGCTGCCGCTACTCAAGCTGGATTCTTGTACTTCCTGGCCTACTCTGCCAACGCCCTTGCCTACTGGCAAGGAAGCAAGGCCATCTCCGAGTCCGTCGCTGGAAGAGGTGACGGTACATCGGTGGGCGACATCTACACTGTCGTGTTTCTCATTGTTGATGGTGCGTGGTTCCGAAAGATTCTTTCTGTTCAGATTCTGACTGTCTACAGCTTGCATCATGCTCGGCACCATCGCACCCCTCTTGCCCCTTTTCGGATCGGCCTCTGCGGCATTTGTCAAGCTCCGAAAGGACATTGAATTCCGTTCTGCCATTGACTCTGTCACCGAAGAAGGCGAGAGACTGCCTTCGACTATTGAAGGCTCAGTCGAACTGAGCGGCGTGACTTTTGCCTATCCCTCCCGACCTGACCAAGATGTGCTCAAGAACGTATCTCTTGTCTGCCCTGGCGGCAAATACACCGCCATCGTTGGCCTCTCGGGAAGTGGCAAGTCAACCATCGCAGGCTTGACCACGAGATTGTACGACCCCAAGGAAGGCACTGTTCTCCTGGATGGTCGAGACATTCAGAATTTGAATGTGAGAAACGTGCGCAGCTATATCAGTCTAGTCCAGCAAGAACCATCACTCCTCGACCGATCCGTTCTCGAAAATATCGCTCTCGGCCTCGTCAACTCTCCAAAGGAGGAACACCAATGGCTCAAAGATACCCTCCACGGACCTCAGCTTGAACAGCTTGCGGAAGATCTGCAAGGAGGAGCCGAGCTCGACGTTGCAACCCAGGAATATGGCTCCGAGGTAGTCGAGATCGCCAACCTCGTACAGCACGCCGCTGATCTTGCCGACGCAACTTCCTTCATCGACCGTCTGAGGTATGGCTTCGGAACACCTGTCGGCACCGGCGGCAGGTTGGTTAGCGGTGGTCAAAGACAGAGAGTAGCTCTTGCACGGGCTCTCATCCGCGATCCTAAGATTCTCATCCTCGATGAAGCGACCGCAGCCTTGGATTCAGCCAGCGAACATCGAATTCAGCAGGCCGTAGAGAGCGTCTCCAAAGGTCGCACCCTGATTTCCATCGCTCATCGCCTGTCTACTATCAAGAATGCCGATAACATCATCGTTATGGATGCCGGAAACATCGTTGAGCAAGGCACCCACGCCGATCTTATTAGTCGTAACGGAGCCTACGCCAACCTAGTCAACCTCCAAAACATTCACATAGCCGAAGAGGACGTAGCCCCATCTCGTGCCAGCACGGCTGTTGAGTCTCTTGACTCCAGAAATACCATTGAAATCGAGAAGAAGGGCGTCGACCCAACAGACCTCGCCAAAGCCATCACAGAAGCCGAAGGAAATGGCACCAAGGAGAAGCCCAAAAAGACGGCGGCAGAGGAACTCCAAGCTAGCGGACTCGACAGCAATAAGTCAGCCTGGCAAGTGATTAGGCAGGTCGGACCCATGGTTCGTCCCCATATCCTCTGGCTTGTTCTCGCTCTTGTTGCCGCCTTCATCGTGGGCTGCACATACAGTGGTTCTGGAACAGTCTTTGGATACGCCATCGGCTCAGCGAGTCCCTGCAACACGCCCAGCTTCATTTCCAGCAAAGGCGCCTTCTACGCCGGCCTCTTCTTCATGATCGCCTGCGTGGAGCTCTTCGCCAACCTGGCCAGCTGGTCCGCCTTTGGATATCTCGCTGAGAAGCTGCTTTACAGGATCCGGGTCCTTTCCTTCCGATCCCTTTTCCAGCAGGAACTCGAGTGGCATCAATCTGAGAATCGCAACCCTACAACCCTCTTATCCGTCATCACGAAAGATGCGGCTGCCATCGGAGGCTTCAGTGGATCCATCATGGGCACGATATTTGCCGTGGTTGTCAACTCCCTGGTCGCAATTATTTACTCTCATATTCTCGCGTGGCGAATTGCAATCGTGTGCCTCGTGATCCTACCCATTCTCCTCGGCTCAGGAATAATGCAAATCAGGGTCCTCTCGCGGTTCGAGGAGAAGCATGCTGGCGCGTACGCCCAGGCTGTCGGTATCACCGTCGAGTCCGTCAACTCTATCAAGACCGTGGCCACCCTGTCGCTTGAACACGAGGTGCTGGGCCAGTACAAGCGTGCTCTCAAGGGCCCGAAGAGGGAGATCATCTCGGCCAGCGCCATCGCTAACATCTGGCTCGCTATCGCAAACAGCACAGGCAACATCATCTATGCGTTTGCATACTGGTGGGGCTCAAAGCAGATTGTCGAAGGCCGCGCGACCCAAACACAGTTTCTGATCATCCTCGTCGCGATGCTCGTGGGAGCACAGCTCTGGGGACAGATGTTCAGTCTTGCGCCCGAAGTGACACGCGCTCGCATGGCCGCCTCGAGAATCTTCAGCCTCCTCGATCTGGATAAGTCGGAAACCGACCCGTCAAGCAAGACCGAAGATTCCAAGGGGAAGGAGAAGGACGTTGAAGCCCTTGCCAACCCCTCGCCACGCCCGTCGCCGGGGAAGGGAGGCGTGTCCATCACCTTCAAGAACGTATCCTTTTCCTATCCCGCCCGCCCCGAAGTCCAGATCCTCGATAACATGAGCTTCACGATCCAACCAGGACAGTTCTGCGGCCTCGTAGGTCCCTCAGGTTCAGGCAAATCAACCGTCATGTCGATCGTGCAACGGATGTACACTCCCTCAAGCGGTACGGTTGAGATAGATGGCCAGGACATCTCAAAGTTTACCACGACCTCCTTCCGCGACGACATCGCCGTCGTTCCCCAAGACAGCGCCCTATTCGACGGCTCCGTAAAGTTCAACGTCTCCCTCGGCGCCCGCCCCGGCCAAGACGCCTCCGACGCCGAGATAACCGAGGCCTGTTGCCTCGCAAATATCCACGAAACCATCGTCGCCCTCCCGCAGGGCTACGACACCGAGTGCGGCCCCAACGGCTCCCAGCTCTCGGGTGGCCAACGGCAGCGCATCGCTATCGCGAGGGCGCTGGTGCGGAAGCCCCGCCTGCTGCTCCTGGACGAGAGCACGAGCGCGCTCGACGCCGAGAGCGAGAAGGCGCTGCAGGAGGGTCTGGAGCGCGCGGCCCGCGGCATCACCGTCATCGCCATCGCCCACAGGCTGCACACGGTTCGCAAGGCGGACGTCATCTTCGTCGTGGAGGCGGGTGCCGTTGCCGCCAAGGGTCGGCACGAGGAGCTGATGGAGAAGAGCGAGAGCTATCGTCTCAACGCCATGCAGCAGATGCTTGGCCACTGATTCTGCTGCTTCTTCTTTCTTACTGGGGTCTATTGGGCTGTCTGGAGTCCGTATGCATTTACCCGTTGTATCTTAGCTACATTTTAGGAGTTTTTACGAGGCGATTGTTGAGACGAAAGATCGGCTGCATAAATACAAACGTCAGCTTGCGATTCGCTCCCAACTTGCCTCAAATTTTGGTCTCTTCTAGACCCGGGTTTTTGCACATGTCCGTCTCCGCGACCGATACTTCTTGGAATCATCATGCATGGATCCCGGGACCGAAGTTGCTGGCGGGTTCGCGGGCTTCTGTGAATCACCGCATGGGTCAGACGAGCTCTTTGACCATCAGGGGCTGCAGGTAGGCTCATGCGTTTTGCTAGCATTCAGTCGGATTACACGCCTTCGGCTGCAAGGCGTCTAAAAACTGCGCGTTACAAGATATCCCAAGTTTCAGATGACATGTAGACAAGAAAGCGGCCCGAAAGACCGATTTGACAGCACGCGTGTGATGAGGTTGTGCGATACGAATGCTCATAGGGGAATCACCGTCAATGTAGGGAGAGAATAGGCAGAAGGCAAATGAGTATGCGATCTAAGGAAAACCACTTGAAATTCATAAGCCCCATTTCCTTGTCAAAAGTCCTCGCAAGCCTTCATCGCTTGGTTGTGATACCAAGCCGCGCAAAAAGGGATTCAATGATGTCGACCAGGGTCGCACCTGACCCCGTCCTGTGACCCCGCGCGATAACGTGACTGCGTTTCTTCATAAGCCCCTACTTGCGGGGGAACCCGATATCCGTGAGAGAAAAACCATTCCTAAAGTGCTGAACCGTAGCAGACCGAAACGCCGTGAACATTCTGAGGTAATGTTGTCAGAAGTTATGGAGCTCACGCCGTCTCGAAACCGCCGAAGGTATTCTCGCCCGAGTAGGTGATGTACAGGAAGCTGCAGACAGATTAGCATGCTGAGAATAATCACAGCTGTCTCAGGGGAGAGCACATACCCATCCTCGTCCTTGTGCTCCTCGTAGATGCTGCTCATGAGAGCGGCAGTAGGGGGCAGGACCTCATCAACGAAGATGAAGATGGCCTTCTCCGGAGAGAGCTTGATGCGCTTGCGGATGACGTAGACGAACTGTCCAACGGTGAGGTCCGCGGGCACGAGGTACTTCTTCTTGTCGATGGTGGCGATATCTGACTTCTCGACCTTCTCGCAGATAACCTGGGTGAGGATGGTGGTTAGCTTGAAAGTGCACGACGGGATGATGGGAGATCGGCGGTGACGGTCGGGGAACGTGGAGCACCAGCGATAACGCGCGAAGCTGACGAAGGCGGCGACGACGATGGCCCCGTACTGCAAACAAGAATCGAGGATGCAGTGATGGGAAGGCAACTTACAGGAATACGATCAGAATACTTCTGACGGATGCGCTCGGCCTCGGCCTTTCGCTTCTCGAAGGGGTGCTCGTCCTTGAACTTGGATCGCATGTTGAAGGTGTTGGTAACGGACGATGGGGTAGTTGTGGGTTCCTCAGTGGTCTGCAGCTGGTGGAGTGCGGGCGACAGGCAAGTTATAGATGGCGAGATGTTTGGGCGAGAAGTGATGATGACAGATGCGGAAGAAGAAGTGTGTAGAAAGGAGAGTTCAGGTAACGAGGGGTCGTTTGCGAAGGCAGACGAGGTGCTAAGGTAAGGTATGGAACGACAAGGTAAGGCAAGCAAAGGTGGTTGCCGCCTTGGGGGTGTCGGTCAGACACACGGGGAATGCAATGGGCGGTCACTGAGTGAATGGTCTGGAGGAAGAGGCGGGTGGCTCAGGCGACGGGGATGCGTACCTGCCTGTGCTGCCTCCATGTACCTCTCTAGGCAGCTGGACAAGGAAAGATACCTGGGTGCGCGGCCCAGGTTAGAGAAGGCTTGGAATGACTAAGCCGCATGGAAGATACTCCCCGCCCCTTTCCCCCTTGGTTTCCACGCTTCCTACTGGTCTGAACTGCCTCAGCAGCACCCATCAGTCCCGTCGTTATCCTTATCGGATTATCGGAGCGGGGCAAGACACCGATTTCACATAGCCAGTCAACTGGTGCAGGTGCGTGCAGGGTGCTGGGGCAAGATTGGCAGAGTCCAGCGCCCAGTGTCCAGCGTCAGCTGGGCAGGTGACCACTGGGAACCAGTGACGGACCACAACCACTTGACGCAGGCTGGCAACCTGGCACACCTACCTTCTGGATCTGGCCTGAGTCACAAGAGGTCCTGGCACACAGTTATTTGTGACTATTCTGCTGCAGAGTACTTGCTGAAAATTTGGCAGAGTCTCACGGGGTCGTGGGAGAGACGATCTCCTGATACGTGCACACTGCTTGTCTGTGCTTGCTGCTGTCCTGTCACCCAAAGGCTTTGAGTGCTTGGTCGTCATCGAGGAGCATCACTATGCCGTTCCTTATCGGCGATACTCTGCCTGACGTCATTTGTCCCCAGTAAGAGGTGACACTGAGGACTCTCGAGGGGACGGCGTAGCACTCAACTCAGACTGAGGCAACGTGGGGACAGTTGCCGGCCGAATAAGTACACATCGTCCGGCCTTGCTTATCTGGCAGATAGGCGGGCTTACTTACCTAAGGCAAGGTTGCAAGACCCGCTCTGGACCTCCGATAGCCGACGATGCAGGTGACAGAATGAATGAACCAGGCGACAGTCCCTTAAGCTTAACTACTTGGGCATTCCATTCGTCTCACGAGGCAGAGGAGGATTGAACCGCTTTCGCAGAAGCGGATGATGGAATCAGTATGGAACTATCATACGATCGTGGTTGCCAGATATGTTGCGCCATCAATGTGGTATTGCTCCCCAGCTCTGGACCCCATGGAACTCGTCCATTGCGACGCGCTGAAAGCTGACGGCCCGACAAGCTGGAAAGGGTCGCTCTGGGGCTGGCAGGGCAGCTCTCCCACTGGTCAGCCGTGCCAGCGACTCGGGAGGGAAGGCGGTAAGGTGCCTCCGGCGTTCGGCGGCAATGCGACACCTCATCCCACCTCACCATGGATCAATTGGGCCCTGCGAAGGCGGGAGCTGTCCAGTCCCACTGCTTATCCTCCGTTGCCGTGACCGGGGTTCCGCCCATAGAACGTGGAACGATTAAGTTGCCGAATTTACTTTTACAGCTGGCCTGACTGGCTCGAACGACTTCCAGTCAGTCCATGATTGCTACTTAGTGGCCTTATGCCTCTTGCCTGGGAATAATCATCCGATTTTCTGTACTCTGTACCCCAAGTCACTCTTTTCTTGCTATTCCCTTTTAGAACTCTGTCTGTATTTATATTTTCTGTCCGGCCGCATCATGGCGTCAATCAGGCATTCGCAGAGGGTGCTCGCACAGCTCGGCAGTTCTCGCACCAGACTCGCAACAGCAACCGCAACCAAGCTCCAACAACCGCAATTGGGTCGCAGACTCGTCTCATCATCCGCAAAGTCTCATTTCAAGGGTCACCAGTCCAACCCGGCCTTCTCCCGACTTCTAATTGGAGCAATTGGTCTTGCTGCTGCAGCACCCCTTGCCTACAAGATGGTACTGCAGCTTCACTCCGTACCACCCACCCATGCCGGTGCTTCCGTCACTTTGACAACCAATTGCTAACCTTCACCTTCTACCAAAATGCAGGCCGTTCAGGAACCCTTTCAACTCGATTCGCCGTCCCTGGCCGAGCGCGATGCCCTCACCAAGAAGGAATCCGACATCACCGAGGAGTCTCCTATGCGCCTGCGCATGGAGAAGTTCATCAAGGAGCAGCAACAGATCATCGTGAAGGAGCTCGAAAAGGTTGATGGAGGAAAGTTCCGCAAGGACGAGTGGACTCGTAAGGAGGGCGGCGGTGGCATCACCTGCGTGCTGCAGGACAGCAATGTCTTCGAGAAGGGTGGCGTCGGTGTGTCCGTCGTCTACGGCACCCTACCCAAGCCCGCAATTGCTAAGATGCGCGCCAACCATAAGAACCTTGATGACAGCGTCGACGCCCTCCCCTTCTTTGCCGCCGGCCTGAGCATGGTTCTGCACCCCAAGAACCCCATGGCCCCGACGGTCCACCTCAACTACCGCTACTTCGAGACAGCCCATCCCGATGGCACCTCCAACGCCTGGTGGTTCGGCGGCGGCAGCGACTTGACGCCCTCCTACCTTTTCGACGAGGACGCAGTCCACTTCCACAAGACGATCAAGGAGACATGCGACGCGCACGACAAGAGCTACTACCCGCGCTTCAAGAAGTGGTGTGACGAGTACTTCTATAACAAGCACCGCGGCGAGTGCCGTGGCGTCGGCGGCATCTTTTTCGACGACCTCGACGAGACCGAGAAGGACCGTGAGAACACATTTGCCTTCATTCAGGACTGCCTCAAGTCCTTCCTGCCCGGCTACCTCCCCATCCTCGAGAAGCGCAAGGACATGCCCTTCACCGAGGCGGAGAAGGACTGGCAACAGATCCGCCGCGGCAAGTACGTCGAATTCAACTTGGTTCACGACCGTGGTACCGCCTTTGGTCTGAACACCCCTGGCTCAAGAGTCGAGAGTATCCTGATGAGTTTGCCCCTGACGGCAAGCTGGAAGTACATGCACGAGCCCGAGCCGAACAGTCGCGAGCAGCGTCTTGTAGACGTTGTGAGGTCGCCCAAGGAATGGGTGTAGATAAGGCAATATGAGGGGTAGAATAAATACCTGGATATGGAGCAATGGGATGCGAGCGATATTTGCTGTACAACTATCCCCTTTTACGGCGGACATAATGAGATTAGACAAAAGCCTTCAGGCGGCAAAACTCAATAAGAGATGTTTTATTCTGTTCATTTCCGCCGAAACTTGTCTGAATGCTTGCATTGGTAACTTCAAACGGTGGCTGCCTCTAATTGAGCGGGAACTATCAGAGCTCCGATGTTCCCAATTTCATACAGCATCTTCAACCACGCATTTTGGCACACACCACGCCACCAAAGCAACTACACTCCGGCGAACGATTTCTTTCCCAAACAGAACCTCATAAACCCAAAATTGCGCTCCAAATGAAGCCAACTCATGCTGTCCAGAGAATACCATGAGCCCATTACAACCAACACCTCGCGCTGTCCTCTCGAGCCTCATAAACACTCTTACAGCATCACCGCTGACCCCGCTGCCACAGCCCGGCAGCAATCCGCTCAAATCCCTTCCTCAGTCCCAGCGTCCGATACTGGTAACCCTCCACGTTCTCTTCCCTTCGCTCGTCCTGCCCGCTCTGGATCTTCTCGACCGCAACCTCGTAACCCGGGTGGTCAAAGTCGACGCACTTCCCTACGACACCGATACCGATACCGACGACGAGGACCAAGTACCCGACGCCGCCGCCGGCGGGGACCCCGCCATCGACCCCGCAGACCAACACCACCCGCCATCATCCCCCTCCAATTCCGACGACCAGGATGCAAACGACCGGGATGGGGCGACAGCCGTCCCCAACCGCGACGAACCGGCAGCATTCCACCTCGTCCGCTCCGTCGCATCCACGTTCCGCCGCAACCAGTCCGCTGCCATGACAACTTCCACGGCGACGACATACCTCGTCCAGCTGGACGCGTGGAACTGCACCTGCGCCAATTTCGCCTTTGAGGCGTTCCCCGCCGGCACGACCGCATCAGAGAGCGACTTGGAGGTCTTGGGCGCTGACGCCGTTGAGGACGAGATCGAGGTGTCTCCTGATTGGCAATTCGGGGGTCTAAGTCTCGATGGGAAGGATTCTGGCGGGGTGCCGTGTTGCAAGCATTTGCTTGCCTGTTTGCTGGCAGAGCAGTGGTGTGACGTTCTCGGGAGCTATGCTTTGGAGAAGAGGTTGGATCGGGAAGAGATTGCGGGAACGATTGGGGATTTGTAAATCATCACGCGATGTGAACCATGGATACTATCAGTTCAAAACATGCTATCATTGTACAAGGCACATTCTTTTCTTGTGAATATGCCTGTTTCCCGCCCCCGGCCTGCCCTTCTGGACGCCGAGATATTATGACATGCCACACGGTCCCAATGTCTATCGCGGGTATCAGTCCCGTGCGTGTGTGGGTTTCCCATCCGTCTCCGTCGTAATCAAGTCATCTACTTCTTCTTCTCCTTCGCCTCCTTATCCTTGTCCGAAGACTCCTTAGACTCGCCGTTCACGCCGTTGGCCTTATCATCCTTCTTCTCCTCCTTGCCGTTTGCCTCGTCCTTCTTGGCCTCCTTCTCCTCCTGCTGCTGTCGGTTCTGGATCTTGTTCTCGATGAGGTCGTGGAAGGCCGTGATCGCACGGATCAGACTGCTGAGGTAGATGGCCATGAGCTGGTCGTTTGTCTTGATGCTCATGGCATGGGAGAGCTCGCCGCCGCTCGACTTGCCGTCACCCTTTGGCGGCGTCGACAGGTTGGGCAGAAGGTTGAAGACGTCTTGGAGGTTGCCTAGAATGGCGTGGTTGACCGGGAGTTGGCCATCGAGGACCTTTTGGAGGTAGGCGCCAATGTCGCGCAGACGGAGGTGTAGCCCTTGGAGGGACTGGAGCTGGTTTGTTATCCGGGTCGACAAGGTGCCGACTGCAACGTCGCGAATATCGCGGAGAAGGTGCTCGACACCAATCTCCTCTGCTTCCTCGGCCTCGATGATTGACGGAGTGTGGACAAAGGTTCTTGAGGTGGTTGTGCCGTCCTGGACATACTACGTCAGTGATAGGTATTCGCTTGAGGACCAAAGCAGGACTCACATCCTTGATCTCCTCCACGGCGAAGTATGCGTCCGTTGGCACGCCCGCCTCCTTCGGTTGTACATCAATAATGACTAGGAGAGGGTTCGGGGTGTAGCGCTTGAACAACTCGTTGATCTCGAGATCCGACGCCCGCAGCTTGGGTCCGGAGTGGTACCAGCCGATCAGCTTTTCCCTTGCATTGACCTTCTTGAACATGTCGTTCATGCCCTCGACGTAGTTGTGGTCCAAGAACCACACTGAGGGGTCCTTGTCATCCTCCTCGAAGGGTACTATGGGTTAATGTCAGCCTCGCGAGTAAAGCCTACGGGTGGTGTGCCGTCGTTGTCATCGTACCTGCGAAACTGTTGGATACGCGGACGTTCTTGCCATCGTTAGAGCCCAAAAGGACACCGACCACTCTGCGTTTCGATCCCTTGACTACCGCCCGGTTGTAGTGATCGACAACGGAAAGAAGAACGAGAGGGGCAACGGAGACGTTCCGTGTGACGAGAGACAGAGTCTCTGCGGTGGTAGCAGGCATGATAGAGGTGTTTTCGTAGCTTCGTTAGGTCGATTGGGTCGGCTTCGTGGAGGATGAAGGGTTGACGAGGCGGCAGTGATTTTTGGATGTTGGTGTAGTGAGTACCGTGAGGTAGTGGTGCTGTCGTACTGCTGAGGCTGCCTTCCCGCCCAGCTTAGCTACGAATCGGGCTTAGGCGCAAACGAAAGCTCGAGCCTCGCCAGATCACGTGGAGCCATGGCAGCTTCCATTACCTAAGCAGGGACTTGGAAGGTGGTCAAACGAAAACAATTGGAGTGACGGAGTGTTCAGACCTTACTTAAGCACAAGCTCTAGCCACTTGAGGCTCAAGCAGTGGCTTGACCTGCCTGCCACCTGCCACCTGCCACATCGGCATCTCGTTTTTCGCGATCAAGATCTCCCGACAGCCAAGTCCGGCGTCGGCCCCTGCTGGCTCCATCTGTGCCCTGCTTTCCGTCCTCACTGACTAAGGAAATTCAACAACGGATTCATTTCCATCTGAGAAACGGGTACTGCGGTATCGTCTCAACAAGTGACATCTGAACACGAAGCCTCCTAGCCTTCTCAAGCCTGCAATGGCTTTCTCGGAGAATTGCGGATGACTGGGATGACCCTAAGAGACTCACATGTCGCACGGCACTAGAAGCCCTCGAGACCAAGACCTGGGCCTGGTGACCTCATAGCAAGGCGTGCCCATCCGGTGCGCCGGAGGCTGGGTCTTCTCGCGAGAGCTTCTGATGCCGTCCGCCGTGCCTTATCCGCATATTGCTTAGTGGTGCCTCTCTAACAGTCATGTAGCGCAATTTGGGTGTCTAGGTCTTAGGAGGGCTAAAGGACGCCTGTACCTGCCCGCAATGGACCTCGGCGGAGAGGGAGCGGCGAGGACCGACCAATGGCGGGCGGAGCGCTGTAACGGAAGCGCACTCAATGGCACCTGGGCGGAAATATGGAGATTGGAGAGAGAGACCTTTGGCAGCGAAACAGCCGAACGAACGCCTGCCACCCTGTTCCCCCAGCAGAACCAGCAGAAAGGGCCCCAGTAGATCTACCCAATCACGTAATCGTTAGCCGACGCCGTGGCCGCCAAATGGTCTGTCACCTGCCTTCACCCACGCGCAAAGCTCGGTACGGCGCAAGTACCCCCAGCCAGAGGTGCAGCAGAACCCAGCGCACTGCAACTTGCCGGGCAGTTCCAGTCCCAGTTCCAGGGCCTTTTAGGTGGTACATCCGTGCCTGGAAACCACTGGAGGCGGGAACCTGGGCGACCTTGGCCGTTCACTAGGACTTCGCAGCAATTCTCAACCTCTTTCGCGACTATTTTTCCCGCAAAGCTTTGTTGCTTCTTCTACCCAGTCCTCCAACCTCGACAACTCTCCTCTCTCCCCTCCCTCTCCCACCTCACTCTTCTCCCTCTTCTCTTGAAGTAGCTCTCTTCTTGCATCTCTTTGCTCACCACTCATCCCTCCGAAAGCCTCGGTCCGGCCTAAGTTCACTCTTCACAAGCCGTCAAAATGAGCAGTCTCGTTGAGGAAGCAGTCAAGAAGCTGACCAACACGGTCGAGAGCCTCGAGTCTAGAATCAAGGCTCTTGAGGACCGCGCGGCTGGCGGTTCCGGCAAGCTCTCCACCGAGGAGGTTCGCATGATCCTCATCGGCCCCCCAGGTGCTGGTAGGTGTCTCCAATTGAGCTTTTTGGCTCGCATCGCCTGCTCGTCGCAACAGCCATGCTGATTCTTAAACTCCCGCACAGGCAAGGGCACCCAAGCTCCCAAGATCAAGGAGAAGTTCAACTGCTGTCATCTGGTAAGCCAATTGACATCTGTCTTTTATGCCGCATGCTTTCGATCATCACTAATAGCGGGTTTCACATCTAGGCCACTGGTGACATGCTGAGATCCCAAGTCGCCAAGAAGACTCCGCTCGGCCGAGAAGCCAAGAAGATCATGGACCAAGGTGGTCTCGTCAGCGATGACATCGTCATTGGCATGATTAAGGAGGAGCTGGAGAACAACAAGGAGTGCAAGGGAGGGTATGTCGGATCTATCTGTCGCGAAACCTGCCAACGGACACCGCTCAGCAGCCGTGGCGCACCAGTTGCAGAGCCAACGTAACGCTAACCTACGGACCAACCTCACAGCTTCATCCTCGACGGCTTCCCCCGTACAGTCCCCCAGGCTGAGGGACTCGATGCTATGCTCAAGGCGCGCAACCAGAAGCTTCAGCACGCTGTCGAGCTGCAGATCGACGACTCCCTGCTCGTCGCCCGCATTACCGGCCGCCTCGTCCACCCCGCTTCCGGACGCTCCTACCACAGCACCTTCAACCCTCCCAAGGAGTACATGAAGGATGACATCACTGGCGAGCCCCTCATCCAGCGCTCCGACGACAACCCGGAGGCCCTCAAGAAGCGCCTCGCTACCTACCACGCCCAGACGGCTCCCGTGGTCGGCTACTACAAGCAGACCGGTATCTGGAAGGGTCTCGACGCCTCCCAGGAGCCCGGCCAGGTCTGGAAAAACATGCTCGAGATCTTCGACTCCCAGCGCAAGGGTGGTCACGCCTCCGGCATCCTCAGCCGCATCACCTCCAAGAACTAAGCTAGCAACCTCCAGAGCCCGTGGCTGTTGCTGTGTCCACGCCCGCCACCACCCCAGGGCGCGCATGTCACACAGACAAACGAGAAGACTTGATCAGAACTCCTTTTTATCGGCTGTCAACCCTTTTCGAAAACCACGGCCGGCAAAGGAAGAGGAACGTGGATCGGAGGAAACGTTTTTACGGAACTGTTATTTTATGGATCATGAAAGGACCGGGAAAGGGGAATACCGTTTCCCAACCGTCGTCCACGCCTTTACCAAGCAGGCTTATATTTTGCGAATGACGTTTTGGCCATTGGGAGGGAAAATTCGGGAGCTTCTCGCACTTCTTCCACGACGACCCGCAACACACTCTCACACACCCAAACGAACCCTATCGTGTAGAAATATCGCACGCTTGTATGTAACACAATTACTGTCTCACTAATAACCAAAACCGGCGGTTTGCAGTTGGATGGGCACCGAATACAAACAATTCTTCAAAAATATGGTTCTTCATCGTCTCTTCAACCCCTGACTGAAACTGCAGAGGTGTGCGTCAGATCGATCGCCCAAAAGCAAGGTGAGTAAAAAAGACGCGTTCGCTACACTTCGGTCCGCGTAGCGCCGAATTCGGGCACCCTCGGCATTACTGTGTCTTACCTGGCCTGTACAAGAAAAAAGTGAAAGGAGGCAAATTATGGGGTCGCTCTCCCCGACATCCATTCCGTCTCCGACGGCCACGGCCCTCATGGGTTCGCGAAAACTGGACCTCTTTCATGCCCCAATTCCCGTCGAAACCGATCTTCTCCCAGCATGACGCAAGACGGAGCTGGCGGCTGTCGATGGAGGTAGATAATGTCGGAGAGGCAACGTTCGGGTCACCGCGGCCGAGGCATTCGCTTGAAAACCAACGCCGATGGGGGTTACTAAAAAAAAAAAAAAAAAAAAAAAGGCAACGAGATGATATCGATAGTTTGGTCCATTCTATCACACTCCTATCAAACGATGAGAAGAAAGGCTTGCTCCTCCCATACGCGCTAGCAACTATGAACAAAGAAAATATAAGGAGGTCGATCACAAAGGGGGCCCGGAATTTGAAGGTAAGTAGGGACGAGAATAAGCCGTTGAAAGGAACAGAGAGTGCCGCCACCATCCCCGCGATGCAATGCAATGCTCCCGAGATGCAGGCCAGCCAAGCCATCCCCTTCACTAAGACAAGAAAGATGCCAACGCCAACGATGCTTTCCGCTACTCCAAAGCCAAACTGCCAGATATGGTGAGATAAGATATAGTAAGAGTTGAAGAGAGGTCTAGATGCTTAGGATGGGTTCCTGCTCCGGGTGAATTGGACACTTTGGGCTGCTCTACCTCCTAGGAGTGGCTGCATAAGAAACATCAGCACTCATGTCCATAGCGTTCACTAGCAAGTTTCGTACCGTTGACCATTTGTCTCTGCTTGCCCAGCCAGCTCTTGGGCACTTCGTTTCTCCTCTGCAACACCACGTGGTTGCTCTGGATACGGCTAGTAAGATCGTACCAGGCGGTGGCAATGAGGGCGTTCTCGCGTTGAAGATTCTTAATGATTTGGTCACTCGCAGCCTTTGCAATTATCGTCAGTCACTGGACAATCATGGGAAACGAGAGGAGAGACGGTGATATCAAATTCAACCGCATCAATAAAGCATCAAAGCATACCTTTTGCGCCGCAGCCGCTTCGCCGCCCTCCGCCGCCTTGAGCTTACGCTGCAGGTCGTACTTTTCTTGCTCGGACTTTTCCAGTTGCTATAAAGGGGTCCCGTCAGTCACTACTGCCCGTATGCGTTGATCATAAATTCAAGTGTCAAAACTCAGCTCTCAGCCGACGCCATGACGAGGGAGATAAAGTTCTTGGGCGCGATGAAGACCTTGATTGGCCAAACACCTTGCTTGCTACATTCTTGATCCATGCCTTCTTCTGCACCGGTTCTTTGTGCCTTGGCTGACATTCTGAGAACGTATGAGGATGACAAGGGGGAGCCATGAGCCGGGGCTTCGGATCGTTGTCGTACAACATCGATGCCCGCGGCTCGGCAGGCAGCTCAGGTGATTCAGGGGCGTCGGGCTCGGATTTAGGGGAAATTTGGAGAATGTGTCTAAAACGTACCGATTGTCGCTCCTTGAGTCTCGCCCGCAGCTTCTCAATCTTGTCTTCGCGCCTCTGGCTAACCTCGCTGGACTCGGCACCATCTTGCCGGCCCTCCTTGGCTTCGTCAAGTTCCTTTCGAAGTTTGTCCTTCTCTAGCAGAGCGTTGATTAGTGAGCTTTGGCGGTTCTCCAAGTCAGCGCTGAGGTTCCTTATTTGTAGGCGCGCTGCCTCAAGCTCCTCTCGAACCGAGGCTGAGATGAGCTGGTCAGTAGATTTGAGCTCCTCCAGGGCAGTAACACTATCTTTGGCAACAGCAGAGAGGTCTGTCCTGGCGCTGAGGAGCTCACGATCCTTGTCGGCGAGCTGAGCTTGCACCTCTGTGAGCTTCCTCTTCTCGGCTTGAAGCTCATGGGTCATCTGGGCAACCTGAATCTTCAAGTTGGCCAACACCTCGCTAAAGTAGTATTGTTGCGTTAGCACTCGTTCCAGGCCAAGTGGGATAAGCATATTAACGAATTCGACTGACTTTTCGCCGCCGCCGCCCCCAATCAAAGCGCTGACTTGGGCCTCTGCGAGCTGGTGCTTTTCAAACGTCTCGTTGTACGTGCTTTGGAGACGCTCCCGCTGTCGTCGTTCGTCCTCGAGCTCTTGTCGCAACCGAGCATTTTCTGAAGCGGAGCCCATGCCGCTACGGAGCAAGTTGTTCTCAGCCTTAAGTCGAGAGACCTCAAGGCTTAGGTTGGGAGGAGCACTGCTGCCAGCACTGTCAAGCTCCTGCTCCAGGCTGAACCCAGCAGAAGCTGCGTCTGGTGACATGGCTGATGAGCCAGCCCCAGTGGCAATCTGCTCCTGCAGCTCAGAAATGAGGCGCTCATCTGAAAGACGCTGAGCGTCAAGAGACTGAAGGCGAGCCCTCAGTTGCATGGTATCATCGTGAAGCGCCCTTCGCTGGGCATCCAGCTCGACGTACTGCAGCTCGTAGTCTCTGAGCTTCGAAGCGTACTGCTCATTAGTCTGTTCCAGCGCCTGATTCCTCTTTAGAACCTTCTCGTATTCAATGAGGTCACGCTGCATCTGCTCCTTTTCGTAAAGCAGGTTGTCCATCTCTTTCGACAAGGTGGATTGGGCCTCGAGCTTCTGCTTGTACCGCTCCACCATATTTGCCTTGCGGGACAACTCTTCATTCTTGAAGCGCAGTTCCTTCACTTCATCATCGAGAGCCTCGAGCTTCTGAGTCTTGGCCTTGAGCGCGGAGACCTCGCTTTGCAGCCGCTCTTTTGCGATACGATCGTCCTCAGCCTGAGCCTCCTGGTTGGCGATAAGCTCATCCTGCTCACGCAGCTTCAACTCAAGCGACCTGATGACCTCCTTTCCGGCACCATCTTGAGCGCTGTGGAATGCTTCCAGCTCCCTTCCCTTTGCAACGACCTCGTCCTTTAGATCGTCATAGCTCTCCTGCAGATGGCCCAAGCGTGTCTCCATGTCTGCGAGGAGCTTTCCTCTTTTGTCTAGTTCGGAACGAAGACGTATGTTGTCAGCCTCCATCGCAAGGTCGGCATCGTGGCCTTCGTGGGTGGCGTCGGAAGTGTCGTCGAGGTCTGCTGCGTCAGCTTCTTCCATGGCTTGCTTCATGTCCTGAGTGATTCGCTGGAGCTGCATGAGGACCGACTTGTCGGAGATGTCCTTGGTAATGCGCATGACGTATCGTTCGTTGTTACTCCCGAGCATCGCGATTGCAAAGAGAACGGCAATGAGCTGTGTGAATTTTCGAATTAGCGGATCCATGGGCCGAAAGAGAACGACAGTGTCCTTTATGATGATAGGTACCTGGGCGATAGCTTCTGGCTGCGCTTCTCTGGCTCTGGGTCGAATGTCCGCAGACTTCACCTTGCCCACGAGCCCGGGGCACTCGCGATAGACCAGCCTATGGATGCCCTTGTAGACATTGTAGAGAGGGCCTTCGCTGGTATTTGCGTCGAAGGAAGGATCGAGGTCCTGCAGGACCTGAGAGAGTAGGATGCCATCGAGATAATCGTTTATTGAGTCAGCCTTCTTGTCGAGTGGAAACGTGTTCGCCTAAAGACACCAAAAGTTAGCATTCTACTCTCTTAGGACCTGAGCTGAGGTCTGCGCCTGGCTATGGAGGTGAAGTTTCCACATTAACGGCGATCCATATTGACCGATGACTTACCCATTGGACCAGCGCGGCCTGCGCGCTCTCTGAATACGGCATGATGCTGTCCGTCTATCGCGTCGTGACTTCGTGGTAGTCGTCGTCGTGTGTCGTCTTTTCCGTCGATCTTTGTCAAGATGGCAGCCCTCACCTCGGATTTTGAGCAGCACGTGGGAAAGAGGCCGGGTTGGGTTCGGGTTCCACTAGGTTCGTCGTGGTGTTCGTGCTTGGTGCAAGTCAAAGCGGCAGGGTATGTTGTATTGTGGTTCCATGTGCTCGGAAAGCTCGCATCGCATATAGGCAAGGTAGTCGGACGGGATCAGACACCTAGGGAGAGTGCGGAGAGAGAAGATAAGGTGTATTAAAGAGGGTTTCGACAAAACCTCGTGTCGTCGGTCGAGGAAGGGCGGTGAAAGGCAAAAAATTGGGAGGAAGCCTTGTTCGCGCACAGGTGGTGGTTGAAAGGGACCTGCAAGTGCTGCTCCTCAGTGCAGCAGGGAAGGGGAGAGGAAAGGGAAAAGTGTCTCGTCGTCCCAAGACAGACGCATTGTTCAAGTCCAATGCTCCTGCTTCCTGCCTCTCTTCTATCGAATCCACTTCAATCTTGCATGACTGACTTGCATCGTACATAGCTCCTCCTCCCCTTATCGATTACCAAAGGCAGCTAGCTAGGCTAGGGGAAGTCTAGTCGAGGCACCTTGCCGCGACGTGCGCGCCTAGCAGCTTTAGCATCAGCGTTGTGATGTGTACCAGCCTGCCGCTTATTTCGAGTTGAGGTACCTGATTTCTCTTTCCCAGGTGAGGTAAACTAAAAGTACCTCAATCGCTCAGGTGGGATCACTCAGTGAAAACAACTGCCGCCGACAGGTACATCCTTACATTAAGGCATCTCCCGCCCCCAAGCCCGAAACTCCAAGTGACGCGAAGCGGGACGGATGTCCAGGGGCCCTGATGCTATAGTGGGGCGGGCGGTTCTCGAGGCCACTGACAGCGCCGTGTTTCCCTCTTTGACCCTTTGGCCATTGTGGGAGACCAACCAAACACAAGCCTCAACGGCTAGCCTTTGAGTCTCCAGTGATTTCTGCATGAGATACCAGCCTGATCCTGCCGGGTTTTCCTTTCTACGAGGGTGTCCTCCGAGTGCCTTGTAGAGAGCCTTTTGACCATCTGCAAGTCTGCGAGCAAATAATCAACATGACACGGTGACACAGGGCCTGCTGGTCGGCATACCGTCATTGTCCCAGACCTCCCTTGTGATGAACAGTAGATAGTGGGTTTCCTCTGAACAATACCGAACACGGATCAAACAGCTCTATTTCCGTAGACTCAAAACCCGTCACTCGCTAGAGCACAGACTCGTCCTGGATGTCCCTTGAGTGCTGCCTTGGCCAACCCCTCCAATATCGCTCCCAGCGTTCCAGTCGCAATCGCCCACGCTCTTGGTTCTCAGATCCTCACGCCTAGATTGCCCACTTCGACAGCTCCGTAGACGCTTGGGAACGTTGGTTCGGCACGGTCGCTGCCGTAGGGTTGCTTTGGGCGTATTGTCTCCCGCTCAGCAGAGATACAACCCGACGGCACTCTCCTCTTGCTTCCAAGACCCTCGCATTCTCTTCATCGCGATTCTTGAAATCGCATCTTCCCCAAAGTGACACTGGCGTCTGGAGCGTGGCTTGCCAATGATTCCCCCACAGCGCGCTTTGACTCGTCTGTGACATGACCTTGTATTCTTCATCAGGAGTCCACACGCCCAATTGGCAAACTGTCCGAGGAACATTAGAAACACCGGCCTTCGTCCCACAGAGTACCCCCTAATGATACAGCATGCCGCCCCCTTTTTCAGCTGCTGAGCTGCACACTGGCGGGACGAGGGCACGAGAGAGCACTCTGGACGATACGTAAGCCTGGAAGAACAGAAATTGCGCCGCATGGTGACATATCCATTTCTCATCAAGTTCAATGGGGATTCTGGACCGTCCAGTGGGGAAGCTGGGACCTGGCAGGAAATCCGCTTTTGATCTGCGAATTTGCGCCGCACACGATTCGCTCTCCACTCCTCAGGCACATCGTCTCCTGTTTGGACTGTCACCGGGAGGCTGAAGGAGTTCCCGTACATAAGGCTTGCTGTTGACGTCGCTCGCCATGTGGTTCTCAGCCGCATCCGTCCTGTCTTCGGCGACTGTTCATCCACCGGGCCGCCATGACGTTGGTCTTGTCGCATTTGGCGAGATCCTACATTCCATTCACTCTTGGGAGCAGCTGTGGCCGATTCAGGCAAAGCGTATGCTTACTATTGATTTTTTGGTTTGGGGCATTGGGTAGGATTCAGCTACTGGCGGTCTGAACCCGTCTCCTGGTCCTATTTGATACTAATGGCGTCCGGAGACGCTTTATAAAGGGCGGGAAACTCCTGACTCCGTAGCAAAAACCCGTCTATGACGAAAATGGGGGGATAAAAAGTGCCTCCTTGCTTGTCCCTGTCGCAGCCGCCGGGAAGGGGGCGGATATCATTTGCCCTCGTGACCTAGTCCAGCCATAGTCAAAGTCCTTTTTTATTGGTCGAATCTTTCACACAATAATCGTATCGCAAGTCGTGTCATCGGTGTTGGCATCTTGAGTTTGATGAGGCGACACGTTGAGCTTAGCCGCTGACAATCTGGTCCTCGTCGACGTTCATGTCATCACCGCCAAAAGCCTTGATGTCGTCGAGGGCCTTGGCTGGCGCAATCGCAGCAAAACCCCTGCATAGGAGAATCAGCATGGAACGCGGGTCACAGCAGACCGCGCCCTGAGGTCTCCAATGAGTCTTACCTGAAGTTATCGAGCATGTTGTAGGTGTGGGTGATTTGTCCCTGAGCCTCAACAATGGCGGCCTTGGCACGATCGATCATGTCCTGGGTGACGGACTTCTTGTCGGTCCAGATGATGACGGACTTCATCTGGTCGACGGCGACGACGCCGGAGACGGCGGTGAGGACGGCGGTCAGGAAGGCGGAAAATCTCATCGTGACGGGTAGAGGTCGACGGTCGTCGGAGTCAAAGGTGTTTGGTGATGAGCGCTTTAGAGTTGAAAAGTGGGCGGGTAGTTCGGGCAGTGCAGTCAGAGCGACTTTGTATCGACCGATTTCGAGGGGTTGCACGAACAGGCGGAAATGGCGAGGGCTCTTCGTATTATGCGGTAAATGAAGCCACCAAGGGTCTGCTGACAGCTGGGTGGGGGATTCGCGGGTGTTAAATGGTTGTTTGCTGGGGACGGAGACGGAGATGGAGCGAGGCGAGTAGTGTAAGGGTTGATGCAAGAAACAAGTTCGACAGTGCAGTTCCTGGGTACAGGTAGGGAGGAAGGACAGCAATGTCTCCTGCTTGGACAGTAGGTACGGTCCGGTGGCGGAATTCTGTTTGTTACTGGCCGAGCTGCTTGATGAGGAAAGACACTTCATCGCTGCAGTAGGCCACTAGCAGCCAACCTCGTTCTCCTACAGGTACCACCTGCCCTGAGAGGTGCAGTGGGCGCGGCGTCATTGGTTCTGGACGTGCCCATCACACTGCACTGAGAGTGGGTGGAGCCGGCAGTGATGGGACAACCCGTCCACACCGTGCTCTAGGGGGAGGGAATGGGGGGGCCAGGGTGCCAGATTGCATAACCATCTGCCCCCAAACACTGCGAACCACCTCTTGGCAGTTCCGTCCACTCCAACACTTCCGCCTGAGTCACGTGTAGACGGTTTCGTTCGAGGTTTGCATGTTCCAGTATCCTGCTACCCCCATCCATCACATTGGGCGCATATTCATGAGCTGTGGATTTAGCCGCTGGCTGAGCATAGGGACGCAAACGATTGCGATTCATTACCAGTACAACTGACCTGCTGGCTCTCCAAGTGGTGTGCATTTGACTCCTCAACGCCGATTCGTGTCCTTTGACAAACTCCAAGCCGTTCAAGTAACCCCCCAAAACAAGTTGTTGGTGCAATCCGTATGCAAGATACTGTGTTACTGGGAGCACCAGATCGCTTGCATAACCCATGGAGGCCTCTAATCCTTTGCACTACCGGTCGTGCTGTCGTTCTCGGCCCAGATGTCCTTAGTCTCCTGCTCGACAGCCCGCATGGCAACGGCAACATCCTCAAGCTTGGCCACGACATCCAACACGCCCTGGTTGACTCGCTGGAAGTAGCGGTCGTTGGCCTCCCGTCTCTTCCGAGCAAGCAGAATGTCCACTTCCGTCTCTTGCTCAAGCTTCGCTCCGAGACGCTCCGTTCCCCCACTGCTTCCCGGTCGAGCGCTACCGGTCCCCGTACTTCGCGGTCCGTCACCGCCATCCGACCCCATGCCTGTCTCTCCGAGAACGGCACTCTTCAAGTTGCGAACTTCTTCCCCTGCCGCGGACGCGTTGGATCGCTGTCCCGTCTCAATTGCCTCGTCGGCCTCGCTGCGCGCCCAGGCTTGGGCCAGGGCAATCTGAGCGGCTCGCAGCTCCTCCAGCTTGCGGTCGTGGTCCGGTCCAAAAACATGAGTTCCGCCGGATGCAGACAGCTCGACCTCCTCCAATGTTGCCTGCATCTCAGCCCACAAGGCGTCTGTCCTGTCGGTACTGCGAGCACTGTCTGCCGTTTTGAGGTTACGACCAGCCGGCCTGGCGACGGACGGCGTGACCACTGAGCCAGTGTGAAGAGATCCGTTGCGTTGCAGGCTCATGACTTGGGGCGGTAACGGTGGGACGCCTGTAGATGTAGTTGCTGCCGGCGCACCTGGCGCGAGGATGCCTGGGAGCGATGCATGAGAGGCAGCTGGGGAGGGATGGAGGAAGAGGGATGGCGGGGGATCCCGCTGCTTTCCTTTGCTTTTGGCCGATTGAGACATGCCTACATTTTGCGTGTCGTCGTGAACATTCCACGCCCTGGACTTCGCGCCTGAGACAGCATCTCTTGAACCTGACGGCATCTGCTCGGATTGGTTGAGAGACCGGTAAGTTGCGGACCTGGGGGCACCCTAGTCAAGCCTGCAGAGACGTGGGGTTCGTCGATTGAGGTGACCTGGCCGATGCATGATTGGACCAAAGAAGTGGCTCGTTCAGCCAGCACCAGCCACTCGGCTCGCTCGAAGCTCAGACCACCTTACACGTGACTGCAACTTTTTGCAGTTCGTCGACTGACTCTAGGGCCACCAAACCCTACGAAAATTCCCTTGGGCCAGCTCAGTTGGGTCAGGTCAACTTTTTCGACGTACGCAGGCCCATACCGTCACCACCAAGTCAAGACTCGCGATACCCCCAAACAAATCGGTACGTTCGCCATCATACCCAAGCCCTTCGCATCCGTTGCCGACGAATCCCAATCAACCGACGACGACGAATTTCCGAACCCACGCCCTTTTTATAAACCTCTTGTACAGAACTTCTGAACTGACGATTTGATCTTGAAGCAACCATGCCTCGTGGACTCAACGCCGCGCGCAAGCTGCGCCTTAACCGCAAGGACCAGAAGTGGGCCGATCTTGGATACAAGAAGCGTGCTCTGGGTACCGCCTTCAAGTCCTCTCCCTTCGGTGGTTCCTCCCACGCCAAGGGCATCGTCCTCGAGAAGGTCGGTGTCGAGGCTAAGCAGCCCAACTCCGCTATCCGAAAGTGCGTTCGTGTTCAGTTGATCAAGAACGGCAAGAAGGTCACTGCTTTCGGTACGATACCCCACCCCGTTATTGTTGGATGCGATTGGAGGAAAAGATGAAGTGGACAATGTCTTCGCACAACGAGAAGACCATGTGGTAGAGAGGTCAAATTGCTGACATTCATTTCTTCAACAGTCCCCAACGACGGTTGCTTGAACTTCGTTGACGAGAACGACGAGGTCCTCCTGGCTGGTTTCGGTCGCAAGGGCAAGGCCAAGGGTGATATTCCCGGTGTTCGTTTCAAGGTCGTCAAGGTCTCTGGTGTCGGTCTGCTCGCCCTGTGGAAGGAGAAGAAGGAGAAGCCCAGATCTTAAGCGTTCGGCACGACAATTTGGGAGGCAGTGGAAGAAAATTCGGCACTCGGAGTTTACGCTTGCATTGGCATCACACGGTTATGGATGGTCCTGACTACTACTGCGGGGTAGACTTTGGTCGATGAAATAAAACATCATGAAAGTCACCAAAACGGACATGAGGCATTGCATCATCTACGCAAGACACAAAAATGGGGCTGCGGGCGTGATGAAAAGGGTATTCCGATTTCTATGTGCTATGAATACAGGCAATGTTGGTACACGTTCCTACGCTATGATCTCCTGCTCCTCCACCTTTTCGCCTTGAATATATCGTGCAATGTAGTCGGCAAAGAGACCGATGCTAATCGCGCCGCCTGTGAGCCAGCAGCCATTGCAGAACCACCACCAACAGTCCTTGACGCTCTTGAGGTTGACGCGCTTGATCATGATGCCAAGCGTCAGTGCAGCACCTCCACAGCTTCCGATGTAGAAGAGAGGTCCGGCACCAGCAGCGAAGCCCGCCATGCCCAAAAGACCGATCTGGACTGCCGCCAGGCCGGTCAGAACCTGCTTCGTCTCGGCGTCATGTTTCAGTGCGATACTCTTGATACCCGCCTTGGCATCATCCTTGATATCTTGGTGGGCGTAGATCATGTCGTACAGCACCGTCCAGGCAACATTTGAAGAGTAAAGACAAGCGGCAGCTGTCAATGCTGCGCTGTTAGAGAGCAGGTCGATACCGAGGGCCGGGAACCCCATCATTGCTCCCCAGGAGAACGTCAGTCCGAGGACGGCCTGGGGATAGTACGTGACGCGCTTGGCGAGAGGGTATGAGGCGACAAAGAGCAGGCTTGGAATGCCGTAGAACAGGCAGGCAGTTGGAAACTGTACCAAGACTCCCAGCCCGGCCAGAAGCTGAGCACCCGTGAAGACAAGTCCTTGGAAAGGAGTGACGGCGCCCCGCGCAATGGGTCGAAACTTGGTTCTCGTGACGTGGGGATCAAGGTTACGGTCCCAAAGATCATTGATAGTACAGCCTGCGCCACGCATGATAAGAGCGCCCGAGGCGAAGAGGAGAGAGGTTCCAATCACTGTGCCGGGAGTTGCCATGGCCATCGGCGCCGCCATGAGTGTCGAGAAGACGCATGGAAAGAAGAGATAGTACGTTCCTACAGGCTTGTCGATTCGGACGAGTTCGGCGTAAGGGACCCATGATGCAGGCAGGTAGGAAAGGAGCCCAGTCGTGGGCGGTGTGTAGACAGGCTCAGCAGGGCCTGTTACAGCAGCAGCAGCATCTTGCGTCACCGCGGCCGTGAGACACTTCGTAGATGTGTGAAGCGCTGTCTGTTGTTGGCGGACTGAGCTCCGGACGATGAGGCTCGTAGTAGGCTTTTTATGCGCTTGAAGTCCAAGCCGCGACGAGCACCTTGTGGGCAAGAGTGCCGATGTCCGTAGTGAGGGCTTACATGCCGTCCGTAAGGAGCCGCTCAGAATGCTGACTTGCCTCATCTTTATGGACTGGAAAACGTCAGTATTAAGTTTTGGCAAGGGGGTAATGTGCCTCGTCGACTCCTATCGGACATCACGAAAGCAAGATTGATGGCTGCATTGCAACGCCACAACGAAATGAGGGTCTGCGATACATTAAAAGGATTGATGCAAATATAAAAAAAAAAAAAAAAGCCGTACATCAATCATGGACAAGCTAGACGGCGCATATGTCGAGTCAAAGGCCGAGCAGTTTCTCATGAGCCTTGCTTGCTCATGGGAGACGGTTACGCTTACACGTTTGAATGTAACAACGTCAATCACCGGACGAAATGCCACCTGCACTCTCATGACGTACGAAAATAATCAAATCCAGAGGAGAAACGCATAGAAATGAAAACAACTCACCGAATACCGGAGACAAGTCTCGCGTTCCACCCACGTTCTCACTTTTTCCACCGAAGAAACCGAATTTTAGAAGCTCCCAGTCAAAGACCCTTCAAAGAGCTGGGTGTGGTCCGTGCTCCCGCCTACCTTTTGATTGGGCGCGCATTTGAGTTTCCTCCCATCTACCTAGGTAGGTAAGTTTGGATAGCTTTGTCCGACGCGACATGCCTGGGCGCTATTACGATTGCCTCGTGTCACTTGCGCCTGCCATCACCCACGACGTGCACCATAGCTTCTTGACGCGCCGAAAGAAAATCGAACTCACTCATTGCCTACGACTTCACCGAGGGCATTTTGCACACCGTGCAGCCCGAATGACTTCATAAAAGACGCGTCTCGGAAGATACCCCACCTGGCGAGGTAGTCCTCGATCGTCAAGATGCCGACCGCTCTGCATCCCCAGGCGAAGTTCGATCCGATCTCGCCGGATCTGGATCTTCATAGCCTTGTCGACAAGACGCCTAACTTTGAATGGGTACTTCGGATCTCGACGGCACAGATCCAAGGCCTTGGTCCCCAAGAGTTCGAGAAGTTGGTGCAACTTCAGGTCATACAGGGTGGAAAACCTTTGGTCATTGAAAAATGGAACGATGTTCTCCCGAAATGGCTTTTTGGCGGCGAATGGCTTGAGAAGACCTACGACAAGAAACGTCAGTCTACACGCCTCCATACGACATCGAGTGCTAACGTGTTTGCAGAGGAAAATGTCCGTGATATTGGCAGCCAAAGCGAGATTCCGATGACCATGGGGCACTATCTGAGAGCGATGAAGCAGCTCACGAATCAGTGGACGCCGAACAATTTCCGCGACGAGCGACGCCAGCGGCTTTACCTCAAAGATATCGACTGCCCACCTGAGTGGCACGAGCACCTTCAAAAGGTGATTCCCCCGAACCTATTTTACATGAACGAAAACATCACAGAGAAGGGAGGGTCGGATAATCGGGTCAGCGATGTCTTCCGTGGCTTGGGCGAGAAGACGATCGCTTCTGCCGGAGATCTCATGTCAAGCCTGCCGGAAGAAATGCGGGCTCAGAACCTTATGTGCTACATCGGCCACGAGGGAACATACACCCCCGCGCATCGCGAGATGTGCGCAAGTTTGGGACAGAACATCATGGTGGAGGCGTCAGGAAGTGAAAACGGAGAGAAGCCAGGCAGCTCCATTTGGTTCATGACGGAAACCAAGGATCGAGAAGTTGTCCGCGAATACTTTCTCTCCATGCTGGGACACGACATTGAGATTGAGAAGCACTTCGCACAGATCAACGCCTGGAAGAAGGCGACCTTCCCAGTCTACATTGTTGAGCAGAAGCCTGGTGACTTCATCCTTATCCCACCTCTGGCACCTCATCAAGTCTGGAACAGAGGTACACGTACCATGAAAGTCGCCTGGAACCGGACGACAGTTGAGACGCTGGATATGGCACTCCACGAAGCTCTTCCCAAGGCTCGTCTAGTCTGCCGTGATGAGCAGTACAAGAACAAGGCGATAATCTACTACACCCTAAAAAAGTATTACGCGCAGATGTTGCAGGCGGAAGATAACAGCGAGATGGGTATCTTTGGACTAGGCTCTGAACTCTTCCGCTCATCTTCACGGTTCAAGCAGCTCGCCAAGGATTTCCGACATCTGTTCTCCCTTTTCACCGAGATTCTTGTCGACGAGATGTTTGCAACCAAGGAAAACAACATCGAGTTCGTCGAGTATAATTCATGCGTCACCTGCTCATATTGCAGATCAAATATTTTCAACAGATTTTTGACATGCAAGCATTGCGTGCGAACTCTTGTTAATGGCGATGAGGATGCATACGATGTTTGCATGGAATGCTACGCCATGGGACGATCTTGCCTCTGCGTCTCCAAGCTGCAGTGGTGTGAGCAGTGGAAATGGTCAGAGCTCACTGAGAACTATGAGCTCTGGCGCTCAATGGTCATCAAAAATGATGGCTTCGTTGACATGGAGCTGTCTCCGCAACCTCTCGAGATCGCCCGTAGCCGACGTGGCAAGAAAGCGCTCGCCCAGATTTGCCAGGAGGGCTTGCGCCGACGACCATTCAAGGACATTTCCAAGATCGAGGAGGAGAAGCGCCTGTCCGAGTCCGAAGATGAGCCGGATCTCGATGACAATGGAAAGCCGAAGAAGAAGAAGTATAAGCGAAAGAAGAAGCAGGGAGATCTTCGCCGTTGCCACGTCTGTTGTCACAAGGATTATGCCTACAAGGTCCAGATGTGCTCCAATCCAGAGTGCAAGGAAGGATTCTGTTACGGAGTTCTCTACCGCGCCTTCGACATGATGCCCCAAACGGTGCAAGAGAACGAGAATTGGCTCTGCCCAAGATGCTTGGGCATTTGCAACTGCGGCGCGTGCCGTCGTGCCGGGACAACCAAGCCGTACACGCCAAAGAACACTCTCCTCGGCCATGACACACGACCAATCGCTGACGACCGAAGCGTTGAAGCGCTTGTCGATTTCCGCGTGCATAACTTGAACTGGCTGAAGGCGTCAGGCGAAGAGGGCCGAAGTACGAACAGCAAGCGCATGAAGCAATTACGAGAACAAGCCGACACTGCCAAAGCCCAGGAGCCGGCAGCTGTTGCAGCCGAGGATATTGCGAACGGCGCCAATTCGGCATCGAACGGTGCGAATGGTTATGGAGATCAGAGCCATATCCTCGACGGACACGATACGCAGCAACTTAATGGCGAAAATGGCTTTAACGGCGATGTCGACATGTCTCAGCAACATGAACAGCCCGTACCGTTCGCCGACATGGGCATGAATGGCAACTGGGACCAGTCGGCTTACCCAGACCCCATGGGAATGGGCGGTCAACGCATGCTTGGAATGGGTTATTACGAGCCATCCGGGCCTGATCAGATTTTGTTTGATCCGTTTCAAATGCCTTCAGCCGACGCTATGGTCTTCGATGAGGAGGCTGAATTCCTCAAGAAGACCCTTAAAGCTGCCAAGAGGAAAGCGAAGCACGAGAACGATCTTGATCCGGACTTCAATGCGCCACGCAGTCACCACAGAAAGAAGCCGAAGAAGGACAACGTAACAGACGAGTCTGCCATGGATCCTGCGTTGTTCGGATCCGCCGTTCCTGACGCCGCTCCCGCAGCCGCCAGCGGTGAGTCCGGCGAGGCAGGTGAAGGCGGCTTGACCGTCGACGACGATCCGTCGGCTCAGCTGGAGAGAGAGGCGCAACAGGACGTAGAGGGCCCACAGCGCTGGAGGGGTGGATGGGCCACGCCTTGGCCTCCGTCCTTCCCTGCGAACGTTCCAGAACTACGACATGCAAGACCTAAGGTGTCTTACGCCGAAGTTGAGGAGCCCGTTATTGACGACCCGGAGGACATGGTCCCTGCTTACAAAGCCAAGCCTCTGGTCGAAAATGATGAGCAGCAACCTGGCGACAGTAGCACTGATCCTCTGGATCTTGCGTCCGATGCCATTCGCGCCCTCATCCAGAAGGGAACCGATGCTGCTGCCGCGGCTGCTACCGAAACGCCGAAGGTCCCTAAGAGACGTGGGAGGCCGCCAAGGGATGCAAGCTCAACTCCGGCCTCGGCCACCAGAGCGGCTGCTGTACCGAAGCAATCTGCGTCAGACGTTGCAGCCAAGAGACGAGAGGAGCGCGCATCTCGAAGATCAAGGCTTAGTGGTGTCGTCACCATTGATGGAGCTAGCTCATTCAACCCCCGAAACAGCATTTACGCCGAGGACGATGATGATGAGCCTGGAGGGCACAATGTCACCGAAGCTGAACTGGAGGCCGAGTTGGAGCGTGAGTTGGCTGGCGAGGACACTCAGCAATCTGTCACGAAATCCATCGAAGGTGCGAGCGCGCAGCCAGTCAAGAAACGGCGTGGCCGGCCACCCAAGAACAAGACCACTGCCCCGGTTGCCGTGGAGGATAACGGCGATAAGTCTCCTCCACCCCCTCCGGCTGGCGCAAGTCAGATGATGTCCATGGCGGCCCGCGTCAGAGCTCGCGGCAAGAAGTTTAGGATCACCTCTCGCAGAGATAGCGCCAAGGGTACACCATCCGCTACACCGGCCCCGTCAGAGAGACCAGCTGGTGAGCAGAGCAATCAGCCGACGCCGAATCTAACGACAGAGAGTGCGCATGTTCCATCCGAGGGTCCGTCTGAGCCTCAAGAAGTCGCTGTGCCAGCCAGAGAAATATCAAAGGAGCCGACTCCAGACATGACGCCGCCGCCGCCGGGGAACTCAGCTAGAGATGCGTCCAAGGAGCAAAGTCTCGATATGACGCCTCCCCCGCCAGGCAGAACGACGAGGGATTCTACGCCTGACTTGACACCTCCCCCTCCGGGCAGAGCGAGAAGAGATTCGACTCCCGATATGACGCCGCCCCCTCCAAACACGACGGGCAGACGCTGGCAAAAAGACGAGAATGACGGAGACTTCGCCGCTCCAGGAGGCTCACCGTCTTCCGCATCTTCTCCCGACTCCGGAATTCCAGGTGCGAGCCCGAGTCCTCCACGGCCGCGACGAGGCAGACCTTCCAATGGGCCAACAATTGTCAAACTTGGGGGGTCCGACTCGGAGTCGGAGAGCGAAATTTCTTCGTCGTCTGAATCCGAGAGCGGTATTGGTTCTCCTGGCTATTCACGAGGTTCTTTGACGGGCAGGGGGGGTGGAAGGGGTCGTGGCCGCGGCCGGCCCCGTGGGCGTCCCCGTGGACGTGGACGCGGTGGCTGAGCTGTCCAATCAAACAGCATTGGGCTTGGTTTTCTTTCCATTAGATGCGGGATCAGAATGGGCGTTTGGGCTCAAGGTTTTGGCAGTTTGTATCGTATGATACCCACAACGAGTGAAATTTAGTAAAGAAGCAGGCAATCAACATTGTGCCTCTTAGTCACTACAACAACTTTCTGCAGGTTCTCAGTGATGCCACCACATATCATAAACTTGGGACAGCATTCGTCGTAAAGGTATCATCTATTCAGCCTCATCTGGTTGCTGTATTACTCAAAAGCGAAATTACGCCACCGAGAGCGGTTTCATCTTCATTTCTCTTTTCTCCTCCCTGCAAGCAGATCTCGTCGTCTGCTCATTTTAACCCATGCTAAATGTACAAAAAACCAACAACGCGTCAAAATACATGCTGCGATGAGCCGCCATTCTACTCCGCCGAGGCCCTGGCAAGAGCCTCGTGCAGGTGGGGTGGGAAGCGGTAGCGCAGCTGGCTGGTGTAGGTGGTCAGGTCGAGCGTCATCTGCCTCATCTGCTCGACCATCATGCGGCGGGTACCCTCGTTGCCGCTGAACTGGCCGCCAGTCAGCTGGTCGCGCTGGCGGGTGCAGCAGATGATGGTCCACATGAGCAGGTTGGGGACGTTGATGGAGACGGGCTGGGACAGGCCCGAGAACTTTGAGGCGTAGGCGCGGATGATGCTTGGGTCGCCGCTGGCGTCCAGGGGGAGGATCTCCAGGGAGCGGATTTTCTAGCAGCAGATGTTAGTCTGGGGGTTTCGCGAGGAGAGGAGGTTGCTACTTACGTCGAGACACTGAGCCCACTGGCCGGCTTCGACAAGAGACTTGATGGTGCTCATTTCCAACAGGACGCGGCAGGCAACCTTGTTCTGGTCCTGGATCTTGCGATGGAACATGGCATCGCGCTCGTACATGGACATCATGGTACGCGCAAGCTCGACGGGGTCGTCGATGGACGCCAGGCTGAGGCTGCTGCCGGCCGCGGCCTCCTGGCCAGCGGCACGGGGCTTGACGGGCATCAGGCGCATGGGGTCCTCGCCAATCTCGAGAGAGATGGCCTCGCTCAAGGCACGGCTGACGATCGATACGACGGTGTCGTACTCGCCAGCCAAGTGATACAAGAGGACGGAGTCGGTGGTACGGCCGTTTTCGTCTGCGAAGCTGGCAGCCTGTACGGTGACTGTGTTGATGAAATCGTTCTCCTCCGTCAGACCAATTAGCGGGCCACGCTCCTCGATGATGCCGCGAATCCGCTGGCCGTCGGGACGAATGTCGCCAATGAGCTTGCTAAACTCTCTTGTCTCGAGGACGAGCTCGCGGAGGGCCTCCCAGCAGAGGTTGGCATGGCGGCGGCCGGCCTCGCCTGCCAGGTCCATGTTGAGGCAGATGAGGGTCAGGTAGTCCACGGCCGAAACGACGTCGGCAGCACGGAAGTCCCTGGTGTAGTATCCAATCATTCTGCCAAAGTTGATTTGGACCAGGTCCTTGACGTTCAGGCTGCGCAGGTCGTTCGAAGCGCTGAATGGATCGGAAGGACGGAGCAGACCATAGTATTCCAGGGCGATGGCGAAGTGGACCGCATCAACGTACGAAAAGGGGTAGAGGTAGGCAATGGCCTCCTCGAACATGCCGGAGAGAACCTGCAAGTAGAAGAACATGCCAAAGCTGCCGCTGTTGTCTTCAGACGAGGACTTGGGGAAATGCTTAGCACCAATCTCCTTGATACTCGACTGCAATTCGGAGAGACCGTACGCCTCACTGGCAACCTCGACTGAGCGGTCGCCTTCTCTGGCAAGGTTGAACTGAAGCCAGATCCAGTCATTGATGTCGGTGTTAAGTCCGTCAAGGCTGCGGTTGTTCAAATCGCAACGACCAATGATCTTGTAACAGGCCATACGGAAGGGATCGATGGAGTTGTCGGGGGCATTGCGAACTCTTTGAGTGTACTCGGCGTTGCATCTGTCCTGCAGCGTCCTCTTAAGTCTACGGTCTTCGTTAGATGCGTAACCGTTGAGGTAACTCTGGAATGTCCGGTCGATGCTGCGGAATTGGTTGCCGTTATCATTAACGTACTTGGCCGCCTCGCTAACGTTACCAGACCGCAACAGGTAGAAGACGATGGCCCAGACGTATTCTCCCCCGACTTGCTGAAGTTCCGTGTTGTCAGGCACCAGATCCTTTCTGGCTGATCGCAGGCGGATATACGCTCTAATCTTGCTAACGATATCGGGACGACCGCCGAGGTTGGCCTCGTGGGGATGTTTTGAAATAAGACCTTCAACTTCCTGCAAGAACTGCTTCTCCAGAAATTTGTTGGCACCCTCAAGTAGCCGCTTCCGCATGGCTATCGAGTTGGACGAGTTGGGGGACTCGTCCAAGTACATCTTGGCAAATTGTCTCTCCTTGGCCGTGGCACCATTGATGGTGGTCTCGGCTTCAGGATCCTCACCGACAATCTCTCTAACGGCATGGTATGCCTCGACAATGTGCGGGGCATACGGGTCGAGAGAGCGGTGCTCAACGTCTGCGAGCGCTGAAAGAATAGGGTAAGGGTGGTTGATAAGGCGAGCCGAGTTGAGGCTGCGAACCTTTTCGGAAAGCTTGCTCTGTTTCTCGCGCAGAGACCTGTCGTCAGTGTTGATGTGGCCGGTCAGAGATCCGCCGTTATCGGTAGAGCGGTCAACATCGGAGAACTCGGGCTGATGCGTGCCGATCTTGCTGGCGTTGCCAATGACAGAACGGTGCATGCTGGACTTGCCCAGGACACTGGCTCTACCGGAGCGAGCGCCAGCCGCCTGACTCTTGGTGCGGCGTGAGCGACCAAAACCGCCAGTTGACTCCCTCATGGACGCCGCGCCTCCGAACGATGCCTCTTCGCGAGGCTTGATTCCAAAGTGTTCGTAGATACGCTTGCGCTGGTTCTCCCACTCCATCGTCACGTTGTCCTCCAGAAAGTTATCAAAATCGCGAACGGATCTCTCGAGGCCGTCGGCAATCATGCTCATTGTAGTCTTCGTTTGGAGGTTCGCGAGGTAGGTCTCGACGTCGATCTCGGCGGGCGAGTAGCCAGTCGGTCTCTCAACACGGCCGGTCTGAAGGTCGAGGGATCCGAGGTCCCTGGCAGCCGTTCCGGGGTCGACACCAGACGCGGCGAGGAGGTAATGTGCTCTGCCATCGGAAGGGCGCTCCTGGGCCTTGGTTCCCAGCTTCTTCAGGCGCTGGCGCAGGTCACCCAGGCCGAGCTGCAAACTGGGGAGGTCCTCGACGCCGCTCTCGCCATCTCCCTGCCTCTTGCTCTTTGCAAAAAGGCTGTCGAAGTATGCGCCAGAGGTCTGGCCCTGCTGAGCTTGCGATTGGTTGTTCGTGTTCTGGTTCTGCTGTTGTTGCTGCTGCTGTCCCTGCTGTCCCTGCTGGGGGAAGAGAGAGCTGGCAAGGGGATTGGTAGTAGTCTGGCTGAGTGTCGTGCCGGCCTGCGTTTGATTCTGGTTGCCGCCGAGGCCGCCACCGAAGAGGGATGGCTTCTGCGCTGTCGATGCCCCGAGACCTCCCAAGCCGCCCAAGCTGAGGCCGCCCGTTTGTTGCTGTTGTCCTTGTTGCTGTTGCGCAGGCTGGCCGAACAGAGAAGACTGCTGCTGCGCCGGTTGCTGTGTCGTCGAGGCGCCAAAGAGTCCACCGCTGGCCTGAGGCTTGTTCTGATTCAAGTTGCCAAAGAGCCCACCGGATGCAGGCGTCGTGCTCGCAGGCTGGGCACCGGGTGTCGCTTGTCCAAAGAGACCTCCGCCGGTCGTCGCTCCCTGCTGGGGAGTGCTGGTCGAGCCGCCCAGGATGCCGCCACCCAAGGGCTTGTTGCCGAAGAGCGACATGGTGATATCGTGAGCGCGTCAGGTCGAATTCGGATTGAGCGCTGCGATGGGCGTGGGAATGGCAGTAGTGAAGACGGTGGACGCGATCCGATGATGATCAGGCGCGTTTGGGGATGGAAATTTTGAGGTTTGGGAGAGCTCTCAGCAACAGCTCCACTGATTGGTGGGGAGCGACCAGGCAACGGACAACGTTCCAGGTTGCGAGTACAAGCGCCCCTGGCATTGCAAACGACGAATGAAGGTAGACGCTACTTGATGCTTGCAGACCCACCTGGGGCACTCACCGAGAAGCAGTGTCGGTGAGAGGTTGACTTACAACGCTGGCTTTGTGTGCCATTCACATTGTAATTACTCCATCTGGGCGAGAAGATTCCCGTTCGATATTCATGTACTATATTATTGCGCAGGAATTAAGAATAACTCCAAGTGCCTATGTTTCCAGGCTTCTTTTAGTCGCTACAATAAGTTAAATACTTACTGGCATAGGTTACCAATTTGTTAGCTGGCTTCCTATCAGGACCAAGTACAAATCAACGTCCACAGATATTAGGATAGTTACTTTCCACGGACTACGTGGCTTAATATGCCATCGCGATATTCCATGGTATCTT